TTCCGTTCCTTTTTTTGTGTCTTTTCTCGTTTCTAGGTTGAGATGGAAGAAACACAAAAAGAAATAAAAATAGACACACAAAAGAGGTGCGGTCAAGGTACGGCCAAGGAACGTTAAAAATAACACAAAAAGACCGTGCCTATTCTGCATCTTCTACGTTACTATTGCTCTCCAAGGAAAATCCAGTCCCAGCAAATTTGAGAAAAACTGTAAAAGATATAGTTTTGGAAGATGGTATTCTCCTTCCAAAGAACCTTCAAGTTTTAACATTCCACGGTTTGAATAATTATGACAAGAAGATTTGGGGAGAAGATGCTGATGAATTTCGTCCTGACAGATTTACCGAGTACAACAAGAGAATCAAAGAGGATAATTCTTTGAATAATAGATTTGAATTTGTACCATTCTTTATTGGTGGTCGTAGATGTGTAAGTTATTGAAACTTGAAGTTTAATTTACAATGATATTATAGATTGGATACAAACTCGCTGAATCTCAAATGATTGATTATGCTGCCAACTTGGTATGGAATTATGAAATGAGCCTATCCGATGAAATGCAACGAACACCAATCATTGAAAGACATGCCATAGCTGTTGAACCATCAACTCCACTCATGGTTCGATTCAAGCCAAGAGTCTTGCACCAATAAACCACAACTAGGCAAGTTCCCATTTCATTAAGAATATTAAGGAACATCAATTTTACTGTCTTTGCTTATTCCCAAGAACACATCAAGAACACGATAAGAACATTCTCGGGAGAGGTTCTTCATCACTCTCTAATAATATCAACATCCTTCATCATGCTTAATATAAATTCCCCACTAAGGAATTACCTGCAATGTAAATTCACAACAAAAACAAATATCTACAAAACATTAATAACCCTTAAAAGATGCCAGAATTAAGTATTGCAATTGTTGGAGGAGGTGCCACAGGTAAATCAAGTATTACCATCAGACACATTGAAAACAAATTCAACACGGAACAATTCTACGATCCAACAATTGAAGATTCATACATGAAAGAAGAAATTGTTGATGGAGAAACATTCTTTGTCGATATTCTTGATACAGCTGGTCAGGAGGAATTCTACTCACTCAGAGATGTCTACATGAGACAACGTGATGGTTTCATTCTTGTTTATGATGTTACCAACAGAAAAAGTTTGGATGAGATTAGAATATTCGTCGAACAAGTAAAGAGAGCAAAGAATACTGAAACAATTCCATTCGTACTGGTTGGAAATAAGTGTGATTTGACATCTGAAAGACAAGTCTCTAACACACAAGGCAAAAATCTTGCAGAATCATTACAGATTAAACACTTTTTCGAAACATCAGCCAAAACAGGTCAGAACATTAATGAATGTTTCGAAGAAATTATTAGAGAAACTAATTCAATGCTTAGAAAGAAATCTATAGAAAAGAAAAAGAGCTCCACAACTTCTGTTAAAAAGCAAAGGAAGTGTTGTATCATGTAAATTCAATTTTACCTGTGTACCAGCAGAGAAATACCAGTAACTGTATCATAATTCTTTAATTTCAAATAGCATAATAAATTATTTATTTATACAATATATATATATATATAAATTAGTTGAAATGAATTAATTATTATTTGATTAATCCTAATTTGAGTAAATGCTCTGTCGAAATTTTGATTTGAGTTTTAGCATCCATAAATGTCATTCCAAATGTTTCTCTAATCTTCTTATTTGAGAAATAGGTTGGCTTTCCAACAGAACTATTGACAAGTTGACGAACTCCCTTTGGTTGGAATAATCCTGCAAACTTGGCCACTGCATTTCCAAAACCACCTTCCATTGAAAAACTTGGAACATTCTTAATCCATGTATTTGGAGGATTAGGGAATAATTCTCTAAACAGGTCACACATTTGTTTCATGTTTGTAGTTTCATCTCCTGCAGCAATGAATCTTTCACCTTTTGATGGAAGAAATCTGCTTCTATTATCAATTTCATGTTCCATTGCAGCAACGTGGGCTGTAGCAACATCTTTGACATCCACAAAAACAAATGCCAAGTTGAAAATGGCTGGAAATTCACCATTGGCTATTTTTTGGATTGATTCATGACTTTGATTGACTTGTTTCTCAAAAATTGGTCTACCAACTACTGCACTAGGATTAATGACAGCCAATTCCAAAAATTCATTTCCATGTTCCAATTCAGCTTGTCTCAACACCTTCCAAGCAGCTTTTTCAGCAACAACTTTCGAATAGAAATATGGATTCTTATCCAAACCAGATAATTCATTCCAATCCTCCTCTGTATAAACCTTATCCGGCAATGCAGTATCCACAATAGCAGCAATCGACGAGGTCAGTATAATTCTTTGCAATCTATTCGAATCCTCATTCGATTGTGTTTTTCTCAATTTTATACATTCATTCACAACATTCAAAGTTCCCTTCAATGCAGGATCAACCAAATCAGTCTGTGGATCCTTCACATCAATCTTATACGGACTAGCAGTATGTTGCACAAATCGACATCCCTCAATTGCCTTCTCAAAACATCCCTCCTTCAACAAATCACCTTCAAAACAAATCAATCTCTCCTTCATCATCTCTTCACTCAATTTCTTCTGTCCATCCTCCGAGAATTGATCAAATTTCAAGAGGGCACTCATCAATTCCTCTTGTCCCTTTGGTAACGATCTAACAGTGCCATGTACAGTATAGCCCTTCAGAAGGAGCTGATAGACAATGTGAGAGGCAATAAATCCGGTGGCACCTGTAACGCAGACTTTGATATTGTTGCTGTTGGGAATTGATTGTGTTGACATTTTTTTTTTTGAATTTTTTTGAAAAATGGAAAATTTGGAAGTTTTTGAAGAAATTTTGAGAAAGTTATTAGAAATAGAAAATAGGGATTTTGCAAGTCCGCGGACGAAGATTAAAATTAAAGGTACGTCCTTATAGAAGAATTGTGCAGTGTTCACTAGTCCAATTTCATTTCACCAATTTAGTTTACAAAAGAACTTAGAAACTGTAAAGATTGGAAATTTGAAATTTCAGCTACAAAGCACATTCCATTTGGTTACTGAAACAATTATCGATAAACACTTTGCCTATCTCTTCTGCTTTCAATTGCACAGATTTGAATAATGTCAATGCATGATGAAGACTCACGAGAGTATGTCCTTCAAATTGTGTCAATTTTTGATTAAAAGCAAGAATGTTGTTTATATGGCAAGAAGCAAGGGTAAAAGATTGGACAGGATCCTTGTTTCGTCCATGTCAGATTAAGGGATAATAGCTCTCAACTATTTCACTAGACATTTCACATTACCGGGTAAATTGACAAGAAATAATAAAAAAAACATGAAAAGCTCCCTCTCTCTTCTCCTTCTCGTCATCTTTGTGGCAATCATGAGCTTTTCAATGCAACATCTTGCTCATGCCTTTTCCAATATTCCATTGGAACTTTTGTATTCGAAACAACATCTTTCAAAAGTCAATTCATTCGATGAAATTATTGGTGTGAAAACCTTTCTTACACTCTTCATTTTCAAGAAGAATGGAAGTAAATTGGTTGACTTTATAGAAAATCAACATGTCACCTCCCCCAATCATGATGTGAATAGACAATTGGTGATGAATTGGCTAAAAACAAATCCAATCTCGATTGGTGCCACCACTTTTCACACCCAATATTTAACTTCCACCTTTAACTATTTCAATGTTTCCATTCAAGCATCTGAATTTCCCCCTCTCTCCAACTCATCAAGCACCATTTACAACATTTATCCTTCATTTGATATCTGTCTTGATAGAAATTACTTTTTGGAAAGGTATGATGCTGTCCTTATGGAACCATATGCCTTTTCTTTCTTTGTTAGATTTTATAATAGGAATAATGGATTTGGTTCTTTGAAAAAGATGGAAAGTGGGAATTTTTTGCCAATTCCACTGATTCCGTATGAGGTTTATACGAATAGAACGGTTTCTATAGAGAGTGAAACTGATTTGTTTCATGTTGAGAAGACGGCTTCATGTGACAATCTACCTGACGAGTCAGATGCACAATTCATTAGATTATTGACAGGTTATTCTAATTTTTCTGAAATAGATGTTTCTATTATTGAGAGAATCACTTCCAAATCATCTCTTTCAGGAAATTGGACACTTGTAAACAGCAAACTTCCTTTACTTTTGTTATCAGCTCCTTTTTCTGAGATTGGAACCACCAATTTCAATACGAGCTCTCTCAATAATTTGCTTCTCTCCTCATCATGTTACATGTGTAAAAGCTCAGCATGTGTTGGAGAAAACTATAACCCAGTGGAGGACTATTGGAAAATTCCTCAATTTCTCATCATATTTGGATACTTTGCTTTATTGTTTGGATTTGGATTGTTTAAAAAACCATCACTTAGAAGAAGAATTGCACTTCCCTACACTCCAATTCTCATTTTTATTCTGATGTTGACATTTACTGATCTTTCTCGGCTATGTGTTTGTGTCGTTTACAATATTTCAACATTTGTGTTAATTTGGGGTGTCTTTATCTATTCAGCAACAGTTGTCAGATTCTACTATTTGAGAAATTTATATTCTCTCATTACAAAATATCCGAAACGAGAACGATTAATGAAAATATTGGCCTCAGAAAAAAGTGGCATTCTTATTTCGGTACTTTTAACATTTCTACTAGCTTTGCTATTTAATCTCATGGGACTATTCATGTTTTTCAATGAACTAAAAGTGGCATCTGACATATTCAGATCCTTTGTTTTTGGATTGTTTATCCTAGTGGGTGCAATTCTAGGACTTTTATTTGTAATATTGGATATGATCTCAAATTCAAAGAGAATTAAAACTCTTGGACTATTCCATTTCCTATTCTTTGACGATCCACTCTATGTTCGTCTCGATATCCTCTCATTAACATTCATTATCATTGTAATCATTATTATTCTTCTTGGAAATACGATAATTGGTGGATTTGAAGGAAGGGATTCGATTGGAGGACTATTTAACACAATTATTTGTCTCTCGATGGTGCTCATCACTGGAGGAAATACGGTCATGATTGAGATTTATAAGAAGGTGAAATATGGAAAGAAACCAATGAAGAATAATGATGAATTGGAAGTTGTTTTACAAAATGAAGATTTGTTCAACTTGTTGAAAGAATATAGTTCCAAAGAGTTTAGTTTGGAAAATATTGAATTATATTCGATGCTGATGAAATTGAAGGGACAAAAGTTTGTTTCTGTGAAGGAATTGGAAGAAATTGATCAGACTTTCATTAAGAGTTATTCGAAATTTGAAGTTAATCTTCCTTCGAGTTGTAAGAAGGAATTTTACAATTTGAAAGAACAAGCACTAGAAAAATCACAAATTGAATTTGACAAGTTATGGCAAGTTGTTGGATTTGACCTGGTTTTGAACATGTTGGACACTTTTAAAAGATTGCAAGAAACTTCCAATTATAGACAATGGGAATCTGTGTCCAAATATCAAAAACATTTACAATGAGATTAAGACATAACCATCATGAAGCGTACCTCTATAGATCCACTATTGTCCTACATCAAATTATTGGAATATTTCACTTCATGAAATTCAATTCATATCATTTATTCTTTAACTTGAAATTCCGAATGCAAAAGTCTTGAATAAATGAAATAAATTGAATTTCAAAAGTAGACGAATCAGAAGAATGTTGATGGAGTGAAACTCACAGATTTATTTTACCTGGATGACTCATCTCTTAAATTTTCAAGGACTTCTTCCGCCTTTTCACTAAATACACCTGGTGGTTCATATTCATCTTCATATTCCCTACAGTGAACAATTTTATTCAATTCAATTCTCTCCTCACTTCCTTTTTCATGGGAATCGCGAAGATCAGCTGCTTCTCCCATTTGTTCATAAGATGCTCCTCCTGTGTAAGACATTGTTTTTATGATTAATATGACAAAGGTGATCATAGGAACCACTTATTCTAACGTTTATCACTCTGTTATGGCTTGTGGCCTTAAATATTCAAACAACAAAATTATATCTTGTCCATTCCTGATTGAAAAATTTCGAAATAGTCATATCCTTATTAAGCATTGTAAAAAATCAGAAGGCTATATTGAACATATTTGACATTGAACTAAATTATTGAATGAATCTTTTCTCTGAATTGAACAATCTGGTTACTAGTTGAATCTTGAATAATATCAAATGAAGATAAAACAGTGATGAAACAAAATAGCTCATATGGACAATAATAATTCTGGACTATATCTGATCACATAACTCCTCAACTCCTAATCCCGCCAATAAAATCTTTTACAAAAAAATGGATCCAAATCAAACAATCATGACAGAAAAACCTCCACTGCCGTGTTCCACGACGGGTGATGAAGAAGGATCACCATCGATATTGTTGATAAATTATAATCATCAACAGCATCAACAACAGGAAATAATCAACAAGAAAATGAATGAAACTAAAGATGAGAAGATCAACGTGATGCAGATGATGATCATGAATAACGTATCGGATCATCGTCATGTTGTTGATGATGGTAAAGAAGAATTATCGATCGGAGGAGAAGAACAAGTTATAGATTGTAATACTAATAATAATAATAATTGTGATAGTACGATTGTTGTGGATAAGATTGTGTGTAGTAATAATAATAATAGTACGAGTACTGTGCAATCAGAATCGGTTGTTACTTGTGATGAAGATTCTAATGGAGAAAAATCAATAACTATTGTTGATACTAATAGCAATGTGTTAGTAATTGCAACAGAAGAGCAAGTAATGGATTTAGGGAATGCATCATCGGAGGAGGAGGAGGATAAACATCACGATGAAGAGGTATTATTAACAAGACATGAAAATCAACCGGAATTAAACATTGAAAAATCTGTATCAATAGTAGAACCGGAAGAGAATGTAAAACAAGTTGAGGAGGAACAAGTTCAAGCAAATTCAAGTGAAAAATTGGACGCTGAATCAATTATTAAAGTTAGAGAACGAAGAATATCGAGAAGAATTGTTGTAAATACCAATTTTCATGCATTAACATCATCTACAACCTCATCAACCGAAACTCCTGTGCATAATGTAGAAATTTTCGATGATAGTGAAATAGAAAACGATACCTCAACATATTCGAGTGATATTGATGATGATGATGGTATTATTTCAAACGTCAAAGATGGATATTTTGAAGACTCATCATCAGATTTAAAGGGCTCAGATATTTTGTCTGTAAAATCCTCTGATACTGATGGTATTTTAGTGAGTAGCAATGGATCTGTACTCAAAGTGAATGAGGCTGTTAATTACTATCCTTCAGTTAATGAGATTAGCAATACCAATGCAAGTCAACCAAAAATATATAGCTCAATAATATTTGAATCCAAGCACGATAGTAAGAGAATTCATTTATTCGAATCAATAGCATCCAACTATAAGGAATATGTAACAAAAAATCCAAATCAATTCAGAAAATTAATCAGAGAAGGAATTCCAACAAAGGAATCGCTCAAAACTATTTGGAAGAGAATGGTAGGGTCTGAGGAGCTTTCTAACAAGTATCCTGGTCTGTACAAAAAATTGACAATGCACGATGATATTCTGGAAGACGATGTTCACAAAATTTTAAAAGATGTTCACAGAACTTATCCACAGTACGAGTTTTTCAGTGAGAAGGATGGACCAGGTCAAATGTCTCTTATTAGAATTTTGAAAGCCTATTGCCACTTTGATAAGCAGACAGGATATTGTCAAGGAATGGCTTTTATTTGTGGTTTTGCACTGATGAATCTGGAGGATGAGGAGGACACTTTTTGGTTCTTTGTTCAGATAATGAATAATGGAAAACATGGATTGAAAGATATTTTTGCAGAGGGGTTGCCACGTTTGAGGTTGATTATGTTCATGGTGTCAGAATTGATCAAGTTGAGACTTCCAGATATTCACAAACATCTAGAAGAGAATTACATTCTTCCAGAAATGTATGCCAGTTCTATATTGATGACACTGTGTACGAATAGATTCTCTTTTGCATCTTCGCAACGTATATGGTCTATTTTCCTCAATGAAGGTTGGAAAATGTAAGTTTATTTCATTGAACTGAGATAATTAATTGTTCAAATTTTAACAGGTTGGTAAGATTGATGGCTGGTCTCATGAAATTAAGTAAGAAGGAAATTATAGGTGCCAATGCGACTGAAGTAACAACAAAACTCTATAACACTGCAGAGCATGTGGATATTGATATAATTCTCAAATATTCATTCAGTGTTAGACTCACTTCCAGACTGATGGAGAATCTCACACTCAAATATGAGGAACAAGAGTTGAATGCAGAGGAAAAGAAAGCTGCTCAACAATCACGAGAAAATCTCAAAAAGCTCACACAACTCTCTAGCAGCCCTTCCACACCGAGAAGTGGTAGATCATTTTCAGTTTCATCAATATTCGCCAAAATTTCAAACCTACTAGGTTTGCTGGACAGTAGAGAAGATGATGCAGCTATATTCAAAAAGAATCTTACATAAATTAATTTATTAACCTCTAAATGATTTCGTGACCATAGTTCAAATGTATTAAGCTTGATTGTTATTGATCACAAAAATTTGGAGAGGAACTTATCTGAGAAACTCAAAGATTAGTTTATTTCTTCAACTTCTTTGCGTCAAACATCTTAGTTTGATCAGCAATAATATTACCTAATGACAACGCAATTCCTTGAGTCTTACTACGAATTCTGACAACACCTTCAATATTGCCTTCTGGTAACTTTTCTAAAGAAACGTTAGCCAAAGCATCTTCACCAAAGCTGCTCTTAGCATAGAGATTGGCAGACAAGAACTCACAATCACCATCAAGAGCACTTTCAGGTGTGAGACAGTTAGTCTTAGTAACATCCTTGATCAGTGTAAGATAATCTCTAAGGGAAACATCGGTAGTGAAAGATTTGATAGTAATCTTATTTTCCCATTCAAATTCGAACCACATAGCACGGAATTGAATATCATTACAGATGGCTGGGAAGATATAATCCATAATGTTGATATGGATATCATTAAGAATAATACAGAAAGATTCACCCTTTGGAGTGTCATAAACAATATTACCAAAGATGATACCATTTTCAGTGGAAGAAACCTTAATGTTGGCTGTAATGTGTTGTCTTGCACCTGGAGCGAGAGTGTAAGTTTGTGGACGTTCACAGAGCTTCAAATCACCAACAGTACTCATTTCAAGTGTCAAGTTTTGGAAGGTTTGGTTAGTGGTGTTAACAACCAAAATGTCCAACATGATATCAAATTGGTGAGTAACAACTTGAGCCTCAGCATAAACTGGATCAGAGAAACCAGTAAGTTGAGTAACACGGCTCAATCTGGTCATGAGCTTTTCGTGATCGGAAGCCATAGAGGCAGACAAGTTAGAGGTGGCTCTAGAAATATCAGCTGGATCATCTTCAAAGTCAATAGCATCAATAGATCTTCCCTTCAATTGAGGTACATGAATGAGGGAGTCACATTGAATTTGTTGCAATTCCTTCTTGGATTTGAGCCCTTCACGTTCAGCAGCTTCTCTAGTCTTTTCTTCTTCAAGAATACGAGTGAAAGCACCACGATTGTCGTTAATATCAAGCAATGAGAGTTCATCATCAGACTTGGAAGCCAAAATTTTCAAGCACAAATTGATTCTTTCAAGGGTGTCCTTGTCCATCTTGATTCCTTTGTGAGCCAATTCAGCAACGCCCTTAGCAGCTTCAGTATTCTTGGATGAGGCACCAGATGAGCTCAAACCAATACGAATAAGAACAGCCAAAATATTCATAACCTCAGCAATCATCTTGTTAACTTCCTTCTTGTTAGTGTTAATTTGCTTGAACTTGAGAGCCAACTTGGTGAGAGTGTTGGCAACAACAGAAACCAAGTAAAAGTTTCTTTCCTCAATCAATCCCTTCAAAGAGGTAGAAGCAACTGCATTGTTGTTGGCTTCAGTGCTGGTGAGAGTATCAGCAAATTGAGTAACATAGGTACCGTCCTTACCAATGGCAGAAGTGGTAGCAGTAGATCTAGTAGTCTTCGAAGATCTCAAACTACCAGCATCGCTGATGGTATCATCATTTTCTTCTGGCTTGTCAATAGCCAATTCATCAACATTTTGAATTAATTCAGTCAATTCAACCTTAACAGTTTGGAAGGTTTGTTGAATTTGTTCAGCACTATCGCAATAATCACCCAAAATCCATAAAACAATACGGAAGGTTCTGGCATTGTTAATAGTAGCAAAATGTTCACACAACTTTTCAATAACCTTAGCACGGAATTCATTGGAAGAAATTTCAATAACTTCACGAACAAGCATGGCACATTCAACACCACAAGCATCACTCAAATATTGATCAGAACCAATGAGAGTAAGAACAGAGGCGTTGGTTTGGTCTGGGAACTTTCTGACACAAATGTGAATGGTACGCATAACATGTCTACGATATTCTTGTTCAGATTGCTTTTCATATTCGACAGTTTCAGATCTGGACTTTTGCAATTCACGTCTCAAAGCATTAACAACAGCCTCAACAGTGTATGGAGAAATCAATTCCATAGCGAGTTCTAAAATCTTTCTTCTAATGTCATTATCCAAATTGACAGAAGTTGATGAAGAAAGAGTACGAAGCAAGTCGAGAACAATTTGTTCTTGTTGCATAACATCAACACCAAACTTGGTCTTCAATTCAGTCAATCTTTCGAGACAAATCAACTTGACATTGCTATCAGAGTGATTTTGCAAAAGCTTGATAAAGTTTGTGGCAGCATACTTGATAGAAATTGGTGAGGAAGAAAGGGAAACTAATGTACAACAGCATTGATAAACAACAGAATTTGACTTGGATTCCAACAAGCTACTAATAACTCTGAGATAAATAGCCTTTTCACTTGGGTATTGTTTACACATTTGCTTCAAGAGATTCAAAATAGCCAATTGGAAAATGTCTCCTTGTTGACTGACAGTATTCATAATGTCTCTCAAGTATCTTACAGCTCTTTCTTGATCGCAGTGGAAGAGCATGATGAAAGCATGTCTCATAGCAGAGATTTCAGTTTCAGTCTTTAAGAATTCTTCCATCAACTCTGGAGCATCAGGAATAAGACTTTCACCATTAGTTTCATCAGAATTGCTGTAAATAGAAAAGATGGTTGTAACTGCACATCTACGGACGTAGGATGTTCTGTGCTCCAAGTTTTGAAGGATTGGAGTGATGAGAGGTTCTAACATTTCTGGTTCACGAACACGAGACAAGAAACGAAGAGCAAAACCTCTGACATATTCGTTTGGATGAAGGAGATCGTTTCTAATGTGGGAGCTATTAATTGTATACAATAAAAGTATCAATATGAGATGTGTTGTGAAGAAGATTATACAACAAGGATAATAATATTATTAGGATAATAAATTAGCAATAATCATAGTAACAAGGAGAAGAAAATCTTGTTAAAACAACAATAATCACTAACAACAAACATACCAGCACATCAAGAGGTACGAAATCATCTTACCACTACCTGGTTCTCTTCTATTCATAGTTTCCAAATAATAGTAGGCCAACTTCTTCATCATCTTGTTTTGATTTGGCAAAACATATTGAATGATGGTCATGAGCAAGTGGGAGAAATCTTCTCCGTTCAATTGCATCATCAAGAGAGTCTTCATGGCTTCTATCTTTTCATCATCGGTAACATTTTGAGGACTGGCTTCCAAAGTTTCCTTGAGTTGTTTCTTGGTAATACTTGGCTTGGTCTCAAAGTTGATGAGTTGGGTGCAATACTTCTCTTGGTTGAGATGAGCAGAGCTTGTAGCCATTTTTTTTTAATACTAAAATTTTTTAATAAATTTAATTTTTTTAAGGGAGAATACTATCTTATGAGGTGGCAAGTGTACAGTACACGTGGATTAAGGGCTAAATTTCTGTTCGAAATTGATTTTAGAGATGCATTGTATGTAAGCGAGTTGAGGGAAAAATTTCTTTTATTCAGTCTTTTCCTTCTTAGGTTTGTTAGTGGACTTTACACAGCACAAGCAAAGAAGAGAAATAATTCTGAGCATAATTTTGATATTGATGTAGATAATGATGAGAAGGGTGAGAAGGATACAAATAGCAACAATTGAAGTATCAACAATCAATGCAGCCTTTGTATCAAAGCTATATGAAGGTGAGAGCACGTTCTTATTGGAAGCCAATGAAAGAATGTAAGATGAGAGAATATTTACAGACATGTTGGATCCTTCTGAGAAGAGGTCGGAATATTGTTTGGTAATCTTAACTTGTGAATAAAGCTCAGTATTCTTTAAGAAGTTAGACATAACATCTTGGATAACCTTTTCGTTAGTAAATGATGGAATGAGAACATGTCCTATTTTCAAGTTTCCACTCAATTGTAATGAAACAGCAAATCCTTCAGTAGTGGATGGAACCATCAAAACAGGCTTTCCATGAGCAATCACCTCACTGGTCGATAATAAATCTCCACTTGTAATGACGAATCTAATACTGGACGATTTGAGAATTCTGTTTCTTTCCTCAGCTCTTAAATCAGAAAACACGAAGGATGGGTATTTGGAGATGATTTCCTGGCTAAGACCATTCTTATTAATAATAACAAGATGATTATGCTTGGTAGCAATGGTTTCCAAATTATTGAGAAATAGTGGAAGTAATTTGAATGAATCTCTTAAATTGACAAGAATAACATTTCTGTTTTCCATCTTCTTCTCCAATGTCTTGACTTCTGACAATCTCTTCTCAGCAACATTGATCCACTTGGTTTGTTTGATCAAAAGTGGAGGAATTAAATGAGCATTTGATGGAATTCTAAGAGAGCTATCTTCGGTAACACCACTAACAGAAGTGTAGAACACATGAGCAGTTTTGACAATGTCAAGAATGCTAGTATCATCAGCAATTCTCATTGGAAGATATTCTGATCTTCTATTGTTTAAAAAGAGTTCATAAAGCCAAAATGCTTGGTATTGAGTTTGTGAGAACATATTGGAAACGATATTCAAGAATTGTCCAACCAAATTCTCTTCATTCATAGATCTGATAAAGTCGGTAGAGTTTTGCTTCAAGAATTGACCTCTTGTTACAAGATCCATAGTAGTAGCATATGATGAAGTCTTATCTAATTGAATCATTTGATTAAAGAGTTTGAGATAGGATACTTGATTGAATGGATTGAATCTAGGTTCGAACAATTCCTTTCCAGTTTGGTGAGATACTGGTTGAATAGTTGAAAGACCAGCAAGAGTTGGACACAAAATGACAAGAGGCTTTGAGAAACTGCTTGCAAAATCCATAGCACCAAATGCATGACAATCAGTAACAACTACATCAACCTTGGACTTTTCTAATTGGCTAGATCCACACTTGTAGAATGATTTTCCAAAATATGTATCAATCCATTGATGTTTCAAATGAGTGGCATATTCATAGTAAGTTTGCTTCTTGTTGGCAGGCTCAATAATTGATGAGTAGAAATTTGTTGGAATTCTGGTATCAATTGGACATTTGACAAGGTTAAACTTGGCTTCTTCACCAGCCCTTCTCTTTGTTAAAAATTGCTCAAAGGCATCCGAAGCATCGTAAGGTGTCAACACAGTAACAACAGACTTATCCTCATTCACCAAGTGATCAACCAAAGGCTTAAACTGGTCATAAAACAATGGTTGAGTAAATATCCACACATTTTTTCTTTCCTTCTTTTCCCCAGCATTATCCGCACTCACCAACCCCATCAACCCTACCACTACCATCAACAATAACATTCCGATCATCATCATTGTGATCCTCGACTCTCGGAATTTTCTAACAGACATTAAAGATTTTCCCCTCTCAAGATTTTGGCGCATTTTTTTTAAAGTGGAAGAGCAAACTCATCAAGATTTTCGGAATGACTTTTCAAATATCATCAACATGGATTTCTTTTCAAACAATTCCGAATTTACATGTATTAGACTTGAAGCTTACATTTTGTAAAAAGGATTTTTTTCATTTTAATAAAAACCAAAATTTTGAAGTTTGCGCGTTTGATCGAAATTTTGATTGGCGCCAAAATTCTTTGATTACCAGGAAGAGGTGACTTTGGAAAGCTTAATTTGGACAAGCATGGCAAAGAGAAAAATAGCCAGACTTGAGGTTCAAATCCTCATTCAAGGTTCCTCTTTTTAAATGTTTATATTTCTGATTTTTGTCAATTTTTTGGATATTCAATCAAAATGTAGGTTTCGAATAATTTTTGAATTCAATATCTAGAATAGTTATCGGGTATCGTGTTTATCGCAATAAATGGAGATAAGGAAATTGAATGAGCGACAGCGTTTGAATGGTATCGCCTTCACAAGTTGAAAAAAATGTCAAACTATGAAAGTAGTAGAAAGGATTCTTCTACTTTCCAACAAAACAAAATGCCATTCGGTTCACTAACTGCATGGACAAAGCATTGCAAAATAGAAACATCATACTTTCCTTTTAGCACATCAATTTCCCACCACAATAATCAACTTTCTTCCACTTTCACCAACAATCGAACAATACTCCTCTTGACTTGCATTTATTTATCACTCATCCTAACCTGTTCTCCAATTCACTGTGACACCATCACCATCCCATCAAACTCTACATTCTATACCCTTCCCAATGATACTCCAACTTTCGGAACTTTTAAAGTTACTGTTTCGTATGCTGTCAGTCCAAGCACCTATCTCCAAAACATTTCCTTCTCTCTCATGTATCTGAATGTAAATTCATATACTGCCTTTTTATCAGATCCATCGGCTTTTGAAGCAGATCCTGCAAAATTTGATGGTGAAATTGATCTTTTCCAATCATCAAAACCATCAGGTTCTATTCAGATATCAGAGATGAGATTTACCGAAAATACCAAGTTGAATCAGTACAAGTATATTATTAGGAAAAAAGAAAAATCATTGCAATATACATTGGCTATTACAAAGTTTACATTGGAAGAGACGTGGAGAGTTTATGATCGATTACTTTTGGGTATGCAAAGTGTGGATATTCCGAGTGGGTTGACTGAGAAGTATGTTTGTGAGGTTTGTTCAAGTAGAGTTATTGATGTGAATGAATTGGATGCAAAGGTATCGTACACTGTGACAGTTTCACCGTATGCTACTGGACGTGTCTCATTAATTAATGTGAAATTGTCAACTCAAGAGGATCTGGTTTGGTCATCAGATCAGACGCTGATTCTTAAGGATAGTAGGTCAACACTCACATTTACTACCAATTCAAACTCAATCAAAACTCTGTACGTTCAAGTAACAGCACTTAATTGTTCATTGAATGATCAGATTTTGGACAGATGTCAATTCTCTTTCAATGTCAAACCTGTCAATTCAAAATCTTTGACTTCTGCAAGTGCTGATACAGCTATTGTGGTGACTGCTGTTATTTTGAGCTTGATTATTCTATTGGCAATTTTATTATCGAGTGGATACTTTTATTATAGATACAGAATGAGTAAAAGATATGAGGAGGCAAGATTACAAACAATGAGAGAAATGACTAGTAGAGCCCAACTGTCACTTGCCAATGGATCCAATGTTCAAACTGTGGATGAGAGTCAGAGACCTCATGATCCATTTGTGAGATTGGATAAACTTCATGGATACTCATTGGATTCAAGTACTCATTTTGTAATGGATGCACTTCCAAAAGTAAATATTAATTTGGCTACCACACCAACAACCCCAGAGCCAGTAGTTCAGTACGGCGTCGATACTAAGAGATTATCCCAACGTGTATCTGATGCACATGCACCAATAGAAACAGATTCCATTAAATTGGCAGTACAAAATGAAAAGGATCATAAATAATCCAATGTAATAAACAATAATCCTTAATAAAACATTTCAAGAATATTAGAGTCCAAATGTTGTCTTACAAAACTGTGCGAGATTTGTTAATCCCAAACAAGGATGCTCTGAAAATTTGTTCACCAAATCCTTAATTGAAAGGAAAGGTCTCATTTGCAATATCATTGAACTCTTGGGTGATTTAAAGAATGAATCAAGGTTTTTTTGCCGACACGTACTGAAAAAATGTAAGATTGCAACTGTTTTAGGCGTTAACAATTCTTCAACTTTCTGATCAGTCCATTCTATTATAGGTGGATTGTTCTTCTTGAGGATAGTAAGCTTGGCAGAAGATACGGTTTTAGGTGAAGCTGTTTGACTTGTTCTTTGAGGAAGAACAAATTGAATTTTTGGACATTCAACTGGTTGAACAATAGGAATCTCAGTATTTTCCTTTTCTATTGTGGGCTTAGTTGCAATAGTTTTAGATTTTTTAGGAGAGTTCCTTATTGCCAATTGTAAGGACTTTTTAGCATCCTTAGAGTTGCTGTTGTTTGTGTTGGATGCAGATATTATCCCACGAGGAGAAATCTTAATTTTTGAAAACTTTTTTCCTGATCTTGTTGAATTGTTTTTTGATTTTGGTGTGAAATCATTTGGAGGTGTTTTGATGGCATTGAGTACTTCTTCGTAATCAATATTAATGGAAATTACAGAATCGTCTAATTGTTGTTGGTCAGTATTTTGAGTGGCATTTCTTTTCTTCTCAATAACTTGAAACATTCTCTGAAAAAGCAAGGAAGTGGTAGAGCACTCGACTAGCGAGCATACAGTAGAATTATTGGAAGAGCATGTTTGACACATCCAATTTGATGAGTTGGCAGAAATTGAAAAGTAGTTCAGAATTTCCTGCTCATTACAAAGAGGTTTAATATTATCTTTGAAAGATTCATACAGATAAATGGTTTGTTCAGAAAGTAAGTGATAGAGATTATTCAGGAAGGAGTAGGAATCAAACGTGTCACCAATTATAATATTCTGTAATGTATCCAACAACATGTCCATCTTCTTGCCATGACTTCTTGTTACAATCTTTGGTGATTGATCAACATTGAAAAAGTTATTAGAGTAAATTAATCTCGAAAGGTTAGTTACTGCATCTGTTAGATAGGACTTTCCATTTCCATCCACATCTGCTTTTTGAATGATAGAGGCATGGAATCTGATACCAGTCTCTTGGAAATCAATTCCATTCTTTAGTAATTCAACACAAACAATCTCTTCAATTTCACAACTCAAGTCATTTAACCTAAACTCGAATGCAAAAACTCTTGAATGGGATTGAATGTCAAAGTTTCCAACAATGGATTTCTCAGAACCCACTTTACTCTCTTGACTCACCAGATTAAAATCTGCCATCTCAAAGGATTTATCATTAAGCTTGACCTTCTTCTTTTTGGGTGAGGCTGTTGGCGAGGATGAACTCGAGCTGCTATTGGTGTCTGATGAAACTCTACTTGCAAACAATGGGGGAGAGGATACAATATTCTCTGGCGAGGATAGAATATCACTTGGCAGAGAACCAAGTGAAATTTCTGGGCTAGAGTTTGGCTGTGCTATTTCTGATTTCCTAGAGCTTTTTGTGATATTGGTATTTGGTGTAATGGTATCATCATAAATTGCTTCAAAGAGTGAGGGAGTAATAATGTCTCCAATGGTAGACGAAACACCTCCTGCACTGTTTGTTGGGCACGCTGTAGTTGCATTCTCTCTACTCTTTGGAGTGACAAACTTGAATTCAGATTCTTTCAGAGTTTCTATTGGAAAGTGAGAGAAGCATGATGTCGATGCCTCCTGAGGCTCCTTATTCATTAATTTAGGTGCCAATACATTAAAGATAATCTCAGGACTGGAAGGCGAAGCAGCAGGAACAATCAAAGCTTCCAATCTTTCCTTCCTACTATTAAAATAGGATCTTGTTTCCTCAACAACACATTTACCATCATGACCATCACTACTCGAACAAGCCTTCCGAACACTATTACTCTTCAATATAAAATTCCTTCCTTGAAACATATCGGTATTTGTAGTCGTGGTCGTTCTCTTTTTATGACGATGAGCCGTGCTATTACCATGATGATGATGGTGATTCATATTTTTTGTCTTTTTCTTCTTTCATTTTGCAAAAGGCTTGCTGCACAAGTTCGTAGGCTAATTTTTTTGTGTTTTGTTTTTCAATTCGAGTGAGAGCTCGAACGAAATTTGGCGGGAATTTGAGTAAGGTATGAATGTTAAATTTGATACAGAGCTTTCTGAAATGTGAAATGAATTCAATTAGAAATATTTTTTTGAAAAATCATTTTATTGAACTTTTCCTTCTTTTGAATTTTCTTCCTTTTTCTTCTTCAATGCATATGGTGTTGCTGTGTCCACATCGTCATCCTCTGAAGAACCATCTGATGCCATTAAACAACCACTCAAAAAGATGCATGGCATTGAAAATGGACAACATACTACATAGAATGGAATTGAAAGAATTGGATGAATCTTATCCAACTTATCACCTATATCATACATCCAAATGCCAGAGCAGGGTGATTGCATGTACATATCTAAACATGTCTTTTCCTCTGTGCTTGCTTCTTCCTCTTTTGAAACTTCTGATTCTCTTTGGGGTGCTGTTGAAGTGGAGCCAACAAGTAATTGATTGTTTCCTCCTTTTTTGGTGCTGGCTGATGTTGGCATGTGATTCAAATCAATCGATTCTCGTGGTGGTTGTGCATTGGATGGTGTGTTGAGAGAGGATGAGGAAGTCGATAGGGATGATGATGTGGTTTCTGGTTGTGATAAATGTTTATTGAAAGGAGTTGATGAGCCAGGAGAATCTAGATGATTGTTACTACTATTATTTGAAGCGACCATGTTGTTGTCAACAGACTAGTGTTGAATATTAGCAAGTTAGTGTTTGTGGTTGTTTTTTTTGAGGGTGTCTGATTCGCGAATGTTGGAGAAACTTGTGAAAAAACCAATTATACGAAATGAGCATGAAAATACAAGTGGATATCACTATTCATGATACCACCACAATCTCTAGCTGGTTGGTTCATGTTAAATCAAAAGAAAAACTTATCTAGCTTTTTCTTTCATCGTAATTTACCAAACGAGTACTAACCCTTCAATCTTTTGATGCTTGATTTGGAATACACCCACCATTTGAATGCTTTATAAGGCCGAAACGATATTATTAATGAAATTTTACATGAAGTGAGACAGCAGTAAAAGGCTTTTGTGGGGTTCGGTAGATTTCCATAGATGAAAATTGGAAAGAGATTGTTTTCATGTTTTGTAAAGTGTAAATACAATGAATAGTTTAAAGAACATGAAAGTATTAAGAGATAAAAATGATGAGGTTCCAAACAAGGGTTTTGGTCAAATTAATACAACAGTGAACAATAAACTGGTAAAATTTGTAATTGGTAAAGTTGACTGACCATAAAAATAATAATATTTGACAGTTTTAGTGAATGTGTAGCCCGTCTAGCTCAGTCGGTAGAGCGCAAGGCTCTTAACCTTGTGGTCGTGGGTTCGACCCCCACGGTGGGCGTTTCCTTTTAATCAAGGTTAATAGTAGATCTATTAGCAGGTTGGTCAAGTTTTTCATTTCTTACTTTTTATCTGTTGAGTTAAACAAACAAAGGCATCCAGTGTGTTTTAATGAATGGATCACGTTTTTAGTCTGATGTGGATTCGAAATAGTTTAGAATACATTCGTATGATTGCTCTCTGAGCATTCTTCTAAGGTGATATTGAAGAGATTCTTCTTCGGTGGCCTGTTGTTCGTCATTGGGGGAAGAATCATCCAGATCAACAATTGGAAACTCATTCATATCAGATTCGTATAAAGAATATCCAAAATATTCCAAATCTTCATCACTACCTTGTTCGATTGGTTCTGCTTCAGGATTTCCTGCATATAAAGCAGCTTCCAATCGGGCATCTGCAAAAAAGAATGTCTTACCTGTTAGTTTTGTAAATGATTCTAGAATGTCCTGTGAGTTCAACTTTAGGTCTCTATCTTCCATAAGATCACTGTTTAAAAAATCATCTTCATATTCGAAACAGTGGAGTGAGTAGTCTTCATATGTTTCTGTAAATTGCAAATCTTGTGTCTTGTTTGGGAATTTACTTTCATAGGCATCCTTAATCAGTAAATAAATGAATCTTTTCAGTTGGTAAAAAGCATCCTCAATAGCAGACGGTTCGTGGAATAATATTCCTATTAGAAAGCTCAGAAAAGAAAATGATTCAAATACAAACCTGCACGTTTTGTACATCGTGTTATTCCAGCTCTGATTGCGTAAGGAACATGCTCTTCAGAGAAAACATTAAAGTTATCGTCATCATTATCTCTACATTTTGCTTCTTGAATTTCATGAAGATATGGCTCGATCATACCCTTTTCACGCTCTATTTCATCAAATATTACAAAAGGATTAAATTCATAAGTGTCCTGTTCCTTTTCTGGTATTCCAAGTTGTTTCTCAATAAGAATTCTATAAGATTCTGAATCTATTTTGTCTTGAACCAATTCAAATTGTTCCTTAACGGTTCCTTTACAAAGTGGACTACCAAAAGGAATCAATTTTCTGTGAAATTCACACTCATCAAGCTCAATAACATCATCGTCATCTGAACAATGTCCATAGCTTACACTAAAATCCCCAATCTGATCATCATTATAACAAGTAAATGGTTTCCAAGTGGCACCTTCAGTATATAAACCATCCTTCAATATTAAATCATCATTCTCCTGTCCAAACTTTCTCAAACTATCTAAATGTTCATCATTTTCATAAATTTCCATTGCCAAATCCATAAAGAATGGAATAATCAATCGGGCCCAAGTTTTACTCACCAAAATGCAAGAACGAAATTCGTATAATTCCAAAAAGCCTAAAATTTCAAAGAAACAATCATTTCCAATTTCCATAATTGATTTTCTATTGCTGGATCTATTTTCCAGTGTTGTTGCTCCTACTGCTCCTACTCTTTCTTCTGATGCAGATGATGATGCGGAATCCATTCTTTCATCATTCAATTCCATTCTTTTAATTGTTGCTTCATCATTGCTACCATTATTGTCATCATTATTTTCGTAAATGGCATGTTTATTATTCGCTTGGTCTTCTGATTCCTCCTCGAGGTCATTATTACGATACATTAGCAAATACTTGCTCGGCCTGAGGTATTGTGAAGAAAATTGATCGAGCAGCAATTTCCTCTTCTTATTTTCTAACATTTTTTTTTTTGATTTTACAAAAAACAAATTCATGTTGTTTAGTTCCTTTAAATCTCTTGAACAACAAATCTCAATAAGATCCACCTAAACATTGATCTGTTCTTGAAAAATAGATTCCATAGATTAGATTATATTGTAATCACTGCTATCTTTTAGCCACACAAAAGTGGAACTCTAAAAAAAAAACGCCGTTACAAGAAGATGCACGGCAGCAGTCATGATGAAAATAAGAGAAAGCTCTCTCTTGGTGAGTCTAGCCAAGAAGGAAGCAAGAAAATTAAATTGTCTTCATCATCATCATCGAGTGGTCTTTTTGGTGATTTACCGAATGAACTTGTTTTACAAGTAATTTCCTTCCTTGTGGGTGATTTGAACGATTTCTATCATAATGTTGATGTGACAACAATTAAGAGAGATCCAACACAAACTGCTACCAAAAGAAATTTGTATGATTTGAGTGCTCTTGAGCAAGGTGTGAGCCACTTGACAAAATTCATTCCGACTTTTGACAATATTAAAGCCTTGGCAAAACTTTCCATGGTCGATAAGAGAACTTTTGAATTAGTGACAGGAAAAGCTAATGATGCAGATTTACAATTTATGGAGAGATTTTGGTTGCAAGGATTTGTGTTTTTCCAAAAGTTGGCCTATTGGATTAGAACTGACACTATTGATAATTTGCAATTAGGTTGTGGTGATTTGAACAGAAGACAAATAGAAGAGATGGGACGTATTCAAAATGTTGTTCAAGCTGTTGAAAGAGGTAAACCACTTGATGATTTAGAAAGTGCTGTTGACAAGGAAAACTCTTGGATGGATGACATGAGCGATGGTGGAGACGATGACGAGGAGGAAGAGGAAGAAGAGGAGGAAGAGGATGATTTCTTAGATGGAGACTATTGTTCTGATATTTCTAAAATTTTACCTGGTGTCACTATTGCAATTAGTGGAATAGTCAATCCAGAAAGAACAACCCTCAGAGAAACTGCAATGAAAATGGGAGCCAAATACACTCCAGAATTTCAAGCTGGTAAAACCACTCACATGAGTAAGTATTTGTTTCAAATTGGTATTTTGGTCTAACACAAACCAGTTGCTGCCTTTTCGAATACTGACAAGACAAAAGAAGCCATTAATGCAGGTATATTTGTTGTTAGTAAGCAATGGGTTTATGATTGTTCAACTCTCTCAAAGAGGATGGACGAGAGAAGATATTCAATGGTTGCTGTTCCAAAACCTGTTAAAACAACCATAAAGAAAAAGGAGAAGAAGAAGAAAACCCCTTCTAAAACTCCATTGTATAGCGATGAGCAAGTCTGCACAGCAATGCTTAAATCCAGATTGGATGGGTTTGATATTGAATTTGAGGATTATGAAACCCTTTTCAAACCACATCGTACAGCATTTGAAATGTTCATGACTCAATCATTTATTCTCTCCTTGAACATGTTCAATCATATGGACTCTGAAAATAATGATGAATACTGGAGTGAGGATAATGATGTGCTTTTAACTTCTAATTATTTAGAAAGTTGGGCAGATGAACAACCAGCAGCCAATCCATACAGATACAGAAGAACTAAACATAGTGGCGACGATAATTCTCCAAAGCTTGGTGTTAAAATTGAAGGAACTGGTGGATGGGCCAATTTTATTACCTGTGATGCAGATAATAAGAAGGCTGCACATACTCTCACACAAGCCGATATCAAGATGGATAACATTGAAAAGAAATTATCGAAATCTATATATTTGAACTTGGCCAATGTGTTATACTTTACACCACTGCAAAATTATTCATTCCCTGATAGTATAAGATTTTTATCAATTGACTATAGTGCATCAGCCGCCTATAAGGAATATCCAAATGAGGAGTGGAAATCATTCTTTAATAATTGCTCATTCCCAGGTGTAAGATATTTGAGATTAAGATGTGGTGAAGAAAGATACTACCACCGTAAAACAGATGATAAAAAAGAAGTAATGACAGCAGAAGAAACATCTAAAGTCATAATTGAATCAATCTTGAATTCCAAGTCACTTCCAAAATTGGAATATTTGTTGTTGGTAGGATTTTCTCAATACAACTATTTGGAACAACAAATTGATTATTTGAAACAATTATATGGCATCGATATTGTATTCGATTATGAAACTAGAGATCATTGGAAAGGAATGACAAAATTCACTTCTCATTTGAGCAACGAACGTAATAGCTTATTGAGATACGTTGTTGTGGAAACAGATTTGGACTCTAGAAATGCCTGTGATCATAATTCCATCCAGGAATATTATGACTCTCACAATTGTCCAGCTTCCATCGGTAGATACAGTATTTCTAGATTCTACTATTCCTGTAATGAATAATAATAACCCCTACTACTTATAATCAATTAAATTTATTTATTTTAAATATATTACTTAATATTATTTAGAATATTAATTCTTATTATTTGAAGGTGTTATGAATTTTAATTTAATTATAAAAAAATGTTGAGAGGTATTAAAGTGAGAAAACCTCAACCTAAGCATTCTTCATCAGATAGTAAAACAACAACCTCCTCGGAATACAATTCATCAGCAGCATCATTAGAAGAAAAATCACATAAAAGAAAACATGAAGAAGAATCAACAAGAGAGGATTGGATGTTAGCTCCTCCGAAGGATATATTCAATAACAATAATCAACGATCAAAGGAAGAAGAAGAAGCAGAAAAACCATCATCAGTCATCAGCTTCCTCTCTTGAATTAAATCCACATATTAATCCAATGGCACGATCATTGTCTCAAACTTCTTCTTCCTCCGATATTTCATCAAGTTCTTGGAAAGCTAGAGCATTGAAGAGAGCAGAGGAAAGAGCTAAAGAGGCTGGTGTTTCTGTAGATGCTGTTTTGAAAGAACATTGGGGAGATTCATCAAAGAATGTTGCTACTGAATATGATAAAAAGACCATTGAAAAGATGGCACAAAGAGAATCACATCGAAACAAACACTTTGCACTGGATGGAAATATGAGAAAACCAGAATTTGATCTTGCTCCTAATACAAAGATTTATGAAAAGTATAGAAATGAATCTAGGAGTGAATCATCCAGTGTCAATATTTCAAGATTTGGAAATACTAATGAACAAACCTTTATGAAATATGCACTCATGTCCAATGAAGAATTGAATAGTCTTGCCCAAAGAGCACTCGATGCTGAAGATAGAAAAGACATGAAATTGTACAGAGAATTGAGTGATCAATTGAAGGAAATTAGACAATGCAAAGAAACTTACAAAAAGCATGGCTCTGCAGCTGCACAATTGCCTTCATTTGATTCACAGGGAAGGAGAATTGATGGAGGAGCACAAGGAAGAAAATACATTAATAATAGAGACGATTCATCTCTTCAAGACATTTATTTGGAAGCTAAGGAACATTCAGTTCAAGATTTTGATAGAAATCTTGCAAATAATATTGCAAAAGATTCATTGTACAGATCATCCAATAGAAATGCCTCTGAATATGATGATCAATACTCTGATTTCTTTAAGGGTAATGGATCAGAATCATTCGAGGTTGGTGACGATAGAAGATCAAAGAAGAAACAAAAAACTTTGGAAGAAAAACAAAAAGCATTCCTTCAAAAGAACAAAATGTTCGAATTGAAAAAGCTAAATAATGTGGAAAATTGTGCATTCTGTGTGGAAAATAAGAGATTCAAGAATCATCTGGTTATTGCTACTGGCAGCAAGGCATACCTTACAATCTCTCCTTTTGGGTGCCTTACTGAAGGTCACTGCTGTATAGTACCAATTCAACATACGATTTCCATAAGAGAAACTGATGAGGATGTTTATGATGAAATTATGAAATTCAAACTGGCTCTCAAGAAGCTATTTGTTGAGCAGGGAAGAGATATTATTTTTATAGAGACTGTAACTCAATATTCAATGAAACACGAGAAGCATGCCTTCATTGAGTGCATACCTGTGAGTGAGCAACAGATGGAAGTTGCTCCATCCTACTTTAAGAATGCAATTTTAGAACTAGGTAATACTGCTTATAATTTGAGTGCCAGTGAATGGAGTGACAATAAGAGATTTATTGAAACAAAAGGAAAGGGAATTCACAGATCCATACCTAAAGGTTTCCCTTACTTCCATGTAGAATTTGGAGTGAATGGTGGTTTTGCCCATCCAATTTCTGATGAAGATTTCAGTTTTGTGTTTGGAAAGGAAGTACTTTGTGGAATTATGAAAAAGACACCAAACGAAGCCAAATTGAGAGCACCAAGATTTGAGGAAGAAAAGCAAAATGCACAAAAATTCTCTCAACAATACTCAAAATATGATTTCCTTAAACAACAACAATAATTCATTCAATATTGTACACTTGTTCTTGAACTACAATTTTTGTAATCCTTTGGACACAAATTTTGAAAAGATTTTTTTATTAGGTTTCTAATGGATAAATAATTTACCACATTCGTTCTTGGGTTACATCCAAACCAAATGAGAATGTCTTTATTTGGTGGACCTGAATTAATTTATGGATAAGCAAATATCCTCCATAAAAAAAATGTCCAAGATTTTATTTCTGTGTGCTTTGCTTTTCATTGCATTGACAGCTGCCACTATTCACTGCCAGGATTACATTCTCGATCCAGAAGCCATGAGAGAGATGGGTTACTTTAACCTCCAACAACAAGTCATGATTAACAAAATGCTCCTCATGAATCATGAAGAGTACATGAAGGAATTACATGCTAAAGAACTCCTCAATCCAAAATTTAAAAAGTATGCAGGAAATTATCATTTGCGAGAAAAGTACACCTCAATGGTTCAGTATTTGATTTCGTATATTGCTGTTGGTGAACAAATTTTGAAGGAGAAAGCTGCAAGAGGTCAATTTGATGCCATGGTTCAAGAGGAAGACCAAGATTTTATGGAATTGAATGATACTGAACTTGAAAATTTATTGGAATGGATTTAAAGATTGCCACATTGTTAATAAATTCAACTTCAAGTTTGTACACAAAAAAAAAGTTCAACATGAACTTGAAATCTATTTTTATGCTTCAACTTCTGGCATGAAACATTTTTTCAAAGCTTTAAATAGAAAGCAGAGCTGAAATTCAAGAAAATCCAAAACAAAAAAAAACAAAAGATCACCAAACTCTGCTAACTGTGTAAAAATCATGACCGTAAAAATCCTCCCTGTAAATAATACTGCCACCCAACAAACTAAATCTTGTTTCCTTTCTAAGAATGAACAAATTGCTGAAGAAGAAACAATTTGGCTTAAGAAAAAGGAACGTTTTCTAACCTGTAAAGAAGCAATTAATAGAATCATGTGGGATTCTGATTTAAATGATGCCTATCTTCACTTGTCAATGATTTACAAAGACAGATTTGAAGGTGACACTTTTATTTCATATGAAGAATTCTTAAATAGTGATTTGGCTGAAGAGCTTCCACAACATCGAATTCAACAATTGATTTATAGAGATGAATATGTATTCTGGGATAAAAATATCAGAATTGACATGTTGTCAAATGGTCAATTGGGAGAATTGATTTCCAAATTTAAAAAGGAAGAACAAGAAAGACTTGCTAGAGAACAAGCTGAATTCACAACTGTTTTACAACCAACAACTCAAGAAATCTCAACTTTAAAATCTTGTTCACAAAAGAAGAATAAGAAGAATAAGAAAATTATGAAGGAATTTGTTAGAAATCAAGAAACAGGCAAACAAATTGTTTCATCTATTGACGAGGATGATGAGTATGAACAATATATGGAAGAATATGATGAACAATATTCAATCTATTCGAAATATTAAATAAATTGTCAACCAATTTAGATTCCTCTCCTTAATAATCAATCACTCCTGTTTTCCACATTTTTCTTTAAAACCTCAATTTACAAAATTCCTAATCTTTTCCAACTTTATACGAAATGATCTCATCTTTCATAATAAACTTTGCCTCAATCCTATCCTTTGAAATATTACTCCAATTACTTGTCCATTAGAAATAACACCTAAACATGCGATTGATTAGAACTAAATTCAAAATGCACTTTTTTAGAAAATGACCTCCATAACAAATTATCATCACACCAAACTATTTCTTTAACAATAAAAACAACAACAACAACACAATGAGCAACAACGTGCGTGAATTAGCAAAATCAATAACCAATACTCTCAGAGACTCTGGTGAGATGGTTTCCAACAACTTGGAAAAGGCACTAATTGCTGCTTCAAGAAATGATGCAAACACCACTCTTCAAGTAAGAATGGAAGAATTATTGCATTCATGGGAAACAATACAAAATGTCAGTGTTCGTTCTCTGAAAGACATGTTGCTATCAATTGGAGTTACTGTAGGAACGGATTGTTTCAATAATTCGTCACTTTCCTGTCGAATTGTTAAGCAGAGATCATCATTATTGGCAAGCAGTAGGAGGGTGACGTCTATTGAGCAAATTCCAACAATAATTTCAAATACTATGAACGAGTCAATTGTTGTCCAGACCGATAATGATCTAATAATTAGCACCAACACTACTCCAATAGCAACCAATTCGAATAGTTTGACATCCACTCTGTTTAATGATGTTGTTCCTGTGTTATTTAGTGTTAAACGATTTGGAGATATTGTTGTAAGGTACAGGGAAGGACAGATTTCATTACTGAATGCAATTGTTAGATCTGCACTTGTGGTGGGAAAAACTGTTGGCAAGTGGTATGCTCCAACTCTTGGCAATTGTCTTGGTTATATTGATACTGCTGTTGAAATATGGGATTCTCGGGATCAGATTATGAATTTGCTTAGACGCATTGGTTTATAATAGGCTCACAAACTGAAATTGATTTAACAATTCAATGTATACAAACTGGAAACCTCTCCTTTTCATGAACTGGAAGCAATGATGATTGAAAAATATTTCTAATAGATTGATTTTCTTATTGTTGATGGTTTTTGGAGTAGATTCATAGCCTTAATAATCCAATCGATTCGATTTCATAATACAATTGAAACAACAAGTTTATTTGAATCAATTTAAAGCAACCCTCCGAGAGACAATAGGAGGTTGGCATCTTCATTGGTGGCTTCTGGTTCTGAGGCATCCTTTGATGATGCGCCAGTTCTTGAGGATGAGGCAACGGATTCACCTTGCTCACTTTGATCTCCATACTCAACAGGGATAGATGGTCTATAAACACCAACGAGATCTGTACAAACTTCATCTGTATTTTCAACTGGTAACAATGCTTCGCCATTCTTCTTTAGAATTTCATTTACATTAACTACTGTGAATCCAGTCAGCTTTTTAGCAAACGTATGGAATATTGGAGTGAATAGAGTGAATGGATTCTTGTCAGATTCGAAATCCAATCTCAATCTGAAAGGTGCATAGTTAAATCTCTTGGAGCAGAATGTTCTATTGATACCAAATCTAACAACTATGGAATAATCATTTTCTTTGGAGACAGAGGTCAATGTAGTAGTCTCTGATTCGTTTGGTTTTCTATGTGGACGTTTCTTTCTAGATTCTTCATTGACGGTTCTATCCCTTTGTCTAACCTTTGAATGATCATAGGATGGTGTTGAAAAGTCTCTTCCCATTACCAGTTCAATCTTGATTTGAGACATCATAAGCTTCTGAGGAACTCCTTGGAATATTGGTTTCTCTGATGAAATCTTGAGATCATACTTGTGCTTCCAAGTGAGAGTGTACAAAACCTTTGGGAAAGATGGAATAAAGTTATAGTCTCTAGACTTTTTGAATTGCATCTTTACATCAGGATCAGTAATGATAAAGTCAAAATCTTGAATGTTATCAGTATTGATAGTAGTGGAAGTATTGAGAGAATCATTGAGATGTTGTTCCATCTCTGTATTATTATTATTACTGGTAGCAGTATTTGTGAGAGATGGTTGGGAAGTGGTAGCAATCATTCTGGAGGCGAGAATTGGTCAACTTGATGAGCAATGCTTGTAGAAGCAGCAACCAGTGGAACAGCAACAGATATTGGTTTAGGTGGACTTGACTGTTGTTGTGGGTAAATATCATGTTGTATCATCTCGGATGAGTGTGTTGTGGTAGGCTTTGATTCCGAGAATTGATGGTGCATCATAGATGTCGAAGGACGATCCACAACATCTGGTGAAGAACAATTTGATTCTGAACCATCTTCTGAGGTTGGAGAGAGTTTCATCATCTTGGGTGCCTTCTCTGGTGATGAAGCAGTGGTGGAACTCTCTTGCCCGAGTGCACGTTTAGCAGCAGATGTTGAAATTCTTCTCGGCATGATGATAATTAATATATATATTAATGGTGTGTAAAAGCTATTTAAATGGTAACTATAGTACTATCAAAGAGGACAAGAATAAACAACTGAGATTTTATCAGTTGAGTGCAGACCGGTTTGATTTGTTATATTCACTTGTTCGCTTGTTGTGTTGGGTAAAAGCCTAAGCGAAACTCTTCAGAGGTGTGCTGTGTTGTTTTATTTTTTAGCTAAGGTTAGGTTGACCAACACGGCCATTAACCCACCATACACCAGAAAACAATTAAAATTGACCAAAAACGAGGAATTTACGAATCTTCTTTGCCGAGCTTCAATTGCATTTTGGATCAGTAGAATACATAAATCGGTTAAAAATCCTCTGGTTCATCTTGTTGGTAGACCTCACACATACTTTCATGGATGTTGTTCATTGACTACTAAAATTATCGTGTTGAAACTCTAGAGTTGAGTTCCGAGCAACGAAACACACTGCTCAACAAATCAACACATGAAAGATGATGAGTAGAACAAAGAATGATAGTTTGATTTCACACATAAATGTTGCACTTCTATTCTTGCATGTGAATAGGAATTATTATCATACCAATTTATTTATTTGAGTTATTGATTGGGTGGTGGTTGATCAATTTATTTGATGAAGATGAGGATAATTAAAATTATCTAAATCTAAATTATTATACAGAGAGAATGAGTGGTGCAGTGATCTTGATATTGTTTCTGGTTAAGTCTTTTGGTGGACCTTAATAAACTCTTTCATGATATGATGGTTTCTCTACAAAGCCTCTCAGCAGAGTTTCGGACTTGTGTCGAGAGTAAAGAATATGATAAGACACAATAATAGTAGAACCTTTTTGCGTTATCTTGTAACTATTTGTGGTGATAGATCTGTTCAGAGAACAGTAGTTTTTCCATTAATAAATCGAGAGGAATGGTCAATCAGGAGCAAACGAAAGCACAAAATGAATTAACATTCTTGAATACTGTAGATATAAATGAATACTTGTTCCGATAAGTTTTTGATCATTGATACATCTGACGATCATTCTTAATGATCTTGATTTTAGGCATATTCTGATGGAATTAAGGGTTAATATTATATTCTATGAAAATCAATCTCTTTCCGAAGGGTATAATTCAATAAGTAGCATATCAATTATGTCTCATCATCGGTTTAGAAATTATTTAAGGTTTTCCTTCCATCATACGGTCAATTGTTTTTCAATCTTGCTTGTGGTTGACAAGCTTCCCTTCCAACACGAAGAAAAAATCTAAAATAAAAATAAAAAAATGTCCAAAAACAAGAATTTGCTGGAGGAGGATGATGATTCACTCGATCAGGGAGAATCTAGTAGTGGAAGTGGTGATGAAATGGAGGAAAAGAAAAATAAATTAAAAAAGCAACCCGAAAGTGAAGAGGAAGAGGACGATGATGATGAAGACGATGACGATGAAGAAGATGAGGACGACGACGAGGAAGATGATGATGATGAGGATGATGATGAAGACGATGATGATGAGGAAAGTGAAGAAGAGGAAGAATACGAACCACAATTAAAATATCAGAGACTGGCTGGTAGTTTGCCAAAAGATATTTTCGGTATCGAAGGAAATTATGCCAGTGCCCTCGTGGTTGGTGAAAAGGTAAGATTAAATATTTATTATTATTCTAATATTAATATTATTTTAATAGTTTCTTGCTTTGGGAACTCACTTGGGATACTTGTACATTTTGGATTTTGAAGGAAATAACAATCAACAACAAAAATTCAGACCACACGCAGAAACAATCAACGATCTTACAATAGATAGTACTGGTGAATATATTGCAAGTTGCAGTAATGATGGTAAAGTGGTAGTGTACAATATTTATTCTGCCCTTTATGCCAATATGCAAAATCCTACAGTTCATAAAAAGATCCTCGATCCTAATTCCGATGCTAATACAGTCATAACAGGAAATAGTATGCTAACAAATGTAGCCTCTTCTATTTCAGGAGGGTCTGGAAATGCACAGGAAGGTAATTTAATGGAATTTTTCTTCAATAGACCAATGAAATCTGTTGCTTTGGATCCATTATATTCTACAAGGAGTGACAAGTCTGTAATTAGTGGTGGAAAAACTGGAAAATTAACAATGAAAAGGAAGGGTTGGTTTTCATACAAGGAATTAGTAATACACAAAGATGAAGGAGAAATTCATGCTGTGAGATGGTTTGGAGATTTTATTGCTTGGGCCAATGATTTTGGTGTCAAGGTTTATGATATTGTTTCTAATCAGAAAATTACATATATTTCACGTTCTTCATCAGCACCTAGACCAGACATGTACAGACCTTGTCTGACTTGGTGTCAACCAGATAGGTTTACAGTTGATAACAAACAATCTGACAATAAGGATTCCAAGAGCTTGGCTCAACTTTTAATTGGTTGGGGTCAGAGTGTAACTTTAATTGTAATCAAGGAAAGAAGAAATGCAAAGGAACAAAAATCTCAAAGATATGTGGAAGTTTTGGCAATGTTTGAGGTCGAGTTTTACATTTCTGGTATTGTTCCATACTCAAATGAAGACAGTCTTCTCATATTGGCATATGATGAAGATGAAGAAAGAGATGAGGACAATGCTAATGAGAAGCCAAAGAAGAAATTGGTTGCTCCAAGACCAGAATTGAGAATTATGGACTTGAAAGGTGAAGAAAAATCATGTGATGCTCTCTCTATCAAGAATTTCGAAAGTTACTTTGCTACTGACTATAGATTAGAAGCATACACTTCTTCTGTTGCAACTCCATACCGAAATGAGCAAGAAGAAGTGTACTATATCCTTTCTCCAAGAGATATTGTTGCTGCTCGTCCAAGAGATGATGACGATCACGTCAAATGGCTCATGCAAAAGAACAGATACCTTGATGCTATCAAGTATTGTGAGGCTAATCAATCCAAACTCAAGGATATTTCCATGTTAGATATTGGCAAAAAGTATTTGAGATACCTGTTGGAAAACAAGCAATACAAAGAAGCAGCTCAAATGGTCCCGAATGTGGCTGGTGTTGATGAGAATTTGTGGGAGGAATGGATTTATTCCTTCATTGATTTGAAACAATTCCATGTTATTATTCCATTCATTCCTATTAGCAAACCAAAGTTGAAGGATGCTATTTATGAAATGAAATTGAATTACTTCCTCCTTAACTCTCCTGACCTCTTCCTCAAGTGTATCAAAGAATGGCCACAAGATTTGTATAATATTCAAAATATTACAACTGTAACCTCTGAAAGAATTTTGGTTCTCGAACAAGAAGCCAAAATTGCCACTCTAGAAGGAAAAGAACAAGAATCCAGAGAAGCCACCAGAAAGATATCCCTCTTACAAGAGTCTTTGGCAAACTTGTTCATGTATGAAAAGCACTATGACAGAGCTCTTGATATTTACTTTAAGCTTAAAAGATCAGACGTTTTCGAGTTTATTCAAACCCACTCACTTTTTTCCTCCGTGCAAGATAAAATATTGGACCTGATAAGTTTTGATGAAGATAGAGCTTTGAGATTGTGTGTTGAACATCATGAAAATATCATGGTCGAGCAAATCATCAAACAACTGAAGAATGAAAGAGTTCAACTCTTGAAATACTTGGATGGCTTATTTTACCATAATGTACAGAATTTCAATCGTGACAGATACCACATTATTCAAGTTGAGTTGTATGCAGAATTTGACTCAAAGAGACTTGTTTGGTTCTTGGAACAAAGTCAATCCTACAAGATTGAACAAGCTCTCAAGATTTGTGAACAACATTTAAATAAGCCAGTACTCAAGTTTTTCGAATACTTGTACAAGAGAGATACTGTACCTGTATCAGAAAAAACTGGCAGAAACGAAGATCAAGATGACTTGATGGACGATGATGAATCGAGCTATACTATTGCCACCGAGTTTGTTCAATACGAAAAGAAGAAGAATATTAATACCAATGATGATGATGCCTCTCTAGAAGAAAGAAACAAACAATTGTACAAAGGAATCGTTTATTTATTAGGAAGAATGGGTAACACCAACGAAGCCCTGGCATTGATTATTGACAAGCTTGAAGATGTTACTTTAGCTATTGAATTTGTTGAAAAACAACCAGATAGCGAATTGTACCAAAATTTACTCAATAAGAGTTTAAAAAAGCCAAAATTCATTTCTGGACTTATGGATCACATTTCTGAGCATGGTTCGGATTATATTGACCCATCTGCTCTCGTAAGAAAGATTCCAGAGCAAATGGACATTGAAGGACTCAAGAAGAAGTTAACAAGACTCATTACTGATTTTTCACAACAGAAAACACTTCAAGAAGGTTGTCAGGAAATTCTCCAAGCCGATCTTAAACAACAAAGTGCTCAATTATTCAAACAACAAAGAAAGGGTGTCAAAGTTAGAATTGGTGGCAGATGTGCTCTCTGTGGGCAAAGGCTTACAATGACAAAGGAGGACAATATCATGTTTATGAGTGGTTTTTACTATCATTACAGATGCTACTCTGAAGTGGTTGATGTTGGTGCCAATAATAAGGATCAAGAATCTGACAGTGAAGGTACATCTACTAGTAATCCATCTGAATCCCATAAGAAATTGTACTGTGTCATTACACATTCTAGAGAAAAGAAAAACACAAGGAGAAGGTAGTTTTAAATTATTACAAACAATTAAGTTATTACAATTCTGTATTCCCAAACCTCAATAAAGAAGTTATATTAAAAATAGAATTCTGTATTCCCAACCTCCTATAAGTTGACAATTTTAACATGACTATTATTTTCGCCACATTGAAAAAAAGCATCCACCATGAAGAATACCCACTTTTCAGTTACTGATTTCAATGTTTTGGATTTGTTCTTTTCAGAGCTTTTAGCAGAAGACAGCACCAGAATGGCCACAACAGGAAACGCAACCCCCACACATCCACAAACTGTTCCAAACACATGCAACACCAGTAACAGTAGACATGCAGAGCATGTCTTAGCTCCAAACATATTAAGAGGAGAATCTGCACACCAACAAACACATATCGAATGCATGTCACTTGCGTCAGAAAATCACTCTGAAACCACATCCAAGGAAACATACAATACAGCAACTAGTGAACCATCTACTTCATCTACTACACATGCCATTTTCAATACATTTGAACAACAACCACAACACAATAACAAGAGAAAGTACCAAGAGAAATCTGAAAAAACCAAACGTAAGAAACATGTAAGTGAAGACGAAGGTTCTGACAGTGAGGAAGATGGAGTCAAGAGAATATCATCATCTGCCACCTATTTAGAATTGGAACCATCAGGAAATAGGAAGAGAGAAATTATAATATCCATTTACAAATCAAAGAGAAATAAATTTGGACCTAGAATGAGTGATGAGAAGGAATTTGTTAAAAAGATGAAGATGGTTGCCAATGTCAAGGAAAATGCTGTTTCCTACGTTAATACAAAAGGTTTCCTTACAAAGCAGTTCCTTTTACCAACATGTGAGAAGACAAAGGTTTCTCTTTGGGTTAAATTTGAAGGAAGTGATGAGTTTTTCAATGTTTATTGTCAAACTGGAAAGGGAGAGATCTTATTGATGAATCTCTTAACTTTTGATAGAAATAATCACATCAAAAATTACAATCATGTCAATCTCAATAGATATAGTAATGCATTTGTAAAGCCAGAGTGTGAATTTATTGAGGAATGAACTGTGGCTTTCGAATATTTTCAACCAATTATTTAAACCAACAATAAACCTTGAAAACTTCCCAGATTTATAGCTGCATTCTATATGTAAAATAAAATCATTACATGTGTACATGTTCCCACTTTCAACACAAGCATTGCAGAATTGAATACGATCATTGTGTGAAGTATTACACAGTGAGCAATTGAAATGGCTCCCAGAAAATAGTTTAACAAATTTCCAAGGCCTCTTTTAGAATCTCCAATCTGTTTTTCACAAGAGAAAATAAACTAGTGATGAAGAGCAGTTTCTAGAGTCATTTTTTTGTCGAATTGAATCTTACCTTAAGAAGAATGAATTATCTTACTTGATGATATTCATTCATAATATTCTAATTTACTGTTGTATCAGTTTCTTGATCTTTCATGATTTGATCATAGGTATATAATTGTTCACTCTTTGGACTTGTTGATGCTGTACTTTCAACTTGAATATTCTTTGTAGAATCTGTCTTGCTGTGTGGTTCCCATCTCAGTTTAACATGGATCATTTGATCTGTTTTGGATGGTATTGTAAATGTTTGCATGCTCATACTGGCAGCCTTGACAGAAACATTTCCAACTCTTGATGAACTAGTATTATGGATACCAGTGACCTTTTTGAGATTGGTTCCAATATCAACCATTGAACCTACAATGGTTGGAGATGACTGTTGAGAAATTGAATCCACTTGAACGAGACTTGTACCCGAGAAGATATTGTTGAGTGCATTGATGCCTGTATCAGAGTGCTTGCTCGAGGGACTTGGACGAGCAATATCCAAAATTCCTTTTGGAACTACCAATGGTAACCACAAATCCAGTTCATCATAATCTTTAAAGTTCAAATCACTCAATTCCAATTCACATTCTCCTAATAAAACTGGAATAAGTTGATGTTTGGAATGATAAACCTTCAAGTCCAAAATTTGAATATCCATACTTGATACATAGAGTGCGAAAGATTCATGGAATTGAGGATTTTGATTTCTTTTAACAGTTTTGGTTTGATAATATCTATCCCACCAATTCCTATGCTCTACAAGGTCTGATCCTCTCAGCCCAACAGTGCAGTAAGAGTAGGCATGTTGAATTTTGAATACATCCACATAGGACAAATTAGAAGCCTCCAAAATCTCAACATGCAATTTACCTAATGTACAAAAATAACTCTTAGCTCCAAAAGCTTCAAAAACAATATCAAATAAATTGACACCCTTGAACAAGTTAACAAGAGAAAACTTGGATCCAATATCATTGATAGCTGCTTGCTTTTCGTCATCTCTCTTCATTCTTACAAAGGCTTTGGATAATTTTTGAACCACAAAACTATCCAGTTTTCTAGATTGAACCAAATCCAACCATAAAATATCATTGGTCTTTACACCAACCGATCTCAGGAATAGTTCAGTAATAAATTGCCATTTCACCTTGGCTGTATTTGAAATTACCAATTCATCCTCTCTGAAAAAGCAATAGGATGAATCATTGTCAATTCTCCATGTTCCTTTCGAATCGTCCCATCTAAATTCACCTCCAACACTTGAGTACAAAATGTCAATTATTTCCTCCTTTTAATGTTGTACTTACCGAGCTGGCAATCTTCCAACTGTCAAATTATCCAAACTTCCAATCAAAGTTTTACCAGTAGCTGTCAAATCTCCATGCTTAACTCTAATTCTTTGCAATGCAAAATCCATTTGATGTTCTGGAGCAAATATGAAATTAAAATTGGCATCAATGGCCCACATGTAATTAGCCTTCTTATTTAACATGGAATTTTCCTTTGTAAATAAATCAGCAAGAGCAGAATCCGAATTGACTGATGTCCATTCAATATCGGGATAGCATCCTTTCAAAAAGTGATATGCTAAAAAGTCTCCAACATTATTAGTAATATTAATGATTGTATTCGATTCATTGTTAGAGGATTTATCCGATGATGAGGAAGTTGAAGAAGATGAAGAAGACGAAGAAATATTCGAATGTTGTTTTTGCTGTTGCTGTTGATAAGTGAGTTGATCTTGTCTAATTCTTGACAAGGCTTTTTCATTTTCTCTCAATTCTTCCTTGGATCCCTTCCAAGTATTAACTCTTTCAAATAATGTGGCACTCCTACTCTCCTCATTGTATACAATCTTGTAAATGACTGGAGGAGCATGATATGGTAATTCCAACTGGGAGTAGGTTACAGCTTGAGAGGCTGGTGTTTCCAATTTTAATTTCCTTTTAGCCCTCTCATAGAGTGAGTTTACTGGTTGTTGTGGTTGTTCTTTTACTTCCTGATGATGATCGTGAGCGTTGGCGTCTGTGGACATGATTTTTTAAATTTAATTTTAAATAATTAATTGATGATGATCAAAGAACAACTGTTGTTCCGAATCCTGAAGGAACTGATCAACTTTAAATTGTTTTTCATCCAATTAAAAATCTTATTTTCTTAATATCAAATTCTGGTACGTGGAGTCTCATCACATTCCTTAACATCTTTTCTTCACCTTGAAGGCTCTTTAAAAATCGCATTGTAGGTGCTTTATCAATTTACTACCCACCTCTCTCTTAGAATGTTTAACGCTTCTTAAATGTCACTGCAAACCGTAGTGCTTTGAAATATTACCTTTCATTTCTTAGAACGGAGAGAATACTGTAAAAATCTAGATAATTGTGCAATGTCCGAGGTTGACTTGGACCTATGTAGGGTTACATTACGCTGCTATCCAATCATTTCATGATTTTTAAACTGTTTACAATGTTTAACAATATTTGCAATAATGTTTGTTGAAGGAGATAGAAGGGAATATAAGGAATATGGATAACAAACTTTCAATGTTCATATGGGTGATGAAACTATGATAAAACTAGTTCATCTCAGATCACATCGATCATCCTTTCACCTTTTTAATAATGTATTTAGTCATTTAATCGTTGTAAATTGTTGTAACGGATATCGAATGGCAGTGCATTGATTGGTTCTTGAGATTTTTTTTCCAGGTGCCATGAACTTTTACGCGCCAAATGGTCTCTCCGAGGTAGCACTGCAAAAAAACCTTTGAAATTTGCGCCAGCTGCCATTTGGCTGAGGTGCTTTAAAATCCAGAGCAACTGCCAAACATCAATGTATTGAAAAACAAAAAAAAACAAAACAATAATCAAAATGGGTCTTTTAGAAGATAGTACTCCAAGATGTGAAGGTATGGGTTTGATCATCCTCATCCTCAACTTCCTCTTCCCAGGTTTCGGTACCATCATTGCTGCTTTCGTCACCAGTGAAAAGGAAAAGATGACCTCAACCTTGATTGTTGGTATCCTCCAATTGGTTTTGGCTTCATTGTGTATTGGTTGGTTGTGGGCTATCTGGTGGGGTTACAAGATTATGCAAGTTTCTGCTTAAATCTTTTTTAATTTCCAATAATAAATAATACAACTCACTTGTAAAACAAATATTACTTGTTCATACTCTTCTCATGTTTTATGTAGACTATCTTTGTGAAGGACATTGGAATCACTCGTTGTTCAACTGCTTTTTGAACTCCTTCACACAATGATTGTGTAAAATATCTCATGTGAATTGGCATCATGATGACATCTGGCTGTCATGTTTTATACAAACAGGGTGTGTGAAAAATTATTGAATCGAATATTTTCAAAATATTGATACATTCATCAGAGTAGTCTTTATTGTCTCCAATTCTTCATATACAAAACTGGTTTACTGCTACTTGTAACATATTGTTTAAAGGATTCAGAACTGTTTTCAACTTGTTTCATGAATTTTTTGAGGAGTGGATAATTACCCCACAAGTTATCTTCATCCAACAAAAAGGCTTGTTCTACCAATGCATCATACAAGCAAATATCAGCCCAAGAAATTGATGATCCGACAAGGAAGAGATCACGATCTTCCTTCTTATTTCCAACCAAGAATGATTCAAACTTGTCCAAGAAGAATTTCATCTTTCCTTCCTTCCATTCCTTCTTTGCCTGTTGTGTTTCCTTTCCACTGTAATATTGAGAGTAGACTTCAGTTCTAAATTCATCAACTCCCAACACGTATTGCAAAGCAATGGCTTGTTCAACATGAGAGGTTGGAATTAAACCAGCCTTCTTTGCCAAAAATTCACAAATTGCAATAGATTGTACAATGTGTGCAGTGGCACCACTGACATCATCCTGCACAACAAGTAATGGAACCTGTCCGAAAGGACACTTTTCCTTCAAATCCTTGTTGAAATCGGAGAAGAGATTTCTTGTGACTGGAACGCCACCGTGCACAGCTATGAGATAGGCAGCTTCACCTCTCTTTTTAATTTATCAAAGAAAGAAGTGTTAATTGAATTAATTTGAATTTTATGATGATGTGATGAAAATCAAAACCTACGGCTTGGAGGTTGAAATAATGGAGAGTGTAAGATTCTGGCATTTTAAAATATTATAATATTTTACCATATTCAATTTCCTTGTTGAATAATTGATCGGAGAGAAGGTTTACAACTTTTCAATATTGTTGAACCAAGTTATTGATCGAGGTTAGTAATGATAATAGAAAGGAGTTGGAATCTTTGTTGTATAATTTACAATTTCTGAATATATTGTAGTGTTACATTCAAAATGCTTGTTTGCTTATTACTCTATTACTCGATCGAGAGAGCTGAGGTTGTGTGGGTGATGAACATTATCCAGTAAACAACAATAGCGTTCACCGAATCAAATCAACCACCTCTTCTAAGGCGCTTTTCAAATTTCATCTCTTTTGTACTACAGCTAACGTAACTTCCCGCCAATGCCAAGGAGGGGCACACCAACAGAAATACATTGTAATAGGTCTAAGGAACAGTACCTACTTGTGTTGTTTCCCGCGCAATGATGAGCAGATGAACTATTTAACTGAAAACTAAGGCACTCTTCAGTCTCCTCAACAAAAAAAAACAAAACAAATCAAAAATACAAAATGGGTCTCCTCGAAGATAGCACTCCAAGATGTGAAGGTATGGGATTGATTGTCCTCATCCTCAATATCCTCTTCCCAGGTTTCGGTACTATTATTGCTGCTTTCCTCACTTCTGAAAAGGAAAAGATGACTTCAACTTTGATTGTTGGTATTCTCCAATTTATCTTGGCTTCCTTGTTGATTGGTTGGTTGTGGGCCATCTGGTGGGGTTTCAAGATTATGCAAGCTTCTGCTTAAATTTTAAGAAATTAAAACTTGAAATAAAAATTGCTTTATTGCAAAATGAATTGTCTCGTTGTTTTTAACGTTATGCTAATCACTAATTTAATTTTTAATTGTTGTATTGAAGTGATTTAACATCCTTTCATAAACTCAAAAAGTTGGTTTGAGATATTTGCATATTCTTATTTAACATCATGATGCTTTTTCTTTGTTAAATGTTTCAAAAAGATAAAAAGACTACAGCACCACAGGTTCCCAAGTTGTCTCCAACCTCAGTACTGATGTGGCTCGACGATGCTTAACTTCTCAAATCGGACGGGATGAGGTGCATTCATCGTGATATGGCCGTAGCCATTCATTATCTTAAATTGTGAAACATGAATCAGTTCAACCCTTCCTCTGAACTGCTTTGAAATTGGGTGTATGTAATCTAAGTTACAAATGACTTGTTTTTGGATGTTGATTATTATATTGAATAAATTTTACTCATGTTCACTATTCAATAAATAATTTTTTGACAATAATTGAGATAATCTATGATATTTTGCTAACTTAACCACCTCTCAATCTCAATACTAAATGCACAGTTGAATCCTTTTGAAGATTGTAATCACCAATAGTTCTTCCATCTTCCAATTGCTTACCGGCATAAATCAATCGTTGTTGATCTGAAGGAATACCTTCCTTATCAAATATCTTTTGTTTCATATTCTCAACAGTATCATTCGATTCCATTTCAATAGTGATTGTCTTTCCAGTTAAAGTTTTTACAAAAAGTTGCATTCCTCCTCTTAATCTCAACACCAAATGAAGAGTTGAATCTTTTTGAATGTTGTAATCATTAATAGTTCTGCCATCTTCCAATTGTTTTCCAGCAAAGATGAGTCTTTGTTGATCTGGTGAAATTCCTTCCTTATCTTGCACTTTTCTTTTCACGTTTTCAATTGAATCATTAGATTCAACCTCCAAAGTGATAGTTATTCCAGTGAGTGTCTTGACAAATAATTGCATTATGTTTGTTGTCCTGTTTCTTATTGTTTTTCTTGAATTCAAAACAGTTCCTTGCTTTTTATATTGTTTTGAGATGTATATATTTTTAGAAAGTAGTTCTTCTGCAAAGAAATTCTTTCAATGAACCGATTTTTGTTTCTGGACACAAACTTGGTTCATGTTTTGTAAGTATGGGCTGCAGCTGTACATGCAATAATGAATTTTAACTTGTTGTTCGTGAATTGAATGCAATTTGACTCTTAATGGTTTTGAATTAAAAGGTGATTATTGGAAAAATTTAATACTTGTAAAATGGTTTGGGTACAGCTATTCATTACTCAAAATCAATGTTTAACTCTATGAAAGGATATACCGTAGCCATTTATTGCCTTAATACAATGAATAAAAAATAAATTGAAAAAATGAAGGAATATGTTAAAGATTTCAAGTAACTAAGATTTTGTCTTTCAATGGTTAATTCGTTTTGTAATTTTAGACGGGAAGCCTGCCAGGAATATGGCGACTATCCCGCTACAGTCTTTGACTGTATGAACAGTGAAGGCAAGAGTTCTGGACGAATCTTGTTGTGTTCAAATAACAGGTTGTTGAAGAAATTGAAAAGGTTGATCACCCTTCTATTTATTGAACTTTTGCCACGTGAGTTGCTTGATCCAAATTTTGGTTTCTCATATTCTGATCAATTCTAAATTGAAACTTCATCTATTTCAAAACAAATTATTTTATTTACAATTTACTGAATTATTTACAAGTTGTAATTTACATCTTTTTCGATTTGGTAATCTTCTTATTAGTGGTGTTCGATTGTTGTTTAGCTCTCTTTTCAATTGAATTTTTAGAAGATCTTTTCACAGAAATTTGTTTACCATTTAAATTTGCATGATGATAATCAATATTATTACGATGTCTAGTTCCACTTATAATATTAGAAGTATCAATATCAAATAATGGTAATCTCTTAGATAAATCAATTGGTTTTGATCTTGTCCATTCTGTTTTTGTTGGAATTCTATCTTAGGAAGATGAAGAATTTGATGAGGTATTTCTAGCTGGCATTTTGCTCTTAGTGTTTGTTATTTAGTAACTTTGTTTTGTTGTGGAACTTTCATCATCCTATTTATAACTAATTTTGTGATTCTGATTTTTAGTGGATTTTCCACTCATCACAAGAAGTTTGAATTTTTCTATTAATATTTTGATGAAACAAGTAAAACTTCCAAATCTCAATCACTAAATGAGAAACAAACAATTCAAAAAGTGGTAATCTCCATTTAACTCAAAATTTTGTAAACCAAGGCAAATCATTGCAAATAAAACCTAAATCATTCACACAATATTTACAATAGTTCATAATGTTATTTATAACCTCTCAAGCTCAGTTAAACTCCTGTTGCTTTATCTAAGATTAAAAAGACTACAGCACCACAGGTTCCCAAGTTGTCTCCAACCTCAGTACTGATGTGGCTCGACGATGCTTAACTTCTCAAATCGAACGGGATGAGGTGCGTTCATCGTGATATGGCCGTAGCCATCCATATTCTCAAAATCTTAATATTGAAGAAAACAATGTGGTCATGGCCAAGCTTTGCTATGTCAATTAATAAAGTAGTGTAAACATTAATTACAATAATATGTCGGTGGTGAAGGAGCAAAATATATCAGTGAATTGAAACAGAGGATGAGTAGCTAGAATTTGCTTTCAAAAAAACTTTGTTTTCTTGTAAGAATAGTCGAAACAAGCACTTGGTTACCTTCAAATTGACCATCACGTTTCGGAATTCCCAACTCTACACAAAAAAATGCTTTCCCAACAAGAAGCTGATCAGCGACAAAAGCAACACCAACAATACTCAAACCTTTCCAACACTACTAGCAATATCAATAATAATTTCAGTAATAATAATAATAATGGAGTAACCATTGGAAGTGGTAATCAAATTTCCTATCATCATCAGATGCAACAACAACCATATATGAATGCTTCTTCTTCTGTTCCTTCCTATCCACAACAACAACAACAACACAATAATCAACAATACAGTAGTTCTGTTGTGCCACAACAATCAAATCAGCAAAGTTATGGATCATCATCTCCTATTAATCCTATGATGAATAATTCCTTCCAACCACAACAACAAGTATCATCATCAGCATCATCCGATATTCCAAATAATGTAATGATCAACAATAATAATCAACATCATCAGCAACCACAACCACAACAATGATGAATAATTCCATGGTGATGATGAATAACAATCAAAACTATAATCCAATGATGAATAATTCCATGATGATGAATGGTAATGCTTTCCGATCAGTTGCATCACCTCCATCCTTTTCACCAAACAACACTCCAACGAATAGTGCTGCCAATCAATCAATGCCTTCTTCCAATGGTACTGTTAGTGGAAATTATAATAATGGCAATCAACAACAACAACAAGCACTTGGAAATGTTGGTCATGGAAATATGAATCAATCCCACGATAATCAATCACAATATTCTCAATCTTCTGTTGATTCTAGATCTGTGAATAATTTCAATTTTAATGGTTCTACTAGAAATTCACCTCAACAAGCAGTTAATCCATCATTATCCTATTCCAATAATGCAAATAATTTGAATACTCAAACAGTATCATTTGTTCAACAGGTTGATAATTTATCTGCCAATTCTATTCCTTCAAATCAAACTTCACCACCAAATGAATTGAATGAAAAGGTTAATCAAATGGTTGCCCTATTGGAAAGGGAAGTTTCAGATCTCAGAATTAGAAATGCTGAAATGAAAAAGACCTATGAAGTTCAATGCAAGATTTTGGATACCATTACTCAAAAGTTGAATCAAAAGTACACTAGTACACAACTTCCATCTACTTCCCAACAGCAACAACAACCAATGACTCAATCTATTAATCAAGCCATTAATCAATCTGTTAGTCCAGTTTCTATGAATCAATCTTATTATAATGGTCAACCAGGAAATCAAAACAACATGTATCAAAGTAATTATCAAAATATTCCAACCTCTCAAAATACTTCTCAATATGGTCAATCTGTACAATATGGAAATCCAATGAATGATTCTCAATATGGAAATATGGGCTATTCTCAATCCCAACAACAACAATATTATAACCAAAATGGTGGATATCAAAATTAACATTGTAAAAATTATAGATAAACAATTATTAATTTATTTTGAACAATTGAACTTGTACTAACTGGTCCAATAAATTCTGTTGCCATATGCACAAGACAAGGTTTTTAATGGTCATAATACAACTTTATTTTCAAATATTATCTCAACTTGTTAAAGTTTTGTAAAATAATAGTTTGGTTGGTTGAAATTGCTTGTTGCAGTTCTTTACCTTCCTCTGTCAACATTTCTGCCTCTTCCAATAATTCTACCAATCTCAATAGAAGATTATTATCCAATAATTGTGGTTGCAGAAGTAGAGAAATTTGCTTCTCGTTCTGGGCTTGTTCCATAAGGTTCTTAATCTTGTTCATTTGATTTGGATCTATTGTGTAATTGTTAGAAGGCATGTTTGGACGCATGATTGGTAGGTTAGATAGTGGCATCACATTAAACATTGGAGGAGGTTGTGGAATTTCTTCTTCTTCTTCAGGTTCTTCTACTTTTGAAATCAAACTGTCCAATGGATCAATAGGAGATTCAGGTCTTGTTTTCAGATTATCAGGGACAAGCTCTTGGTAATTTTCCGTTTTCATGGAAGATTTCTTGAGCTCAATTTTACCAATTAATCTTCTAATATTTTCAATGTAAGGAACCAAATTTTTAACAAGGAAATAGTTTGGAAGGATTTGAGCTAAATTATCGTGATTTTTGACTTGAATTTGAGACTCAAAAACGGTTCTAAGACTAGCAGTTGTCATTGAAGCGTATGCATTAACAATATCCTTTTCATTGTTGTAAATAACAGTAGCAATAGTTCTCAAATCAGACAGGAAATTATCCAATTCTGGATTGGATGTTTCTACCATTTTCATGGTATAGAGAGTAATTCTCTCAAATTTCTCCTTTGTTGAGGTTGACATTGGAATTCTGAACGTGGAGGAGAATTTATCGTATAGAGATTTAACTTCATCTCTATTGTAAATAATGTCCAATACAAATTCAGAGAATCCTAAAATTTCCCTTTCTGAGTTGACAATACTAAATGATTTGAAGGGAACTTTTCCAATCAAATTTGTGGCAGCTTGACATGTATCTTTGGCAATTTGTAAAATCTTTTTAGTATCTCTGAAGTTGAGTGAATTCATAAATGATTTCTTCTTGGTATTGTCGAATGTTTTCCATGAAATATCCATACTATTCATCTTTTCAATCAAGGTATTCAGTTCAGATGCATAAGTATCCAGAGAAAGGCTATCTTCTTGAATTATCTCATCAGGTAAATCTTCCTCAATTGGGATATCCTCCTTGAACTTGCAGATGGCTTGTGGACTAATAACTTGATCCTTTTTAACCAAAAGTCTTGGCCTTCCTTTAGAAAGTGATTCAACAAAATAACTCTCCAATGACTTCCAATCAAAGTTAATATCTCCGTTATTGATTGTTACATAGTATTGAATATTTTCAAAGAAGTTATCATCCTCAAATTTGCTGAATAATAGTTTGTAAAAGACATCATCAAGTTCCATAACATAGGCTGCATCAATGGTATCTGGGAAAGAATGTCCTTGTTGAATATCTGATTGAGCATTATAAATTGTTAAAAGTAATGTTCCAATCTCATTATTACCACCTTCAACATAGAGCAGATGAGAGAGAATTGAGTTTTCATCAATAATTGGTATTTCAGCTTGGTTAGCATGTTGACAAACAATGTTTCTCTCTTGTTTTTCTGATACAATATTCCAAGATTTCTTAAAGCATTCCCAACTTTCGTAGATGGCTTCTTCCTCTTGTTTACTCTTATCTTTGGTAATGAGTGTTAATGCATCCTTGACTGTCATATGAATTGAGTCTCTTTCAATCTTGCCATTCAAACCTCTGTGTAATTTAACATAAAAACTCAAAAAGTCAATAAAATAATAACTAAACAATAACCAGTCCTTATGTTTGACTATTTGCCTTACTGTCATGAGCTCAGCATTATCTTCAATATCAGTATATCTTTGGGAGAAGAAAGCAAGAATATTTTCTCTTGAAGGGAATAAATCAACACATTTTCTAATAGCCAACGATCTTTCCTTGAATTGACCAATATCTTGAAGAAGTTTCTGACCAGCATTCATTTTACCAACAATGTTAGCATAACGATTGAGTGTTGGAATGAAACATGAGTTCATCCAAAAGTTTTCATATGCTCTAATGGTTGGAGTATTATTATTTGCAAAGAATCCAAAACAATCATTACTGTTTGGTGCTTGCTTGGTGAATTCCTCGAGAGATGAGGTAAAGAAAATAATTGGGTCCACATTTCCAATAATATTAGGTGAATGAGCAAAAATAGAACAGAAAGTATCAGCCCTAATCTTAATATAGGTTTGAAGTTGTTCCAAATTGCTTAAATTGGGCCTGAATTTGACATCATCAATACAATTACACATATGTCCACCTTTGGCAGCATTTTCATTCTTTGCTGGATCGAATATTACGCACATTACAAAGGAAGCCCAAGTGAGCGAGTTCAAAGCTGAGTGGTATGTCTGATTTCTATTCATAATATTGTGGCTTTCAATGTTATTAATATTGTATCCAGAGCTAGTATATCCACAATCCCAGTTCCTATCCTGATATGTACTTCCAGGACCGAATGAATTGGCCAATACTTGTGGATTAAACATTCTGTTATACAAGTGATTCTTCTCTTTTGGAACGCCCACATTAGTTGCTGTAATATTTGCTAGGAGGTGAGTCAGCATCTTATCCCTGTTAGAGTTGATGAATTCCTGAGAGAAGTAATATGATGCGAACCAGTCATCTTGTTTCTCAACTGGAAGAGATACTGGTTTAGTAGCAAAGAATACGAATGCCTTCAACTCAGAGTCATCAATACTAAGAGTATTCAATACATTTCTGTCTTGTAAAATAGCCAATACAGCATCACAAGATTTACATTCCAAAAAGTAGAAATTATACGAGATTACAATCAAACACATTCTAATGAAATACTTATGCTGGGCAGCATTGGTATTGATAAAATTATGTATCTGTTGAATATTGTTAGATTCAATATGTCTTTTCAAATCTGTGTACACTTGATTATTATCATGCATGAATGAGAAATGATGAGATTTAAAATTCTTCTTAATTGATGGTATATGGAAATTTGCCAGTCCTATTCTTCCCAATTCTCCTCTATTTGTAGTAAGAATCATCTCCAACTCAACATCAGAAGTATATCTTGAAAGGAAATAAAGAGCCATGTTTTCTTGTTTCATAACATTAGTAATCAATTCACATGTTTCTGCATCCATATTTTCAATAGTTTTTTGTGGATCATCATCTTTGAGGAGATGACTCGAGAGCTTTGTTATCAGCAAAATATTGTTGGCTTGAGTGATAAGTTTGGAAAGCTTACTATTGCCTCCATCCTCTTGATGTCTTGTAAAGAGTGGAAGGAATGTTTCCCATTTTGATTGAGAGTGATGAGAAAGATATGATGATTGAAGAAGCAGAACAGAGAATGGTTGTTTCTTTGAAGATAATTCTTCTGGGACAAAGTTTTCATCAGAGTAATTGTTCAATTCTTGCTCAACTACATTCGTCATATTTTGGTTGAATTTGTTTTGCAGATAACGAGCCATTATGGTTTTTGTAATACTTGTTATCAAGCCAATATTAAGTTGTTTGAAAATTGAATTTTCATCCTTTTCGTATTGTGAAATAATTGTGAAAAAGTTTGTCAATGATGGAGCCGACCAAATGTCAATAATATGCACAAAGGCAAATCTCGTAACATTATTAATCCAGATAGATTGTTGATTAGGGTCCAAGAAGGTTGTAACAGTATCTTTGAAGCAATTATAAATATCTATAAAGTTATCTGGTAGGTATGTTGGATTTTTGTATAGTTCTGTAATTCCTTTCCACAAATATTCAATTTGCTCTTCACTTAAAACCCATCCTTTCAACACATAGTAGACCAAGAATAGAATGGAGAATCTTGAACTCTTAAAGTATTTAGGTGCAATATCCTTAATATACATAAAGTTGATAGATGAAAGTTCGCTCATCCAACTATTAATACTATCCAAGTCTTTCTCTTCAAGAGCTGTTCCTATATTTTTGTATACATAATCAAGAATGTAAGTAAAGATGACTTCCAAACACTCATGGAGTTGCTTTCCTTGCAAATGTTTTTTGAATTCGTCTGTCAAGAAATTAATAGACTTGAATTGGGAAAGAACGTTAAGTAAGATTTTGATACTATTCTTGACTTTGGTTTGTGAAAGATGTGAGAGTAGTCTCATACTCTTCTTTCCCTCTGCACTATTCCAAATAGGGGAAATAAGAATATCAACTAATCTTATTGCTTGGTCTTCTTTTGTAATGTCTTTTTCAAAATAGAAAGAAATCATATCGAGACGGAATTTTTCAAAATTTTCCTTGTCATTCTCAATCATTTCTACCACTTCGTCTAGATTATCAGATTTCTCATTTAGAATCATCTTTTCAATAAGGAGAGTAGAAAGAGGCAAGTGTTCATTTGTACTTTGATAGGTTGATACATGTAAAATATCTGAGCTCTTGCTCTTTTTCTTGTTTGTTGTTATGAAAACCTCTATCAATTTACGTAGTAAACAAAGTGTAGATTGATCTTCTACATTGAGAATCTTTTGTACGGATGGTGTAAGATAAATTAATTTTCTTGTGATAGGATACATCATTTCTTCTAGGACAGACGAAAGTTCATAGGAAATTGTTTGAATGATACCATTGACTATCTTACCACTGGTAATATCGGTACATATTTTTTGAACGAGTTGAGAAAGGAACTGGTTATTCCACCTATCAGCAAACATGTTCAACACAATGTCTCTCAATAATTCAAGCTTGTTAATATTTGTCAGAATAAACTTTTTCTTGTCTACCAGTTTGTTAATATTTCTTCTCATGAAAAATGGACTAAGTGATCCAGATGCAACGGCTGTATTATCTGAACGAATATAATCTTCCAAAAGCTTGTTATATAATGGAATGAAAGAATTTTGGAAGGCCTGTTTATCAGATGCACGGAATCCCTTCAGTAATCCAACAGCAACACTAAACCAGTATCTGCTATCTCTATATTGACTAATTTGACCATCACCAAGGTCTCCTCTTAAACTGTCAATGTAATAATAGTCCCACCCTAAGAAAATACTATCGTAAGCAGCATTGAAATGAGAAGACTCTGGAGGGAAGTAGAGAATAAGAGAAACGAAAGGTGTCATATTCTTAACCTTCTTCATTGGAGAAGAAAGAATATTCTCAATCTTGAATTTTACAAAATTCACAGTGTTTTTAGAAATCATTGACATATCAATGGTTAATAGTAAAACAAGCTTTTGATGATCAGCTGCAAACTCTCCCAAGAATCTGTGGAATTCTAATTGAGAAGAGAATGAAGAAAGTGAAGCAAGGGTAATAATTTCACTTGGATTGTTCACACATGACTTCAAAGGTTCAGAAGTACATGCAACGGAGGTAATCTCCTTTAAACGGTCAGTATCATTGAGAGTGTGAATACCACTTGAGTGTCTGGTATAAAGAATGTACTTTGAATTATTTGTTGTGGATTGTTTGAAATGTTGGTCTATGGCATTCTTCAAAAATGAAATTGTACAAAAGTGCTCTTGTTTTGTGAGGTACTCCACTAGGTAGGATTTTGGAATGAATTTTCTTCTGAGGAAAATATCTTCAGGTTTGGCAATTTGCAACAGTTGAAAGTTAATCTTTCTAATGTAGCTCCTCAGTTTGTTGATGGAAATTTCTTCGTCCTCTTCCTCTAAATCGATATTATCTTCCATACCATTTTCTTTCAATAGTTCTATAATGTTATTATTCTTAATTGTTAGTGGTTTCTTAATTTGAATAGAGTCTTTGGATTGTTGATAGATTGATTTGATTAATAAATCCACTGTTTCATCTTCAACAAGACCATAGAATGTACTAGCATCAAATTGACGAACAAAGTCATTAACTCCTCTTCTGATGTGATCGAAAATTGCCTTCTTGCTCTCCTCTTTTTCAACCAAAAGATCACTCTTCAAAACTCTCTCTGCACCAATAATGTATTTCTCAAATCTATTCAAGAATGGCAAAGGTAACTCTCTGTATTGTGCAATAGGAACGTGGACTATACAGTGGAAGCTGGAATTAATTTCACATGGGTGAGTTTTTCCTTTAATAGACACATTGGCAAAGTATCTATCATTTACCTTGGTAAAGTGTTTGTTAAAAACGTCAAAGAAATTTGTAGAAATGGCAGATGAATTTACCAATACTACCGGTGCTCCAAGTTCCATACAATTTTTGACTTCACTAATTTCTTGAGAAAGGGACAAATCATTTGTATCACCCTTAAAATCGCTAATGTAAACAACCTTTGTCTTGGATTGGTCAATTATATTGTTGGATGTTAAAAGCTTAATAGAGGCCTGAGCTTGGCTCGGATCGATAATCATAGTATGTCTGTAGTGAGATTGATTTGGATCATCGTATTTTGATAAACTATCGTGAATACTATCATATACTACATCAATATATTGCTTGATCTTTTCCTTTTCGATATGAATCTTTGTTCCTAACATTTCGTTAATATTTGTCAAGAAAAGCTCTTGAATTTTTTGGAAATCATTTTCTGGAACACCATTAAAATTACGTTGTAAACAATAGTAAATATTGTTACCAGAGAAAACCTCCTTGTGATTACCCTTATTCTTAGATAGCATTCTTAAGAAGTAGACGAAATCTCTCAAATGGAAAATTCCACCAGTGCCATTATGTTGCTTAACAATTGTGCTAGTAAGCACATAATTGACCTCTTTAAATGATTTACATAATGCTGTAATAATTCTATCTATTCTTGAATTTGGCTTAATGTCATCTTCATTTAACATTAAACAACCTTGACAAAGTGCTCTCAAATCCTCAAAGCTAGTCTCTGGTTGAACAATTTGAATACATCTATTAGATTTAGCTGCATCCAATAAATTGTTTGAAATGAGAACTGTGCTAATAGTTGGTTTGTCAAGATAGTAATGAAGAACTTTGAGCGAATTTTTCTTTTCTATTGGAAGACTTGCTTCATCAATTAATACACTACAAATTTCGTTAACCATTCCTGCTCTTTCATACTTTCGTCTAGTTTCAACTTGGCTCTTTACTACTAATTCAATTTCATTAGCAGTAGACAATTCATTGCATTGATAATGTTGGGTATGAACAGTTTTCATTCCAACAAAAAGACTCTTCTTCTTTTGTGTTGCAATAGTGTAAGATAAAGTCTTTGAATTTCCTGGAGGACCAACACAGCTGATTCCTATTCCAACTTGAATTCCAATGACCATAGTGAAGAAATTTTCTAATAATGCTTTTGTACTTGCAATACCTGGAGGAATAAATCCGCGTTGTTTTGCTTTTTGATAGAAATATCCTAATTGCTCTGAGACAACTTGAGAAAATGCAAAGATTCCATATTGCACCTGAGTATGTGCTTCTCTATCAATCATTTCCTCAAATTTGGTTCTCTCACTAGAAGGTAATCTGAAATAATAGGACAGTGCTAAGGCCATGTATAAGCAAATAATGTGACATTGTTCTATGGAGAGATTAGCAGAGTAGTAAAGAACTTCATTATCCTTCAAAAACCAATATAGTTTACATGCCCTTGTTAAATCTCTGATTGAAACTCTTATTCTCTTATCCAATTGTTTAGACTCTGCAACAAAACGTTGGGCAGATAAAATGAATGTTTGTAAATCATGTACAAATCCTTCATGTTCATCTCGCTTCTTTTGCTCTAATTCGATCAGTAGAGCCAAAAATTCTTGCTCTTGATATTTAGAGAGATCTGCATAGTTAAATCTGATAAGTTTCATGGATGGTGCAATTTCGTTAACTACATATTCTTCATTTTGCAATTTTGGATTTATGGCACCAACAAAAAAGATAGATTTTGGTAACAATTGACCGTCTAATGTATGGTCCACAAATAGCTCTTTCATAATGCCCATACAACTGCTTGTATTCAACTCATCAATGAAAACAACAACCTTTAAGTCTTGATATCCTGAATTGATTAATCTCAAAGTGTTTCTTTCGATATCTCTTATAGTTTGTCTTATTTCTTGTGAACTTATACCACTATGCATCAAAATCTTGAAATAAATAGAGTTTTCAGGTCTTGCTGACTCAGCTTGAGCTAAAAAGTCAGCAATCATATCCACTGTCCATAAATCATAATTCTGTTGTTCAAGAGCCTCAAAAGTGGAGTTAATAAGGTCTGTTTTTTCAATTAATTTGAACTCATCAAATATTTTCTTAACTGCGCTTACTAGAGAAATTGTAATTTCTTGCAACAACTGTTGACCAACTTGTTCTTCTGTTTCTTTCAACAGCTTTACAATATATTCTCTGGATCTACATTTGTCCATATTTTTAGTTCTAACCTCTGTTTGAATATTATTCTTGGAAGTGAATTGATCAACAGTTTCACACAGCCACTTCCTTAGCTCAAATCTTATATCAGGCAATAATTTGTTGTTGGAATTTAAAATATTTGAATAAAATCGAAGCAATTCACTTTTTCCCACACCAGTTTCACTTTCAATAATAACAGATCTGCCAACCTTTCTTCTTTCATCTAACAAAAATAATTTGATAGCAAAGTCCTTAGTTAGCAAATAGTTGGTCTTTTCACAAATTTCAATTATGGAATTAACTTCGAAAGAGGATGTCAATATTGAACGTATTTCTGCTAGTGTGCTAGTTTTTACATCAAGTGGTTGCATGCCAATATACTCTCTAGTAGTGCTACATTTAGAACATCTGACGATATTATAATTGGGTATATCATCTGTAAGATTTGGTACTGCAAATACTACGGGAAGGTCACTCCAGCATCGTTCAATAGTATTATCTGTCATCACCTCACATTCTTCTTTAAATACAGGGAAGAGAGTTCCATTGATTGTGAAAATTAATTCTTGAGCATTTCCGTAAATATCTTGACCAAACTCGTTGGACTCTTTCAATTTCAAAAACTTAATATGATAATTTTCAAGACCTCTTAACCTTTCATACATCAATTCAATGAATATTTTTCTCAATGAATGGCTTTTTGTAACCTTGCTTACGCTGAAAAATTGAGTAAGCACTTGTCTCGACTTTTCTTCCGAGACTAAATTCTTGTCAACATTCAAGAAACGATTAATATCATTAATCTTTTTTGAATTGAACAAAGTAAACATTGAGGCTACATATCTTGTTTTTTCCTCTCCAAAATCAAAACTTGCAAGATCTGAATGTAATGATTTTGGTCCAATAGTAGTCTCAATTAAAGATATTAAATCCAACTTGACTTTTTCAAAGCTACTTGGTATTTCAACAAAAATACGAATTGATTCTTTAGTGTTGCCCCAAGTATCAACCAGTTGACCCTTCTTACTTTGCAAGCATCTACCAAAGATCCATTCAAGTAAGAATAATTCAAAGTTTCTCAATTCAAAAACATAGGAAACATCAAAATGAATTAAAACCTTTGGTGAATTTTCAAAATCATAAGAACACAATTGTTCATAAAAATAGTCATATGAAAATTCTTCATGTACTGCAATTCTCACATAGACCTCATTATCTCGTTTTTCTGATTGAATATAACGAGTCTTACCAGAAGCTGATTCTCCCTTAACAGTCTCAAATTTCTCTATCTTACAACTTTCTGAAAGGTACTTGCTAATAATTGGCTTCTTTTGGGCCATACCTTCAATGTCATTCTTTGTTTCAATAAATGAGAATGCTTCTTTAGATGCGTCTGATGTGAAAATCAAAGTAGTCAATCCTACCTTTTGGTTCTTTTCATGAGCTTCAAACTCAAACTTGATCAACTCTTCCTTCACACTGAGCACTAACTTGTTCACATGAACCAGAGCATAAGTGAGCTCCGGGAAAGCTTTCCTTCTTTTACAAAACCATTGAATGTCCTCTTTCCTTGTACTTTCATCACAGTAGAAGATATTGGAATTGTTGACTATCAAAACACTATTATCACCAGAGTACTGAATGATATTTTCTTGGAATATTTTAAGTAGAATAATTGGTATTTGTGAGCCATTCACATCATACAGTGTTTTGGTTTCGTAGTTATTTCTTTCTTGATCTAAATCGCCAGCAATACTTTCAATAATTTTCTGTACAAATTCACCAGAAAGCTTCAAAATCTCTTTTGCACTTGTTGTACTTTTGAAACCACTCAAAATTTCCTTCAATCCTTCTTCTGTAATTGGATAATGCTTCAGATTATCTCTGAACAATTCTTTAACAATTAGCATTATATATGGAATAAGACTTTGACATTCCCTTTCTTCACTTTCTAAACTATCCTTGAAGAGTGAAACAAATTTTGTTAGTTGACTTCTTGATAAATTTAAAACTAATGGTTGTGATTCCACAAGGTCCTCAATAGATTTTTTCCATTTTTCAAGTTTTGCATTAAAAGCATTGTTCTTCTTTTCAAGCTCTAATTTTTCCATTCTTTCATTAATTTCGATTCGTTCTTGATCATGGTATTTAGGATAACCCTCTTTGATTAGCTCTTTGATAGTTGACTGAATTTGCTCTGCCATTTGATAAAGCAATATAAAGTTTTGTAAATCATGTTTCATCTTGATATTTTGGTCATTTTCTGAATCAGAAGATCTGAAAATAGCAACCCTAACCAAATCAACTAGCTCTTCTCCTGATATTTCTTTATCTTCGTAGCTAACGATTAATGAATCTGGTGTGGAAATAAACTTTCCCTTTTCTATTATTGCCCTGACACTATCAAAAACATCATCAAGGTGGATAGTGGCTGTACTAGAGAATAAAATTTTGATGGTTGTAAGATTTTCGTTAACAACTTGAAGTTCCTTAAGCTTGAAAAGATCCTCTTCCTTGTTGAATAAGGCAAGAATCTTATTTCTAAAATCTTGGAAGGTGATCTTTTGATTGAGTAAAGGAGAGACCAGTTCTTTGGCAATAATTAAAGAATTCACTATTTCTTCGTGGAATTTAGAGTTTCTACTTCTTGTCCTTACTACTTTGATAGAATCTTCAAAGCTTAACAAATTATCCTTCAAAAATTGAATTAATCCTTTTGACTCTGGAGTTAATAAATCTTTAAAATATTTGGTGTGATAACCGTCCAAACCTTGCATTGCTTCATTAGAAACATCAAGAATTACTTCAACTTCCGAAAGAGGAATGTCTCTCAGACCGTACAATCTATCTTTGAGTCTTTTTATGTTATTGAAACTCTCTTCTTTAACAAGCTCCATATTGTAGTCTTGCATACAATCAACAAAATATTCTAATCCAGTTCCAAGCTCTTCCAAGTTTAGTGCTTTTCTTAAAACCTCCAAATTGATATTAAATTGACCTCCTGAACTAGTCTTGTTAAGAACTGAGGATAGAAGTTCAATCTCACCAGAGAGAGTTTTTCCTTTAGCTCTCAGCTGCTTAGAAAGATCTAAAATCTCATACTCTTTCAAACTTTGAATATTTTGCATATTAATGTGTTCCAAGAATTCAATCACTCTTGTAAATATTTCAGATACTGCTATAATATCACCAGTTTCCCCAGAGTCATGAAGAAATTTTTTGAATAGAGAGTGGAACAATAGACTGTCTTCATCGTGGAGAAAAATTATCAAGTCTCTTCTGTTATCAATATAATCAAGTTGTGCCTTGAGGCTTTCAACATTAGATTCCAATTCTGAGAGTGTAGATGTTTCATCCAGTAATGATAAATGTTGTGTAAACTCCATAAGCAGTGGGAACCTTTTTAACCATGAAATAATTTTAGTCAATTCTTGAATATCTTTTTCTACAGACTTGGAAGTTTCTATCTTTCTTTCTATTCCATTCACTTTAGCTAAATCTAATTTCTCGATCAGTGAATTAAAACGATATCTTTCTTTTTGTAACAATTCCAAATCCTTGATCGTTATCTGGTTGTCTGAAATGCTATCTGTCAAGTCTTGAAGAGGATTCTTTACCGCACTTACGAATAAGTCACGATACTCTTTCCATTCCTTTGAATTTTGATTATGTTTCCAGGTGTTAATAAATATGTTGAGGTACTTTTCAGAATCAAGGAAAAACTTGATTCCTGTTTGTTCCCTATTTACAATTGCATTTTCTAAAAGGTATGGAGCAAAAGTCGAAAATAGCTTTGAAGTAGACATGTCATCAGCGATTAATGAAACTATTCTAAGTCTTTCCAACATATCAGTAGAGTCTAACAATGAATTGATAAATGCCTTATAAAATACATAATGATGTCTGGTTAGATTATCAGATCCTAAGTAGAACAATTGCTTGGCAGACTTCAGTCTTGCCTCCTTTGCTGATGTATCATTAAAAAGGTTAGATAAAGCCAATACAATTGTTTCCGCTGAATTTTCATCCAATTCAGAAATGAAAGATTCAATAGATTTTGATTCAAGAATATCAAAAATTTGTAAATGTCTGAAATCTTTTGTTAAACCAAACCAACTCGTGTAAAAGGACAATACTCTTTGTAAATCCAATCCGTTCACATTCATGTAACTATCGATCATTTCGAATATTACATCAACACTGGCCCTCTTTTTCATCTGGTTTGTTAAAAATATCATGAAAGTTTCATTAGACACTTGATTTGGAAAGTATTTGATTGCTAATCTCATGTTTTTGGGGGTCAGATTATCAGATTTGGCATTATTCTTTAGTGAGAATTCCAGTGCACCCAAATAGTAATCCACTCCATATTGTTGAATTGTTTGGAGAATAGACTGAAGAGTATTTTCAGAGAAATCAAGGATTTCTTTTGTGGCAAGACTAGAAATGAGCTTTTGCTTGAGTAATAGATCATTTAAGAATGTCTGTATGTTATAGCATAAAAATTGCAGACAAAATATGTAGAGTGGTTCTTTTGTCATGTCTAAATTATTTAGATAGTTCTTCCAAAAATTGGTGAAATATTCTGGTGATCTCTGCAATAAACTAGATACATAAATTGGTAAATATTTGGAGTTTTGAGGTTGAATAATTGAGGAGAAAGTAATTTCCAAATGATACCAATTATTTGGAAACACTCTAAAATAATATTCACAAACCCAATCGTGCAGCTCAGCTGAAATACTGGCTTTTTTCCAAAATATATTCCATTGATCAAAATGATTATTTTTAAATTGATGCAATACCAATACATATTCAAACTCAAAGTTTTTCAATCCACTCAGCAACATTATTTTCCTGATATTATGGGCAAATTTGGAGTAATCTTTTGCACTAGTAACGAGAATTTCACTTATCCATTTAAAGACAACAGGAGGTGGATTATTAGCAACATATAGTGTCAGTAATAAATGAGTACATGCCACTTGAAAGAGATTGACATTAGAATATATGTCAGGATTTTTAGAAACCATCATAAATAGAGAAAGAAATATTTTTCTTGCTTCTTCTTTCTTTTTGTTTTGGATGAAATCACAAATTTCATCGACACCTTCTTCTAGCACTTTGTTGTTGACTTCATAGAATCTGTCTTTACAAATAATTTCCAACTCATCTAAAAGCTGTTCACTCTTAGTTTTACCAAATAACATTTTCTTTGCTTTGCCGAATAGCGATTCTTCCATATTCATATTCTTTTTGAGATATTTTGAAATATCTTGTAATAACTTTTTGAAATGAATTTGACATGCCACTAGTATAATTACTTACATAATAGTATTGTGTCTTTTCAATGCCAAATTCATTTGATTTTTTAGCAGATGATATTTCTGCCACCTCCAAATACCTAAAGATCATACTTGGAGAGCTTTTGTCTGTACAAGCTACAAAAGTTTCGTTAGCAAATGTTTTACCAAACTTTCTAATGGTAACTAACAGTCTTTGGAAGTCTCCATTTTCTCCAAAGTCAAAACTAACATCAAACGAGGACAAGTGGGAATTAATTTCATTCTCTAATTGTTTAATTTTTTTGTTCACCTCCTTGATCGCTTCCTTCGGTTTTAGGTTACCAACCACATCAATAGTTTGATCATCATTCTTGTCAATTTGGTGGGTGGGCCACTGATCATCCATTCCGAAGTGTTTATTTTTTTTATTAATTTATTATTTTTAAACAGTTGGGAATTCTCAAACGTGATTCTATTTTGTCTTTTGTGGTTGATTTAAATGAGTAGATACGAATTAGTTTATATGAGAAGCGTCGATGGTTTAGTGGTAGAATACGGCGTTGCCATCGCCGTGACCCGGGTTCAATTCCCGGTCGACGCAAGAATTTATTTTTTATTTTGTATCTAAAAAGCTTCAATAATTCAACTTTTTATTAATAAAAGTAGACATGTTAAGTTATCTATTTCTGAAATTTCATGTTTCCATCTATTTTAATCATCTAGAAAATAATCACAGTTTTGGAGACATTTTTTTAACATTAAAAATAAATATAAAAAATTAAATAAATTGAAATTAAAAAATGGCTCAAAATCAACCGCAACTTATCACTCCTCGACCTGCATTTTCGGGTTTTCAAAGATTTATGAATGGAGTATTCGTCTTGTTAATGTGTTTGGATTTTTTCATCAGCGGATTTGGATATGTAAATTATACAGAAAATGCTATTCAGTCGATGGTAATTTTTGAATCGGATCCAGTTACTACACCAGGATCAACGAAAATTGTAGGAATTCTTTCTCTTTTACTTACACAATTGGGTTGGATTTATATGGTTTTGGGAATTTTAGGATTTTTAGCCTTGTTCTTCAAGAGAAGATCCATGTTATTGTTTGTCATGTCTTTGGTGATGATTATTACAACATCTGTTAAAATTCATTACATTACAAAGAATAATCCGCATGATACTTTGTCTTCGGAGTTGCAAGAAATTGTTAAATTTGAAGTAGTGCAATTAGTTATTGGTTTACTAGTTGCTTTCATTTCATATATTGAACGTGGAAGAAATGACTTGCCTGTCAATGTTGAAGCAGAAAAGAAACAAGATTAAATTGGAATTTTCTTATTTAATTTGTGAATGTTTCGAATTTAGATTAAAATCTAAACAGAGAAGAATAAACTAGATAATTTAAATATTATAATACATTAATATGTTTACTAGTGTTGCTTAATTATCAAGCAGTTTTTTCTCTTCAGTGTCTTGTTCTTTGGATAGAGCTGATTTGGATACTTTTGAAAATAAACTACCAACAACAGGGATCGCCACTAGTAACGATCGTGGTATGCAAAATAAAACATTTTCATTCGAAATATCTGAAATATGAACATTATCAGAATGGTTTGAGCTAGTTGACCCGTACTCTCTAGTTTTCAGTATTTGAGTTTGGCTATTATCAAAATTGTTATGTGTTGAAGAAGATTTGTTAGAAGATTTAAAAATTAAAGTATCAGTTTCACTAACCTCTTTTTCCTGCTCTCTATTTTCCACTACTACAGATGATGTCGTATTATTATTATTGTTATTATTTGTTATTACAACTGTGTTTGATTCAGAGTTATCCTCTGGTGAAGCAATCGTCGTCACAATATGTTTTGTGAGAGGTGATGGCTTAACAGTAGTCGATGGACTGCTAACTGTACCAGGCGTCCTTGGAGAGTTGAATGGACTTCCAAGACTTATCTTTGAGAATTCAAGTGTACTTGGAGTGAACACATTGTCAGATGATGCACTCATTGGTGATGATACATTTTGACTTTGAGATTTAAACATATTAAAGTATTGTTCCAATAAAGAAACTTCCTTTTCACAATACTTTTGGTGACTGACTGTTAAATCTTCATTGCTGTAATCAATACCAAGGAGAGAAATATTGACATGTGTTAATGTGAAATCACTACCATCAACATCTTTTGAAAAACACAATTTGATTTGCCACTTAAATTGGAATAATTGTTTCATAGCTGCTTTAGCAAAGTTGACTTGTTCTCTTGGATCGTTTTCTTCAAGTTTGACCAATTCTTCATCAGATATTCCGTATTGTTGCATCCAATCTAGACGTTTCATATATAGTTGTTCAGAACGTTCATGAGCAACATAGAATGAAGAGTAGGAAGTTGAAATATTTGGACTATCAGAACCAATATAAATACGCCAAGCACCACGAGCATCCTTGAAATGAATCTTATGTTTCATTGTAAATTCACGTAATCCCATCAGAACATTGATGACAATAGTTTGTTGACAACATTTGAGGAGAAGTAAAAGATGATTCTTGTTTTCATCCTTTCCAGTTGGAGGTTCCGACTCAGTTGGTGTTGTCAAATCCAAATCTCCAAATTTTACGGCATGCATCAAATAATTGTTGAGAGTACGATGATCATTGAAATCAATGTGTGAAATATATTCTTCATAAGTTGGAAGATTAAATTGATCGGTTGAATTTAACACATCTTTCACTATTGATTCAATGAATTGATAGAATATAATTTCTTTTGGAATGTCATCAGGAGTGATAAGATCTGAATGGTTTTCAGGATTAAAGGAAATGTTGGTTTTGTGTTTCCAAGAATCTTCTTGTTGTTGATTGGCAAGAGATTCATCGTGTGCTTCTTCGGCTTGTTCTGATCTTGTCTTGGGAGAAATCAAATAAATCTTCTTCAGTAATCTTGGAATATCTTTGGTCACTGGCAGCTTATCAAATTGTTTATCGAGAATGGCTTGAATCTTATTGGTGGCATCTAGTAATTTAGCAGATTTAGGTTGTTGTTGTTGTTGTGTTGTGTTTATCATGATGTTGTTATTGTTGATTGGTAATAATTATAGGGTACAGTTTTGTTGGGGGAGGAAAAAGAGCAAGCAGTATAAATCGAAGGAATGTTGTTGTTGTTGATGTTGTAATAGATAATAAATTATAATAACAAATAATAATAATAATCAAAATAATAATAGAGTAATAGAGGGGAAAATGGAAGAAAATAGTAGTAGGAATAGGCAGGAAAAAGGGAATGGGATACCACGTTAATATATATATTGTTGTATCAATCAAAAGAAACGTAAAATAGATAGAAAATGGTCCGTTACAAATTTGTTTTTAAAATTTGGCGGCAAAGAGAATTGTAGTCAGAGAAACAAATCAGCACACAATTTTGCAAAAACAAAAAAGACAAAATTGTTGTAGTTGATAGGATTGAGTAGAGTTGTTGTGTGGAAGAAAAAATGATTTGTCGTGGTGGTTCAGAGAAAGCGGAATGAACCAATCATACCACGCACAGTAAAGGTGATTTAAAGCGTCGTTATTTTTTTAATAAGAATATGAGAGGGTACATGTCAAATCGATTGTCAAAGATATCACCAATTAATCGATAAAATATTAATTATATGAATTTAACAAAGTGAAGCAATGGACATAGATGGTAGCAACAGTAGAAATTAACAGAAAATTAATATTTGAAAAATCATCACTCGAAACTAACCTATTTGCTTTGGTGAGAGGGGAATTTTAAACATTGATTCTTCCAATAATGAAATTGTTGTTGGTGATGGTGGATAATTGATTCTTGGAGTACCCGAAAGGAGAGGACTATTATTGTTGTTATTATTAATAATGGCAATCCCTCCTCCACTGGTAGTGGTGGTGGTTCGGGAAGCATTGACATCAATTAATAATCGAGAGGGAATGTTTCTTGGAGAGAATTGTTGACTCATCGATTTGATTTGGATTCTCTAAAGAATTTATGATTTTCAAAGGAGATGATGTTGCAATGGTGAGAAGATAAAGTGTTAATTCTTCTAACAATTTTTTTGGCTCTTGATTTACCAAAGTCCTTTTGATATGTCTTGACAAATGACGTCTATAAAGGCATTCTGTGTGGAAAATCAGAACCTCCAGACTCAAATAATAGTTTAATTATTACTCAATGTTGATGATAATTGAAGACGACTTGAAGACGATTGGAAAGAATTTTATTCTTTACTTTAATTTACAATATCTATTAACATTTAAATATATTATTTAACAATTTACAATTGCTTGGCAGTAAAACCAGCTTTTCCAAGAGATTGAACAGCATCTTCAGCCTTGAATGATTCATCAACATTAACTTTGGCATTCTTTTCCTTGACACTAACTTGAACAACATTTACAACTCCTGGAACACGTTGGAGAATTTTGGAAACACTTCCAGCACATCCTGTTTTAATTTTCAATGAATATATTATTGAACAGTATTGTTTGATGATTATTAATTTCAATATTGAGAGTAAAAATCTTCTTCTTACCTTCGCAGGACACTGTGATCGGATCAAAATGGTCATCATAATAATCAATAATAATCAAGCATCATCACATAATATTTATCAGTGCAACGTTAGTTAATATTTCAAATAATTGTCATCATTTCAGTCAATTAAAATCAAAGATTAAACAACATACTTCCATCAACAGAGAGAGTAACACTTGAAGACATTTTTTATGTGATTTGTGAAAAGTAATAACTCACCAACTAGTGAACTGAAAACCTAAACTATTTGCTGGCAATTCGTCTTGTGAAATATCAATTTCCCCGATTAAGATTTGATATTTCTCATATTGAGATAAATTAGTGGATTTATTCATCCTCGTCCGCAAAGTGATACATTTGCTCAGAGGGGCTTTTAGGTTTCTTGGCTTTTTTCTTCTTTTTTCCATTGGCACGTTGAGCTCTTGATAGGGAGTTTTGGAGAGCCTTATCAACTCTCCTTAAACATGAAATGGTAGGTTGATAGAGAGACATGCATTTAGTGAATCGTTCCATGGTGGTTCTTTCAATATTGTCCATGTCATCTTTGGTTGGTATTTCATTTTTGGATTCTTTTGGAGTTGTTTCAAATGCTGCACTATCAGAATTTCCAACAAATTCAATCGTTTCTTCGTATTCTTTTTGCTTTTGTGAAGCTTTCAGAATGTTACTCGATGAGAAAAGTCCTCCAATGATACTGCTGCTACTTGTACTAGTATTTTTCCTTTCTCTATTTCTACTCGAATTAATTACTGAACTACTGTTATATGAATCATTGTAATCTTCATTGTCTGCTCCAAAAACTCCATCATCACCCTCATCGTTTGCATCTTCATCCACAGTAGGTGGTGGAGTAGTAACAACTGGTTCAGGTATTTTGGATTTCTTTTGTTGTTTCTTTTGTTTTACTGTTGTAGGTTTCTTCTCCTCTTCATCTCCAAAAATATCCTCCTCCTCTTCTTCTCTGTTAAAAGTGGATCCAAATCCTATGGCTGCTCCCGATTTAGTATGTCTCTTTTGGTAATCATGTAATTTGGCTGCAATTGAGGAAAAATTATCCAAACATTGTGAGATTTCTCGACTGCAGGCAACAGCTCTCGTTTGAGTTGTATAGTTCATAGTTTCAAATTTACACTTATTTACATTATTTTCATTCTCTTCCAAGCATTTGCTCATTTCATTGAATTCTGGTTTGAAGAAATTTGCTTGTGCAAACTTCAATTTAGAAATAATTTTCTTATTGCTGTCATGATGAGTATTCACAGCAAATAGTTCTCTCTTTTCAGCTTGTGGACCTTCAGTCATTCCATCCACATCTGAAACAAATGATAATATTGAGCTTACTTTTGGAAGGAAGGCATTGAGAGATGTTGGTTCTTGAATCATTTCTGTTGTTTCCAAATAAACTTGTTTCATAGCTTGTGTATTTCTATCATTTCCTTCCAAACAATCCGAACATTGAGTAATCATATCCAAAGCTTCTTCCTTTGTCAAAACATTTTGTGCATTCAGTCCACAAATTGCATTAATTGTTACAGTTGATGGAAGACATCTATTGGCAAGATTCAATGATTCATTCCTATCTAGCATACCACTCACATTACAAGCCAATTTCAATACATCCAAACTCTTCTGATTTGTAACAAAGGGATGATTTGGGATTGGTTCCTGTGGTAATGAAGAACACTTGCTCCACATATTCATCAATCGGTAGACATTTCTCAAGTGATACTTCTTCTGAACACGAGTAAAGGTATCATCCCTATCCAATTCTTCCTCAGTAAATGTTGTTGGTTTTACATCATCACTACCAAGAGCACTCTTCGGAAGAGAATTTTCCACAATGAGAGAAGATAGAGTTCTTCCTCCAAATCGATTAGATGATGATTGATTTGCCGCTGATGCTTGTTCCTCCTTTTTAGTCTTGGATTGTTGAAGGAATTGTTTGAAAACTTGGTCTGTTGTGGGTTTTGCTGTTGTTGATGGAGTTGATGATGATTCTGTTGTGGACATTCTTTTTTTCTCTATCAAAATTCTTGTCCTCTCCTTCTATCAATTTGATTTTTCTTATTTTACATATGAAACAGATAGGAAGATAAAATTGGAATGTTATATGTACAATTGTTGCGAGTTCTTCTCTTATTCTCTATTATTTAGATTCATCATCAGGGAGCTGGAGAAGAATTTTAATGATGAAAATAAATTCAATAAAAAAAGGCTTCAAAAAAAGTTGCAACAAAAAAATGTCATCATCAACTTCTTTGAATGCTTCTTCGGATGGAAATTCCCAAAAATTACTTATTCAAAGCTTCCGTGACCTTTTTTCAAAGATTGATAATTTAGAAAGTACACTTGATGAATCAGTTCTTTCATCTAGTACACAAAAACAACCAAAGATTGAAAAGAAAGAGTCGGAAGCTTGGGGAGAGTTTGTGCCACTTAAAAAGGAGGATATTTTGGAAATTCTTGATGGTGGAAAGAAGAGAACACAAGTTCTTCAAAAACAACAATATCAAACTTTGAATTTTGAAGATGTTCAAAGAGAAACTAAAAAGAGATTGAATATGCTCATTAAATGTGTTAAAGCTATGGAAAATGCTTCAGATAAGAATTATGCTTCAATTGAAGATTGTTTAACTTTGATTTTTGAAATTTTACATAATGGATTATTGAGAAATGGTCTTAAGGTTATCACAACTCAAAAGGGAGGTCCTTTTGATGATTTGAAATCAATTTCTTCATATCTTTGTAAGGAGATAACAAAAGAAAAATCAATCAATGAATTGGAAAATACAGTTGCTGGTACATCCTATCTAGAATCCTTGTCAGGACTTATTTCAACATTGAAAGGAAAGAGAGAACAGACCAATAATATTGTATTTTTGAAGGCTATGGTTGCTTCAGTTTTGTGTTATTTCGAAACTAATCAACAAGAAGCTCACAAGAGTTTCATTGAACTAACATGTCACGTTCTCCAATTTTTGATTAACGAATGTTACAAACTCATCTATCCAGATCCAAGAGATTTATTATACGGTGGCCGTAAGGATGACATTGCTGATGCTCACTTGGAACATATTCAAAAGATTTTTAATTTGAATCCATCCAATAAGGATAGCGAAGAACCAGCTCCTTTGGAAGATACCATTCTCTCTCCTTTGGAATTCTGTCAACTTTTCAAGGTTTACAGCACAATGTTACAAAGAGCCCTCACTACAGCTTATCCTTTCACTCTTAACATTAACACCCAACTTTTGATTAATAGAGTCCTTCAAGAAGCTTTCCTCCTTCAAGCTATTTCTACTCAAGTTTTGCAAAAACCAAACAAGGAAATCAGATCAATCTTGTACACAACCACAACTGATGGTACCAAATTACAATCCTCTTTCTACGCAGTCATCCTTCCAACCATTCACTCTGAATGCTTAAAGTCACTCTCTGCCTTGATTAATTTGGGTGGAGAACAATTACTCCCATATATGAACAGTATTTGTCAAATTCTTGTTACTGAAACTAGAAATTGGAAGAGCTCAATGCTGATAGCTTTGTGTGACTATTGCAACAGTGAACCATACTTTGAAGTTTATAAGGAATTGATGAGATGTTTATCAATCATGACTGCCAAACATGGCGCCAAAGTCAGTGAAAAATGTACTCAAGTTGTTTTACCTCACTTGGTGGATATTATTTCTCAATTTACTCACTTTGTTGATCATCAAGTATTTTCACTTCCACTCACTCAATTACAACAACAAAATCATGTTGAAAATTACGAGCTCTCATTGAAGAAAAAGAAGAAGAAGAAGGTTATGAAGGTTGAAGATGATTTGATTTTGAATCCAGAAATTTTCTCTCAATACTCTCGAGTTGTGTTTGTCACACTCAAGTGTATTCAACATATGATGAATAATACTAGTGTTCTTGTGTCAACAACTCGTCAAGTTGACTCTTCACGATACAGATCAGCTTCTGAGGCTGAAAATTCAGTTGTTGACGTTCTTTCAACATTGGTTGACTTTATTACAAATTCTCTCGGATTTATTAACAAGTGGCATGAATTGGATGAATTCTTCTCGACAAGTAACATTTCAATTTACAGTGCTTCACAAGTTAAAAGTTATCATGAAGATTTAATACCGATTATTACAGCCATGTACGATGCTCTTGTTCCATCCCTTTTATCTACTTCATCCGTTCATACACAATCCCCATTCACAACTATTGCTTTGAATGCTCTTCAAAGAGGTAAATCAAGTGCCATTCCAGAAATTGTCTCTTCTTCAATGATGGGTCTTAATATCTTTGAAAGCTTTTTGCATCCAAAGTCTGCTCCATTGTATGTTCCTTCTGCAGAATCTGTAAATGAATCGTCTGTCAATTCTAGAAAGAGTCAAATTCACGAAAATGATAGTCAATCACGATTTGCCAACAGATTAATGTCATTGTCTGAAAATCAAGAAAGCGAAGATGAAGAGGAAGAACAAGCTGAGGAAGAATCAAGTCAAGAAGAACAAATGCAAGATGACGAAGAAGAACAAGAGAAACCTGTCAAGGAAGTCCTAAAGGCTGCTTCTAAGGCTGTTGAAGGAAGATTGAACAAACTTAAGCACGTGCTTAAAAACACTAAGGAAGACGACGAAGAAGAACAAGAAGAACCTGTCAAGGAAGTCCTAAAGGCTGCTTCTACAGCTGTTGAAGGAAGATTGAACAAACTCAAGGATGTGCTTAAAAAGACCAAGGAAGTGGAAAAGGAACCAGAATCTTCAAAGAAGAGAACTGTTTCTGAGGTCACAGAAAAACCAGAACAAAAGACAAAACAACGTATGGTTGAAACACCTAAAAAATCAACTTTAAAGCTCCCAGAAACAAAATACAACAATACTGATAAGGAAGACTTTGAGGATGCTGCCCATTTTAGCTCTGATGATGAGGTTGATACTGAAAATATCAATTTAGTCGACGATAGTGAAATTGGTGATGTTTCTGGTTTGGATCTTCACTTTTAAATAACTTATTAAAAATATTTACAAAAATTTACCACCCACTAGCTTACCTATTTTCGCCGCTCCCCGACGAACAGTAGGGCAACATTTTTTGAAACTTTGAAAATCACTTAACAACTTTGTTTTTTGCCTACAATTTCATCAGAAATTTATTGTTGGATTCTCTTTTGATAAGCTTCCCAACCAAGCTTTCTGTACAACTTGGCAGCATTTTGACGTTCCTTGTCGTGGTAAATACCTCTACCCACAATAATGACATCACACTTCTTTTCACAAACTACATACTCTGGAGAGTTGTATTGTTGGCCCAATGAATCTCCCTTAACATCGAGTCTAACACCAGGAGTGCAGTAGAGGAATTGATCGAGATCATCTCTCAATTTGCTTTGACAAATGAAACCACTGACAAAATCTGGATTTTCCAAAGCAACCTTGAGTGCTTCTTGCTTTGTGGATTCACCAGTAGTGGCACCTTCAGTACTCATTTGAGCAATCAAGAGCAAACCTCTTGGTTCAGTAATATTTTCTTCCTTGAGAGATTCCTTCAAAGCCTTAACAGTAGCAGATCCACCACTAACCAAGTGAGAATTACAGAGATCAGACCATTGAGCAATTTTGAATGGACCTCTGGCATATTGTTGCTTGACAACTTGGCCGATATCAGCCAACTTTCTATCTTCGAAAATTAAAAAGTTGTGCTTCTTAGCCAATTCTTTGAGTTGTTGAGTGAATTGTTCATCTGGTTGATCATCCAAAGTATCAATGTGAGTCTTTAACATGCAAATTTCTGGACCAGTTTCATCAGCCAATTTCAAAAGGTCATCCTTACTAGTAATATCAGCAGCAACACATAAATTAGTTTGCTTTTCTTCCATCAACTTGAACAATTTCTTTGAGAATTCATTGTTTGTCAATTCAGCTCTTTCAGTAAATGTGAGTTCCTTCTTCTTTTGTGGCACAGCAGTTGTCTTGGTTTCCGAGAAAGTATTAGTGCCAATAAATTGAAGAATATCTTCTCTTTGTTCTTGTGACATTTTACCTTCGTCAAGTAAAACTTGTGTGACTTCTGTCATGGTCAAACATGGATGAACATTGTAAACCTTTTCTCCCTTCTTCAAGATGTGCATACCATTGGTGAGTGGAAGTTGTTCTCTTGTCAAAAAGACGAGAGCATCTGTCACCAAAAGTCCTTCATTTTCCAATTTTTCAGCAGTTTCTACAATACTAGCTCCACTAGTAATGACATCCTCAATTAAGATACAATTAGTTTCATTCTTAGTGTAGATACCTTCAACCATATTTCCAGTACCATATTGCTTTCTTTCCTTTCTACAGATAACCATAGGTAAATCATAAGTCATGGACATACAGGATGAGAATGTCAATGCACTATAAGGAACACCACAAATAACTCTCTTTTCCATGTTTGTCAATCCCTTTACTGTCATCACATGATATAACAGTACAGAAAATTGGCGCAACATTTTTGGTCCAATAATTCTCAAATCCACATAGAAAGGAGAAACAATGCCGGACTTTAATGTAAATCTACCAAATTTCAAAGCACCAATTTGAATCAAATCTAAAACCAATTCCTTCTTCAAGGCTTGAATATCAATAGTTGTGGTGGTTTCCATTCTCGTGTTCTTCTTCTGTTATGTTGCTGATGTTTTTAATGTCTCTTTGCTCCCCGAAAAAAGCCTTCTTCTCTGCTCGCCGTCGATTTTGGAGGTTTTTTTTCGAGAGGGAGAATAAGAAGCAAGGTTGGTAATCTTGCTTTTAAAGAAATTGAGGTGGGTACATGAATTGACCATGACTTGTTGTTGGTTCTCTTGCTTGAATTGGTGCGAATCAAAGAAAATATTGATAGTGAAGAGAGGAGAGAATCATCAGAATTATCAGGATTGTAATGAGTATAAGTTTCTCATTTGAGATGGATAATTTGAATCGATATTGAATTCTCTCAATAGTAAATGTTATTTTAATTGTTGACATAAAATTAATTTAATTAAGGAAAATAAAGATTTAAATATTGAGAATAATATTATTAATCTTATTTTCCTGAATCACTTCACTTTTTAGTTCTACATGGCTATGAGACAGAATAATAAAATTGCAAAAAGAATAAAAAATGCAATATCGATTATTCTTCCTTCCGAATAGGACGACGAGTTTTAGCAGCAGCACTTGTTCGGAGAGCTTGAATTCGCTTCTTCATCATCAATGCCATTTGAATCATAGTCATAGTCATCATCATAATGGAAATAGTATCAAAATGTTGTCATCCTCCTTGTCCAATGATAATGAAAATAATAGGAGAAATTATGTGAGCAAAAGTAACAAGAATGGATTGGTTTTTGAATGCTCGGAATTAAAAGAGGAATTGAAGAGACTTTCCATCATGAATAGAAATAATATCTATAGTAATGTTTGGATGAGAAATATTGGATTTAGTAAACAACAACAAGTTAGAAATTATTCTGTCCTTCCAACCAATGCTAAAAAGATCAAGGAACATAACAAATCTGCTTTGGATTTATCGGGATTCACTCCTGAATATATTCGTAATTTTTGTATCATTGCACACATTGACCACGGAAAAAGTACATTGGCTGATTATTTACTGAAGGAAACTAATACAATTACTGCTGAACTTTTGAAGGATAATGCACAATTTCTCGATAGATTACAAGTTGAGAGAGAAAGAGGTATTACTGTGAAGGCACAATCATGTGCAATGTTTTACGAATATAATGGAAAGAAATATTTATTAAATTTGATTGATACACCAGTAAGTAGTTGAAGAAATAATGGAAATGTGTGGAATTTTGAAATTCAAATTTATATAGGGACACGTTGACTTTAGTTATGAAGTCAGTAGAAGTATGGGTGCTTGTGATGGTGCTTTATTACTTGTTGACTCTGGACAAGGCGTCCAAGCTCAAACATTGGCCAATTATTTCTTGGCATTGGAAGAAAATCTTGAAATTATTCCAATTATGACTAAGATTGACCAACAAACAGCTCAACCTGAGCTTGTAGAAGAAGATATGACTGGAATTTTGGGCGTAGAAAAAGATGAAATTATCAAAGTGAGTGCTAAAACTGGTTTGAATTGTCAAAAGATTATTCCTGCAGTTATTGAGAAAATTCCAGCACCTGAACCACCAAAAGTTAGTGAAGGAGAAACTCCTGGGGCCTTAAAATCTTTGATTTTCGATTCATGGTATGATGAATATTTTGGAGTTGTTTCACTTGTTTATATTGCCCAAGGTTCTGTTGAGGTTGGTGATTTCATTTACTCACATGCAAATGTTAAAAACTCTGCAAAACCAACCAAATATCAAGTTACCAAGTTGGGTATCATGAATCCTGACCAAGTTCCAACTGATAAATTATATCAAGGTCAAGTTGGTTATCTCATTTGTGGAATGAAGAGTACAAAGGAAGCCCAGATTGGTGACACCCTCTATATTTGGGATTCAAAGATTGAACCATTACCTGGTTTTAAGCAAGCCAAACCTATGGTTTATGCTGGTATTTATCCTCTGAATACTGCTGAATTTGATAAGTTGAGAGATGTCATTGACAAGTTACTCTTGACAGACAGAAGCGTCACTATTGAAAAAGAAACTAGTGCTGCTCTAGGAACTGGATTCAGATGTGGATTCTTGGGATTGCTTCAGTAAGTTTTAAACCCAAATTTCTCTTTTTTTCTAAACCTCAATAGCATGGACGTATTTAAGCAAAGATTAGCCCAAGAATTTACCATTGAAACAATTATCACTGCTCCAACAGTTACTTACAAGATTGTAACAAAGAATACTGGAAAGAAGACATCTTTTAATACTGTAGAAGATGAAATCATTGAATATATCGATAACCCTAATGATTTCCCAGAAAATCCAGAAGCTGAAGTTTATGAACCTATGGCTAACTGTACAATTATGACTCCAAGAGAGTTTGTTGGTGATATTATTACCTTGTGTCAGGAAAGAAGAGGTGTCCAAATTCATATGGAATACTTCTCTGCTGAAAGAGTTTCCATGCAATACAAGATTCCACTCAACGAAATGATTTATGTAAGTATTTCATAATTATTTGAAAATAGATCTAACAACACTTTCAGGACTTTTTTGACAAATTGAAATCCATGACCAAGGGTTATGCCACCTTAGATTACGAGGAAGCTGGATTTGAAAGATCTGACGTTGTAAAATTGACTGTCATGCTCAATAAGGATCCTGTTGATGCCTTGTCGTACATTGTACACGAAAGTAAGGCATACTTTAAAGCAAGAGATGTTGTCCAACGATTGAAGAAGCTCATTTCCAGACAACTCTTCGAAGTTAACATTCAATGTGCTGTAGGATTGAAGATTATTGCTAGTGAAAAGTTGAAAGCTTTCAGAAAGAACGTCACAGCCAAGTGTTATGGTGGTGATATTACCAGAAAACGTAAATTGTTAGAAAAGCAAAAGGAAGGTAAGAAGAAGATGAAACAACTCGGTTCTGTTTCAGTACCTCAAGATGCCTTCACAGTACTGTTCTCTGAAGGTGAAATTGAAGATGCAGATCTCTCGGATTAAACTTTTCAATGTTTTTCTTCATGACATTTATTCGAATGAAAGTGCTTTAGCTAAATGATTAATCTTGCAATGCAGATTAATGTCGCTATCATCGATTTCCAATGCATTCATATAAAGATTGATAGCTTTCAAAATATCACCACTCAACTCAACAGCTCTTGCCTGACGAAGCATACTGAGATAGTGTGCAGACTTATCTTCACTTGTTGTTATCATATTGGCATTGGAAGCCTCTGGAGTCATTGGTGTTTCTAACATTGGAGAGAAGAGCATGTCATCTCTGTTATTTCCACCTGCACTCTGTGTTTCCATTCCATAATCTTCGTCATCATCAATTACCTTATTGAATTTTGGCTTTGGTGTCATTGGTGTCATTTGCATTGGGTCATCCTCTTCGTCATCATAGATGGTATCGTCATCGTCAATAAAATCATCATCTGAATCAATTTCCTCTTCATCAGATGGTTCATAATCTCCGTCATCTTCCTCTGTATCAGCAGCATCATCGATGAAAGTGCTCTTCCCAACAATTGGAAACTCATCCTTAACTTGTGTGGTTTTTTCATTTTCATTTTCTTGACGAGTCCATAATTTCTTCCTCTTCCTTATCAGATGGTTCAAAATCATCTTCATCTTCATTGATCAAGCCAAAGATGGAAGAAAGTCTTCTTCTGAACTTATCTGGATCTGCAACTAAGGATTTTCTCTTTGGAAGAATATCTGGAGAGAGGATGGCTGGTGGGCTCATCATCATGTCATCATTATCATCATCTGATGGACTCAATTCTGGCTCTCTATCCTCTTTTCTAATTGGTGTTTTAGGATCTTTTGGTGGTGGTTTTATCAGTGTCTTTTTTGCTGGATTTTTAAAGGATGGAACCTCTGCCTTAGAGTTGACTTTTGGAGGAAGTTGAGAAGGATTATTACCCACTAGAGCCACTTGAGATCTAATCTTTGGCATTTCTGGTTTTACAGTAAACTCATGATCAAAATGTGTAAGTATTTGATTCAAATGCTCAATAGTCTTTCCCATCTTGAAATTCTTCCACTCATTTTCCAATTGATTTTGTGTAAGTAAAGACTTCGGTAAAAAGTTATCCAATATTCTCTTCCAAAATCCTGTTTCACCGTGAGTCCTCACCCCTTTTATCATTTGTTTACAATTCTCGTTTGATAGATTTGTTGTGTTGATTTGAGTGAGGAATGCTTCCTCGTTGATACTCTTATCCTTCTGTATGTCAGAAAGGGAGGTCAAAAGAAATTCTGAAGGAGGTGGTGCATCACCAGCAACTTTCCACTCTGCATCTGTTGATTTTTGTGATGTTTTTGTCTTGGTTTTAGTTGATTTTTTCTTATTTTGTGGAGAATCAGTCATATGAGAAGGATAGTTCAAAGCTCTTGCTGAATTGTCAGCAAGCATTGATATTTCTCTTTCATTATCGGCTGTTCCATCTTCATAGTCATCAGCTTCCTTTGAGTAGAGAAGATCATGATTGCTGAATCCTGTCATTACATCCTTTGCCAAGTTTTTGATCGTTTCCAAATGTTGTTTCAGTTTCTCACTATGATGATTGGGAGATGGTGTATGAATATTTTCGAGTTGTAATTGTGTTTCAGATGCATTAGGGTTCTGAGGCAAAGAGAATAGTTCTTTTAACTCTGATTTTGTAAAGTACCTATATTGGTTTTCCTTTTCTGTGGTAGATCTAAAGATGGCATCTTTAAAAACTTGCTTTCTATATACTTTCTCCTCAATAGTAGAGCATGAAATAAGTCTATATACAACAACATCCTTCAGTTGGCCAATTCTGTAACATCTGTCAGCAGCTAGAAATTATTAATTTACATAAGTATCATTCACTTTACATACCTTGGTTATCTAAAATATTGTCTAGTTTTGTTATATGAAATAAAACTTACCTTGAGTTGGATTCCATGACGGATCAAACAAAATAACTCTAGTGGCAGCTGTCAAAGTAAGCCCTACACTTCCTGTTTGAGAGGTCAATAAGAAACAAAAATATGGTGAATTTTCACTATTAAATGAGTCAACTCTTCTCTGTCTTTCTTTAGTATCGTTAATAGTACCATCTATTCTCGTGTAGGAAATATTAATGTATTTGAGCATTGAGGCTATCATGTCTAACATTTTTGAACTTTGACTGAATATTAAACATTTTTCATCCTCTTCATAAAGTTGTTGAACCAGTTTTCGAAGGAAAATCATTTTACCACTCATGGCAATCATTTCCTTGATATTTTTAGATTTCTTTTGTACTTTTGGGAGCAGATCAGGATGGCAACATATTTGCTTCAAAATTGTAATGGCTTGGATTGTTGTAAATTGAATTAATTTGAAATAGTAACTTACCTGCAAGAGGAGAGGTAGATTCGTGAATAACCTCATGCACATCCTCACTTTTAAGAAATTCTCTGTAGAGCTCCAATTGATAATTAGTGGACTTGATCCAAATTACCAAATCGTTCTTCTTACTAATTTTCTTTTGTAACGATCCTCCAATGGATTTTCTCAAGTTGTTTGCGTCAGCAGGTTGAATACGCTGCAGAACTTGTGATTTTTCTCTTCTCAACATGTGTGGGCTAATGACTTCTCTGAAACGTCTCAAAATCTCAGCGCCTAACTTTTGTTCGAAACTAGTGGCATCCTTTTCATTGGCTCTGACAATCTTCTTTTCAAACTCATCCTTAAATGTTTTTCTATCTCCTAATAATGTTCCCTTAAATATCCAATCCATTAATGCATGCATTTCCATCAAGTTATTTTGGACAGGTGTACCACTAATAACAATTCTACACATGGTGCTTGGGAGTTTGTGTAAGCATTTAGATAAAAGGGTGCTTGGGTTTTTCAACTTGTGACCTTCGTCCAGAATAATATAATCAAACTGATATCCATCCTTCACATAACTATCTGTGAATAAATCTATCTGAGATGATATAGTACCGTACGTTGTTAGTAGTACACCACCCTCCTGCTTATATTGATCCAAAATATCAGTACGTTGTTTCTTGGTAAGTGAGTGGAAAATGAAAATATTAAAATCTCCTTCACTCCAAACATTAAATTCCTTTCTCCAATTTTCTACTAAACTCACAGGCATTGCAATTAGAACATGTTTAACACTATCACCAGAGAAGAGTCCAGACAGGAATGAAATTGTTGTTGCTGTTTTTCCAAGACCCTATAAAGTTAAATTGAAAATGTTGTGTTATAGAATATGTGAAATTTGAAAAACTTACCATATCATCAGCCAATATTCCTCCTGAAATATCATTTCGAATACTGATATGTTTTCCCCAATACCATAAGAGGCCTTCCTTTTGATAGTCATAAAGTTGATTATAAATTTTTGAGGAGAGTTTAAATGGTATCTTTCTATCTTGTTTTGATTTGGCATCCATGAGAATATAAATATCAGCCTTCTTATCATAAATGAATCCATTAGGAAGCTTTTCAAATCGTTTTGTTTTTTCAGATTGAGGAGACATGAAGGGTGATATTATAGAGCTGGCTGGAATTTCTCTTGAACTTTTTGGAGTTGTTGGAAGAATGAGCTTTTCCTCTTTAATTTGCAAGTTGATTGAAGAATTGGTTGCAAACGAGGTCCTAATTGGTTCATTCTTTACAATATTTTGATTAGTTTCAGTTTGTAACATTTGAGTCTGTTCTAGAAAAATCCTTTCTGCCAATAATCTCTTATATTTTTCAATTTTTTTTGATAATTTATCATCAACACTGAAGAGAGAATAGGCCTGTTCGAACATGTGAATGAATTTAACTGGATCTTCCCCTTTCTTTTCCAAATCTCTTGCTGTACGGATCAAGTTGTTATATTGTTTCTTCTTCTCCTTTTCGGATAGGATGGGTGTATCGATATCGGAAGGAAGAGGAAGAAGAGTTTCATTCATCACATTATGTATTGACAATCTCCGAAATTGTGATGCAACATTTCCATTGGAATCATTACTCGATTCATCTTTGATATTCACACTATTCATCATTTCATCATCTTCGTCTTGGATTATTCTTCTTTTCATTTTTTTTGAATTTGAAATTGGCGCCAAGTTTGCTTCTCTCGAAAAATGTTTAAAGTTTAAGGAATTAAAAAAATGTAGGTTAGACTTATAGTAAGGTTCTTAGTCAATGATGTTGTTTTGAACGTTATTATGGTAAATATTAATTGTTGAATGTGGAATATCGGATCTTGACTTTCTTGTAATATCTTTTGGAAATAATAATATTAGGGGTTTTACAGAATTATTGCCATCTGATAAAGTAAAATGGTTGTTGGAAGGAAAGGGTTTAGATTATAAGAGTGAGCAAAACATGGATGTTGCTGCTGAAATTATAGATAAGGAGATTGCCAAGTACGAAAAGATTCAAGAGAAATTTAGAAAGGACAAGAACTCCCTTCACAATGAAGACGAACAACAATTGTTGATGAGAGAATTGAAGAGTTCCATGCTCTTACAGGCCATGTATAATTTAGAGGAAAAGATGAAGATAGCATCCGATATGCGTAAGATTATTCCTTCATCTGATGATCTTGAAGAGAATAGCGAGCAGTAGATGCTTTTCGAAAAGAGGCACCACCATCAGAAAAATAAACTTGTAAAATAGAAGACAATAATGTATAATACAATCCAAGAGAGAATAAACTCCCAATAATAATCACAAATATGTGTTGAAAAACTGGGTTGTGTGTTTATTAGACTGCGAAGAATTTTTTTATGACGGTGCTTTGCTTGTTGGCTTTTACCAGGCTCATTTTTTCATTGTAAAATACAATACCTCCCAAACAACTAGGAAATTGTTTCGAAAAAAAAATAGCAAAATTCGTACGTAGTCAACATACTTCATTTTTCTTACCAAAGGATTTTCATCACCAAACAAATATTTTCAACATAAACTTTTACATTAACAGAGAATGGTCACCACCACAAGCAAGAGAGTTACCTTCCAAGGAAAGGTTAAGGAAAGCAGACTCTGGGTTAGAGGACGTGTCTTGGGTTACAAGAGATCAAAGGTTAGACAATACGAAAACACCTCCCTCCTCCAACTCGAAGGTGTCTCCACCAAGGAAGCTGCTCAATTCTACATTGGTAAGAGAGTTGCTTATCTCTACAAGGGTGAAAAGTCATTGACCTCTGGTTCAAACACATTCAAGGGTTTGAGAGTTGTCTGGGGTAAGATTACTAGAGCTCACGGTAACTCTGGTGTTGTTAGAGCTAAATTCGCTCCTCAATTGCCAACTACTGCTCTTGCTCAACCAGTTAGAGTTTTCCTTTTCCCATCAAACATCTAAACCTAATAAAATATAAATTTATAAAACACTTCCGAGTAAAAATTTCAAAAACAAGCATTAAGACGTCAGTAGCAAAACAGGATTATTTTGTTTAATTGAATAATGCAAAAGAATGATGGTGATAACTTGCAATGATTTTAAAAATAAAAGTGAAAAAAATGTCGGATCAAAAATACAAGGATATGCAAGAGTTTTTGGATTCTATGGAAGACTATAATCCAGCTGTATGTATATTAGCATAATGATTAAAAATTAATTGGAATGTGGATCATTTGTATAACAGATTCCGGATCAAATAATTTCATATTATCTTCAACAATCAGGATTTAAAACAACAGACAAGAGAGTGCTCCGATTAGTTTCCCTCTCTGCACATAAATTCTTGGCCGAAATTTGCAAGGAATCCCACGGATTTTGTGCTAGAAGAACAGCCAAACAACAAGGAAAGGAACCACGTTATGTTTTGGCCACTGAGGATTTATATCATTCATTGAAAGATTACGGAATTAACATTCAAAAGCCTGAATATTATTCTGACAGTTTAGCCAACGAATTAGTACAAACTAGATCATCTTCATCTTCAATGATGTCAAACATGCCACCTTCATCAACACCTCAAAACGGATCCAATCCTTCCAATGAGTAATTTCTCCTCACACAATTTCTCTAGATTTATTTATTTAATGTATCATACATATATAACTTTAAACCCATCTAATTATTAGAATAACAATATATAGTAATTTGTTATTAAAACATTTGTATAGAATAAGATTTATATCAAAATAAAACAATACTCTCCAATTTAAATATCAAAAATTTTGGCGCCTTATTGTAGTTTTACAAGTTACAGAAAAAAACATGTTATGGTTAGATTTGACTGCGGAACAAATTCATGCAATACTGGGCAATATTGCATGTGTTGATGATCTGAAAAAGTAGGTAAATCATCTTGTTGGAATTTGAAATCACATCGGAATGAAATAACAATAGGAATTTGCAAGAGGTTATGGATCTTTATGAAATGTATCCCGATTTATCCTTAAAACAATATCAAATTCTTTCCGATCTTTTTGTTCATACAATCATGTTTGCAATAAGAAACAAATTTACCCTAGAAAAGATTTCAGCAATATTTACAATCATAAAGGATATTCATAGGGATACATCAAATAATGACATTACTCTTTATGATAGTTTTATTCATTTCAAACAATTAATGACAAAATACAGTGTACATAGACCCCCATTCAGTGTTGAAGTGTTTCATGTTGATGATGTAAAGAAGATTTCAGATTATGTTTACAATACGTAGGTTTAAAGATTAATCACTAATTTTAAAGGATACAATATTATGTAAATAGTTTTTATAGACATTACAAAATGTATCAGTATGTGTTTTGCCCAAAACAAAATGCAACTTTGGATATTATTCAACCTTTATCGAAATTACTGGTTATGGAACAACCATTTTCAATGTTGCCACTTAATAAAGCAATCACAGAGGCTGAACATTCAGAAAAGAAGAGAATTGAACATGAAGAGGAGGCAAAGAGAATAGCCATTATCCAGCAACAACAGCAACAACAACAGCAACAAGAATCACCTCCTCCAAAGATTGAAGTACCAACTAAGGAAGAACATCCAAAAATTGAGGAGCCAAAGAAATCTGTTCCTCACCCTCAAATTCTCAAACAATTGGAACCAATCAAGAAGGAAATTGAAGAAATGTCACTCAATAGAATTGCAGAACTTGAATCAAGAATTGCAGAGTTGGAACAAATGGTTGGAGACAAAAAGAAGCCAGCAAGTAGAGGCACAACAAAACGATAATAAAACCAGCTCGGTGAATCTATTATACAAGTGTGGCATGACTTTCTCTGGACAACCTTTGATGGAGCACAAATTTTGAAACCTCGCTCGAATTCAACCAAGCTCGTGCGTATAATTTTTATTCAGAAACGAATAAAACTCAATGAGGGCAACACAACATAGTTCACAAAAAAAAACAAATACAATAATCAATATATAACTCTCAAAATGTCTCAAAATCGTGTATGGTTTGTTACTGGTACTAGCTCAGGAATTGGAAAAGAAATTGCGAAGGCAGTCTTAAAGGGAGGTGACAAGGTCATTGCTGCAGCTCGTAATTTAGACAGCATTAAGGATTTGAAAGAATTAGGAGCACATACATTGCAACTCGATGTTACACTTTCCGAAAAGCAACTCTCCTCATTAATGAATGATGCCATCAATGTATATGGTCAAATTGACATTCTTGTCAATAATGCAGCATTTGCAATTTGGGGTTCAATAGAAGAAACCTCTGAAGAAGAAACTGAAAAACTATTTTCCACAAACTTCTTCGGTCCACTCAAGTTAATTAAGGCTGTTCTTCCTCATATGCGTTCAAGAAGGACTGGAGTAATTGTTAATATTAGCTCACTTGCAGGTGTCAGTGGTTTCAAGGCATCAAGTTTGTATCCAGCCACAAAGTTTGCATTGGAAGGTTTATCTGAATCTTTGAAAGATGAAGTTCAACATCTTGGTATTAAGGTTTTGGTAGTGGAGCCTGGATTCTTTAGAACTGAGCTTGCTTCTCCAAATAATATGGTTATTGTGAAAAGAACTGTTTCTGACTATGATCAACATTACAATGAGTTTGATTTGACTAGTATTCATCACAAACAATCAGGTGATCCAAAGAAACTTGCCGAAAGATTATTCGATGTTGTTACTCAAAGTGGATCTGCTCAAGGAAGAGAAATTCCATTTAGATTACCAATTGGTGATGATGCTTATCCATTTGTTTCATCCAAATATGAGAAGAATTTAGAGGAACTTGCCAATATTAAAGATTTGACCTCAGGTACAAGTTTCCAAGAATAATCTAAACTATTCATAAATAATTTAATAAAATTAATTAACCTTTCCAATAATATTTCTAAATAATGGCAATAGGATACCATTTGCTGATTATTTTGTGAAAATGTTGATAAAAATGTAATCAAATTAATTTCATCAAACTATTGAAATAATTATCATAAAATTAAATATCAAATTAATTCCAAATTTCATTCCTGCCCATGTTATAAATAATAAAACTCAATGCCATAATCAATTTATTGATATTTTCAAGGTTGAGGCTTCCCATCACAATACTGTATTCCGAAATATGATTCTATGATGAGCATCACTTCAGCAAAACATTGTTGTGATTTATTTTTATTTTTGCTGCTGGAAAATAAAACTAAAAATAACTCTTTAAAGCCATACAACAATAATTCATAAAAAATGGAAGAAGTCGAACCAGTATGCCACTTGCTTGTCCTTGCCGAGAAGAAGTTCTTGGTAAGCAATGATTTCCCTAAAACTAATAAGACTGCCCTTGCTCAAGAAATTTTGGATCTTGTTAAACAAAAGGGTATGTAATATGCTCCGATCATGTATTATTGATCATAATTTGTGATTATTGTATAATTTACCTTCTTCATCATTGTACAATTTACCATCAATACATTAATAGAAATGGGACCATATTATGAAAATGTTCTCACTCAACAATTACCAACATATTTCAAGTTGGATCAAACATTGCTCCAATCTTTGAAGGAGGCTAACCAAAACAAACTCAAGGAATTGGAAGATAAAATCTCTGATGCTAATCAAAATCTTGGTGAAAATGAAGTTAGAGAAGCTCTCCTTGCTAAAGCTCAATATTATTACTCTATCGGAGACAAGGAAAATGCTCTCTCTGCTTTCAGAGAAACAGAAACAAAAACTGTTGCTTTAGGACAAAAATTAGACATTTTATTCGCTTTGCTTCGTATTGGATTTGCTTTTGATGATAAGGATATTGTGAAAAGAAATCTCGAAAGAGCAAATAGTTTGATTGTTGAAGGTGGTGACTGGGAAAGAAGAAATAGATTAAAGGTCTATGAAGGAATTCACTTGATGACAATTAGAAACTTCTCAAAGGCTGCTAAGCTTTTCTTGGATTCAATTTCTACTTTCTCTTCCAGTGAAATTATGACTTTTGAACAATTCATTTTCTATACAATTGTTGTGACTACCTTCTCACTTGGTAGACCAGAGATGAAGAAGAATATTCTTGAATCTTCTGATGTATTATCAGTTATTCACAAGTTGCCAAATGCTGAACAATTTGTTAGATCATTCTATAACTGTCAATATAACTTGTTCTTGGTTTCATTGGTTGAATTGATGGATAACCAATTAATCAAGGATCGTTATTTGTCAAAGCATGTTCGATTCTATTCAAGAGAAATGAGAGTTCGTGCTTATTCACAATTCTTGCAAGCTTACAAGAGTGTAACTTTAGATGCTATGGCTGAACAATTTGGATTGAGTCCTGATTTCTTGGATATGGAACTTTCCAGATTTATTTCAGCTGATAAATTGAACGCCAAGATTGATAAGGTTTCTGGTGTCATTGAATCAAGCCGAACAGACGAAAAGAATACTTTGTATAATCATACTCTTAAACAAGGTGATCATCTCTTGAACAGAATTCAAAAATTGTCAAAGGTCATCGATTTGTAAAAATAAAAAACTGCACTGTACAATTAAGCTATTTACATTTAAATACAATTATTTTCTCTTTCTCTTATTGTTGGCATCAGTTTCCAGTGAGTAATCAGTGCTACTAAGATTTTGTCGTGAAGCAGAAGGTTCTTCTGATGCATTGACTTCATCTGCAATGGTTTTTGGTTGAGGAGGTAAGCCTCTAAAACCTGCTGGTGTAATTCTGAATGGAATTGAAACATCCTTTCCAAAATATCCTTTTACAAGTCTGGCAAATCTTCCTGAGCCAACAAATTCCATGAAAATACTAGTTGTCACTTGGTTGACCCATAAGTGATTTAAGGCAGGAGCAACATAGGCAATCTTCTTATTGGAAAAATCACCTTGTTGCTGGGCAAATTTGGTAGTAACTTGATTTGTTGTCACGACAGCCAAATCAAATGTTTTGGCCATATCACTTAGGGATTGTGCAATTGATTTCTTCAACGAGTCTTTTGTATCATCAGAGCTACTCTTTCTCAAATGGAATGCAATACTATCTACAACAATTAGCTTGACTTTTGTATGTGATTTGAGGAATTCTGGAAGAACTAACAATAAACCTGTTAATTCCCAAATCGACATTACTCTATAATAATAAATACTACTCAAAATCTTTTCAATTGTAAAATTGTTCAATACTTCCATCATCTCATCTTTTTTAGTAAGATCAGTATCTCCTCTCTTGGAGGCTATACCATTCAAGTGAGTAATAAATGCTTCACCAATCTCTTTAGTTCTCTCAATTGTAAAACTTCCTTCAGTATCAATATATATACACTCTCCATCAATACCTTCAAATACGCTAGGCATTTGAACATCAACTGCCAATTGCATTACACATTGAGTTTTACCAACTCCAGGAACACCACAAATATCTGTAATTATTCCAGTTTTGATTCCGAATCCACCAAGAGCATCATCCAAATCTTTACAAAATGTTTTAATAAATCTCGATGGAGTTGATTCTTGTTCCAATCTTGCCAAAGTAGAATGTGATCCAACCTGAGTTAGTGAAATATTATTTACAAGACCTTGTTGTGGTTTCATTGGAGAAGAAATCTTTCCTTGCAGTAATTTGTTTTTCATGAATGAATTTTCTCCCTTTACATATTTTAATATATTAGCACAAACTTCAAAAGGTTCTTCAATATAATTTGCCAGTTCGGAGAGTTTCATTGTTTTTAAACTTTTAATATTTAGTTTTTTAGCCTTCAATTTTTCGATCACTGATGGAGCAAAATCTTCCACATCCATGATATATTCATCCTCTTCCGATGATGCATACACGTTGAACATTTGATGTTGTTGAAGCATTTTTTTCTTATTTGAATTGATTAATAAATTTAGCTTGATGAAAAGGCGCTACAATTAAATTTCCAGTTAAGAGAAGAAAAGATTTTACAATCATCAAATTAATAATAAATTAGAGATTTAATAAAAAGATTCAACATTGATGGATTAATTGTTTTAAAAAATCCTATTTCCATCATAAATTAATAATATTTATACAAGATAATATAAATTGATCAGTAGTGGTTGCTGAATTACTTTTTTCTATATTTCTGTTCCTCCTCCTTCAAATATTCAATAGCCTTCTCTGGATCTCCAATCTTGGCATATAATTGCTTAATATCATAACGATCTCCAATGTAGGCTCCAACGCCGAGACCAAACACAAAAGCCAAAAACCTGGACATTTTTTCTTGTTTTTCTCTCTTTGCAAATTTAATAATAGAGAAAAATGATTGAACAGCAGAGGAAGAAGACTTTGATTGGTCTATTTTGTGATGATCGTAATCGAATGACTAATAGTTCTCGGAAGCAGCATATTGTGTTAATATTGATTGGATTCATGATTGGAGTAATGATGATGAACTTTTTAGTGGAGGCTAAAAGTCATGATGAATTTAATAATGTAGATATTGGTGGTGAAGAGGGAAGAAGAATAGTATTGCTTCAACCAGGGAGAGAATTCATTTCCGAATCAATTCGACCAACCCCTTTCTATGATGAAAAAGTATCGGAACAGAAATCAAGTGTTAGGATTTATAAATTGGTGAACATGAAGCCACATACTCAATATGAATTGAGAATTAGTTATCCTTCTTATACTCCTGCTGTCTTTTCTATTGATATACTCTCGGAGGAAGAATTGGAAAATAGAATCAAAATGAGTAAACCTTCCAAACATTCGAGGAAATTATTGAATATTGAGAAGATAATGTTTAAATTGGATGGTGAGGATGGAAAGTTACTGAATAGATTTGCTTTAGTGAGTGCCAAGGTGGAGGCACCTTCAACTATTGATAATACCAATTCTCTTATCTACTATAATATTGGTAAGTTTGTGAGATATTGAAATTGTGATTTATTCGAAACAGTCTTGGAAGAATTGCAATTTGGAATATTACCATATGGAGCTCTTCATTTGATATTGATTGTTATATTGAGTTTGCTGATAAGTTGGTTTATTGTACCATTCCTCTTCAAAAGAATCAAGAATGTGTAGGTTTACAATTTGAGCTTAGTTAGCTTTTAAGGATTTTCCCATTTTTAGTGATTTTAGAATCATGTCACTGGATAGTTATTTTCAAATACAAACCTTGATGACATTTCTAAGGGAGTTTATTCTGTTTTGGAATTTATCTCAATTGTTGGAATGGAAGTCCTAACTTCCTGTTTAGATGGTTCTTGTGAAACCAAAATTTTACACGAGCTTCTGTTTCTTACAAGGGAAATCTTTTCAATTGATGCATTGTGGTTATGGTGATGTTCCTTCTTGAAACTGGTTTTCTTAGGAGTATTTGGGTCGTATTCTTTTTCTTTAATGGCATTGTCGATATCTTCAGAATCAACAACAACCTTTCTTGTACTGTGCATCTTTCTGAGTTGAGCGTGGTGTACATAGGTTCTGTTTGTTGGAATTGCAGATTTTCTTCTGGATTCCAAGTATTGAATATTTGGTGAAGAGAAATCTGGATATAATTCTGACAATGTCTTTTGTGGCTCTTCTATGAAGGACTCTTCATCCTTAGTAACCCAAGGGTGCTCTTGAAGATCATCCATTGTAATTCTTGATTTTGCGTTTTTATCCAACATCCTAGTTATGATATCCTTCAATTCTGGACTCAGATTTTCAGGTATTTGTGGATCTTCATGTTGAATAACATAGTACAGATAGAGAAGCTTGGATGCTCCAGGTTCGTCAGAACGGAAAGGAACTTGTCCCACCACCATACAATATAATGTAATCCCTAGTGCCCAAATATCGGCTGGTTTACCTTGTATTTTACCTTTGTAGCATGCTTCAGGAGGCAAAAAAGCAGGAGTTCCTTGAGAGTCATCAAGTGTATCCTCTTCGTCCTCTGCCAATAATTTACTGACACCAAAGTCAGATAATTTTACATCCCTAGTCTTAGTTAAAAGAATATTAGAAGGTTTGATATCTCTATGTACAACTCTGTTGAAGTGTAAATATTCTAAACTGTTTAGCATTTGTCTGAAATAGTATCTTGCTTCATCTTCTGTGAATGGTTTTCCATCAACAAGAACACCATCATCATTAAGTTTCATCAATTCGCCACCATCAATAAATTCGAAAACAAGGCAAATCTTGTCATTCATTGGATCATCAATCACCTCGAGCAAACGAACAATATTAGGGTGATCCAGATTCTTAAGAATGGCAATTTCCAACTTAATCTTACTGATTTGATTATTTTGTTGTTGTCCAGGAGCACTCCATTTCTTCTTAATATTATTGAGAAGAGATCGGTTAATAACCTTAATGGCAGCCAATTGTCCTGTCTGTTCATTTTTACCGAGCTTTACTGATCCATAAGATCCCTTACCTAACTTTTTGATGATTGTGTATTGGTTGATTATCTTTCTTCCGTGTTGATCTCTACCAACTTGGGCAGTTGTAGTCATTTCAACCTTATGCTGAGGAGAAACTGAAATACTCATTCTTCTTCTAGCTGGAGCCCTAACAGGAGTCAAAGTTGCTGGATTTTCTACTGAGGCTCTCAATCTATTTCTTGAATTCTTAGAATTGTTTACAGGTTTAGTTGCCTGATTAAATGCGCTTCGTTTTTTGGTGAGTGGAGTTACAAAGTCTGAAAATCTTCGTTCCTGTTGGATTTTTTCAATATTGCTCTGACCTATCGGAATGCTTGGGTTATAAACTGTTGAAGGTGAGCAAGTTGAATCTGATTTTTCATTTTGTTTCAGCTCATTAAGCAAACTGGGTGAGTTTCTCCCAGAAGCAAGAAGTGAGTGTCTTCTTTTTGGTAAAATTCTCTTACTGTCTGTGCCTATGGAGGCATTAAATTTCATTACAGATTCTTCAATTTGTGATTTCATATTTTTGACATTATTATTGACATTTGTAGATATAGAAGCGGAGGAGGATGATTTTTGTTTCAAAGAATAGGGATGACTTTCTGAAACAGATGATGAGGACAATGATTTCTTTGAACTTGGGGTTGGGGTTACTGCCAATTCAGTGCTCTCACTTAAAGTGAAAGAAGAGGAAACATCATATACACTACTATCACTGTTACTCTTTTGGTCTCTAGATTGTCTTAAAGAGCTAAGCATTGAGGTGGGAGAGTTTCCTCTTGTTGGTGGTGAGGATATTTTACTGAGATAATGAGGCCTATTTCTTGAAGTGGATGCTGGAGTTCTTGTTGGTGATTGAAGGTTTACAGGGGTAGAAGGGGAGTTAAAGGTTGGTTTGTTTTCATAGGAACTATTAGTAGGCGATTGAAATCTCCTTAGAGGTTGTAAGGTTGGAGGGTCTTCTGTTGAGCCAGACCTCAACTCATAATTCTTTGGGGACCTCACTGGAAGTGTTTGACTTGGTATTGGAAGTGGATTACTACCTTGTTGAACTACTATCGGATTCAGTTGTTGTTGTGGCTGAATACTATTGTTTGCCTCACTAAAAGCAACTTGTTCTGATTTTGAACTCCTATTACTTGGTGATTGGTGGAATTGAACATTGTATACACTGCTTGGAAGAGAGGTTGAAGATTTGGCTTCATTAGGGGAGTTACTTGTTGTTTCCATTGAAACCTTACTAGCACCATCAACTTCTGCAGTGCTTAGGGTTTCAGAATGAGCGACAACAATTTTAGGAGGTCTTTTTTGAGGAGTAGTAGAACTGTTGCCATTCTTACCTGAAGAGGGACTTTTTTCAAAATCATTTTGTTTTTTAGATAAGGCGGCTTCATTAGCTGAATTGTCTTTTACAACTCGTTGTTCAGTTTTTGATGAAGATCTTTCTCTTTCTTTTGTCTTTTGATTTAATGATGAAGTACTTCCTCCTCCCGGATATGATGAAACAGGAGATGGTTCATCCACTCGATCAAGTTTTATAGCGCAGGGAGAAGATAATGCTGCTCCCATCAGTATTAAAATTATTTTCCAAAGTTGTTGAGGCTTCTTGTTATTCTTGTTGAGGCTGTTGTTGCTGTAGATGAACAGCGGTTTTTCTTACTCGTTTTTTTCTGTTTTTTTGACAGTATGAATTTTATGTTCTCTCTCCTTTTGATGGCTTTTGAATTGTTAGAAGGAAAAAGTTTCAGCCCTAGCACAAGATTTCAGTTTATGTCGCTATTGAGAGATATGTAATAAGTTGAATAACGGGAGTAACAATGTTAAAGAAAAGCAGTATTCAGATTTTGTCAAGATCTAACATCAGGATCCTTAAACAGCAATGGTCAAAGACAGTTGTGAATATTTTTTATGATTATCTTGCATCATTCGTTGGTTGCGGCTGGTGTATTATCCAAACAAATAGACACTTTGCATTCTGTTCAATAGATATTACTGGTACATCTTTGATACATGGAGGATAGAGTTCGTTTCACACAACTCGTAATGATGTAACTAGTATCATGCCCATATTCATGCTTTAATAGTATTCCAAATCAATGATATTCCATTTCCCTTCTCGTCTTATCTCTTGAGTAAAAGAATTAACTAAGCAATTTTTGTTGAAGCATTAAATTGAGTTTCATGTTCTCTCTGAGTGCCTGTAATTGCCTGTATTTTTGAGAACTTGGGGAAAGCTGAGAATCGATAGAGTTGGATCTCTCAAGTTTGTGTCTTTGTATCATATCTTCTTCGATAGGAACAGCTGGTGTCTGTATTTTAAGGGATAGACTTGTAACTGGAATGCAACTCAAACTTCTTTGAAGATCATTCTCTTTTGGTACGGATGGGGTTGTGGTGAATGGAAGAGTATTATTGAATGAAAGATTGAGAACTTTTGGTGTTGACCTGGATGGTGACATTGTTTTAGATTCGGGAGGAGTAATGGATCTTTTGCTTCTGTTAAGGAAATCGGAAACTGGTGATTGTTTGTGAGAGAATTTGATGGTGCTCTTTGCAATCTTTGTTTTCGTTGGATAGGTTCCTTGCACCTCAACTACAATTCTGTTCCACTTAATTAATAAAACATATAAGAATAACTACTTACGTGTGATTCACCAGATTCTCTGGCCTTTCAACCCAAGGAAGGGTAAGAGCATTGAATTTGATAAAACTTGGTTCATGGAAAATAATATAGCAATCTCTATTAATTCTCAAATCTTTCAAGATAAATACTCTTTCGAATGGCTTGGATTCGTCATAAACCTTTACATCAAACAAACCATTTGGATGTTCTGCTAGTTGGTGGACTCTCACCTCAAAGGAGAAAATCTCAGTTACTTTTGGATCCATTCCAGAGGATAATGTAAATATTGTTGGAAGCTCCTCAGCAATTTCCTTCTCTTCAGTTTCTTCTTCATTGTCCAATGTAGTACGATCTTGAATGTTGATTTCCTCTTCTGTTTCCGCTTCAGAGTAATAGCTTGTATTGTTTGGAGTGCTTTGGGTGAGAATATTTGGTTGTGATCGTTTTCTTGCTGTTTGTTTAAGATGAAGAGATGATCTAAATTGTGTTGTAGTGTTTGGCACAACAATCAGCTTTGGTGGTTTTGGTTTGGGAGGAACTGATCGGAAAGGGTTATGATGGCTGTTAGTGCTTTTTGCTCTCTTTTCAAAGGTCATGATAAATGTATTATCAATTCCCTCAACAGTGTTTGAACTCTGATTAAGAGATTCATTAGCTGCTGATAAAATACTAGAATTAAAAGCACTCGTATTCAAACTTGAATTTGTGTCCTTCTCTTCTTCCTCAACAAACTTTTCCCTCAATTTTTTCTCCTTCTCATCCAAAATACGAAATTGTTCTTCAATTTGACGAAGATTACGTCCCTTCTTCTCGGGTCGAGGAACAAAACGAGTTGTATTCGCATAGAACCTCTGCGTCATTTTTTTTCATAAGATTTTCATTGATTCCTTACTTACTTTTGGAGGGAGATGATTTGGGCTGATAATCTGCGTCATCTCCAATTAAAAAATCGACTGAAGTTGAAGACTGGGCACACTCATTATAAAATAGTAGCAAGGATTAGTGATCATTGTTGTCCAACATTTAGAATATATCTTACAGCTTTGACAAAACTGAAGCATTCTTCCACAGGTTTGATAAAATTGAAACATCTCTCAATTACCTTTGGTTATACCAAAGATAATGTGAGCAAATTTGTAAGGCATTTCCTCTGCTAGAATATCTGGACTGTAGTTGGAACTCCCTAACTAGTATTGGAGCGAAACATATTAGTGAACTACATTTAACAGAGCTGAACGTGAGAAATAATCATTTATGTTATGAGTCTGTGTATTATTTGCAAAAATTGCCAAAAGTAACATCTCTTCGATATAGCATGTGGTAATTTCGAAGTTACTAGATTCCTACAATATAAACAAGGAACAGGAAGAGATTGATCCATATTATTATCTACCTAATATACCAACACGGTGCTGCTGTATTTCGAATTAAGGTAGAGTTCAAGCTATTGAGTTTGAGTAAAGTTATACTGATTCTCCTCTGTCTGTAATAATTGTGAGTGAATCATAACTAATAGAAAATCTAACTCTTGAGAGATGAGACTATACTCTGTGTCTGTTAAATAATTCATAATGAGTTGATTCACTCCTCTTTGAATACTATCATTTTTCATATTGAGAAAACGTGGTTGTTTTTCCTTTAAAATAGTAAAATCTTCCAGAAGTGCTAACAATCCTTGACAAGCCAGAGATTGCCTCTCAATACTAGAATTGAGAAGAAAAGCCTCAGCATCTGAATGTTTAGGTGAGGGATGTAACAGGATTGGAGAGGAATGACGGTTATGGACTCCATTCAACTGATCAGAAGAATAACCAAAAAGTTTGGCTGCGGTTTCACATAGAGATAATGCAACCCTAGCACACTGTAAGGCCTCAGCGTTCTTACCAAAACAGTAGAATAAAAAGGTTCTCAAAAGCAAAATATCAATTAATAATTCTGTGTGCCTCTTCGATTTGTTGGAAATGTCTAACAGTGAAGGATCGTTATTCAACTTGAATTCAATCTCTTCCATATCATCTAGCCCATTAATTTTAAATTCCAATGTTATTAGAGTGAAGGCATTATCACAATCGTTGAGAGATTCTCTCATGGAGGTGACAATATTAATCTTATCCGAAATATCCTTATGCATCTTTTTGTGATTCTTTTTGAATCCACTAGTGATTGCTTCAGTATTTGTATTTGCCTTCTTGAACTTTTCAACCAGAAAGGAAACAATTCCAGTTTGCGTCAAGCTAGAGCCAAATAATGGAGAGGAACAAATTGACACTAAATAATTATCAATCTGTAAAAAACATTTAAGTAAGGAGCGATAATAGAATCCTTCACAAAGCGTTGGATTCAAAGTTATAGATCTAGTTAGGTTGGTGATTGAATTTTTCAAATCATTCTCCAAATATTCGTTGATAAATCTCAGAGACATTTTTCTCTGTTGATAGACATGATTTTTCTGACTCTTGATGAGTAAGATCATCCTCGATGCTGATCCAGTAGCTTCTGCATATTCCCCTTCCAAAGAGAGAAGTTGAGAAGTGGTGGATCGAGGTGAAAAGGCAGCCGATGAAGACGACCACCTATTCTTTGAAATATTAAATGAAACAGTATTTCTACAATAGTACAATAGAGCCAGCAATAAATAGTAAAAGCTCCATGCCATGTTAATATCTATACACGAGCTGATATTACTCGTGCCAAAATAGTTGGAATATTCTACAGTTTGGCGTGTGGATGCCTCTATTACTTTGAGTTTTGCCCTTCTTGTTGCCTCTTCATCAATAATCTTGTTGGGTGAGAAAGCGAACGAAAGAGAGCTTCTTCGCAGCAAAGAGCTGAACATGTAATCCTCTGAATTAGCATTGACTCCAATTGTAGGTGGTGATGTTTCATTATGGTTGCCACTCCTTAAAAGGGCTCCCTTTGAGAAGTACTCTACAGCTTGATGGATACAATTATTCATCAATAATACTATTCCAATATCAATATTTGACTCCTTGTTGATCTTTGTTGGAGCATAGTTAAAAGTATTGGATTTCCTCTTCTCTTCCAACTCCTCAAAGGATTTCAAATGTTTCAGTGACTCTACATAATTTCCAGTTGCACTTGTTATTTGTAAATAGAGTAAATAAAATTCTGGGGTCTTTTTCACATATTGGCTCTTCATGAACTTTTCAGCATCTTCAAATTGTTGCTTTTCGTATAGCAGCTTGGCAGCTTTGAAAAAACAATCAGTTTCAAAACACCTGTCTGTTGTAATAATTGTCTCTGCATCTGAAAAAGCTTGTTGAATGTTTCCAAGTTCCAAGTGACAAATCATTCTCTCATAATAAACTTCACTAATTTTTAAAAATAAATGATAATTGACTGGTGACATTGTTAGCAATGAAACAGCCTTTGTGAGATCAGGTAAAGCTTCTCCAATTCTCTGTAATTTCATCAACGCCTTTCCTCTAATAAAGAACAGCTCACCAGGATTGACTGGTTTGCATTTGAGAGCTTCTTCTGCATAAACAATCACATATTGAGGTAAATCTCTTTGCCAACAAATCTTTGCAAGACCTTCCCAAGCTCTTGCACTTCCACCTCTATCTAATGAAATAGCTTTCTCAAATGATTGAATTGCTTTCGTATATTCATTTCTATACACGTGTCTATATCCTTTTTCAATGTAATCCTCACTTGAAGTATTTCTGGGAGAGAAAATTCCAAGTTTCTTCTTATTGGAAGGTGAAGTATTTTCATGAATTATTCTAAATCTTTCAATAAATAAATCTTTCCATGGATTATTATACTCCAAAATTGAATGAGTTGAATAAATTCCCTTATTAGAAAAATCAATAATACTTCCACGTTTAGAAAAATGATTATTATTCGAATGATTATCACTAAAATCCCAAAATACCAAACGATGGGCTACCTGCCAAACTGATTTATAAAATCTTTGCCATTCATTTTCAGCCAAAATATGAAACAATCTGAAACTCAAACGAAAATGCAAAACATCTTTCAAATCCAGAAAACCAATCACATAATAAATAATATCAGTCGGCAATTCACCAAGTGATGATGGAATTTGTGAAATGTGAAGATTTGGAGTTGTTGTAATGTTAGGAGTTGAAGAAATATTAGTAGTAGTAATAGTTGTTGTGGTGGTAGTGGGAGTGGAGGATGTAGTAATTGGTGTTGTGGTGCTGACTATTGTATTATTCACAATATTTACAATATTTGTTGTATTCGAAATGTTATTCAAAGAGGGAGAAATTAATTCTTCATAATTCAAGTTGTGATTCATCATTGGAGATTCCAACACTAATTGGTGATCATCGTTTTCTATTATTGATAATGATCGGAAGTTTAAATGTGGTGTTAAAGAAAGATCTGATGTATTCGAATGTGGTGATTCTAATGTTCCTTCACTGCTACTAGCAATTGGTGATGCAGAAGCAGCAGGAAGTGACAGCTTTCTCTTTGAAATGCTGTCTTTCTTCTTTGGTGCCATTTTTTGAAGTTTGTTTTTTGTTCATTATTAGAAAGTCATCATCAAATTGAAAAGTTTGGCATGTTGTAATAGATATCTGTGACAGAACTTGGAACCGTTTAAAATATAATGTCCTATTTTGATTTGTAATCCAAATTTAGCAAATATTATTAGATTTAATTTTAAAATTTAAAAAAAAAGCTTGCTGACGATTAATGACCAATCAATTAAAAAATTTCACTTCCACCATTTATTTTATTTGAGTTTTGGTTCATCAACATAATTGGATGCAATACCAGTCTTTCCTTTTTCAATGGTTGCAAAAGTTTGAGAATTGGCAGACTCGTCTTCATCTTCTGCATCCTGACCCAGTCCTTTATAGGTTCTACTCTTGAGATAGAGCATTGAAGGTGTGTATTGAGTTTCCATGAGTTGATTTTGTTGCTGTTGTTGGAGGATGAGTGATTTTCCATCATCCTTACTCAAGAGAACTTCCTTACTTGATGCTGTTGATTTTCCAACTCGGTATACAGAGCCACTCATGAGCGAAACTTCATATCTATCCTCTTCAGTTTCTTCATTACTGATTGGTTCTTCACTACAACAATTGTCGTCTTCGAAAATTCTGTTAAAATCGAGTTGATAATATCCTGTCCATTCCTTGCCATATTTAAGAGCTAATTCCAATTCGAATGGAGTAATAATTGGTTTAACATATTCTCTAGATTCAATTAATGAATTTTGTGAACATCCAATCAACACAAACATGTCAATTTCCATAAAGTTGGCCAATTTTGGAACGTTAAGTTTACCAACAAAGAATAAATAAAACTTTCTATTGTTATCGATAATGAGTCTCTTGACATATTCAACCATCTTTAAATAATTCTCAACAGAAACTGTTGCAACGAGAATACCAAAAACTTGAGATTCCTTAGCTTTTTGAACCATGGCAAATCTTCTTCCCAAAGTTCTAGAAATTGTTCCACTTCCATCACTTTCAATCTTGTTCTTGTAGGCAGAATATACTTTGAATGTATGTGTATTGTGCTCAACCATAAATTGTGTAATAAATGAGCCCAATTCTCCAATGAAGAAGAAACGAGCTTTTTCACTTGGCTTTGGGAAAATTTGATTACTAATCTTGTTTTCATTTTCTCCAATTTCAGTCACTGTACTTTCACTAACATTCTGTAAAACTCTAGAATCGTACAATCTTGAAAAGATGACACGATCCGATGTAACCAAAGGAATTAATTCCTTCTTAATTCTCTCATAATTTACCAAATCATAAATCACAATAACTTCTCCTTCACTATTTTCATCAACAAACTTATTCAAATTCTCCAAACATTGATTAATATCCAACTTATAATTCATTCCAAAAACGTGATAGACTGGTGTTCTCTTAACTCTATTATTATAATTGGTCAACTATTAAAGAGAGAATAAAAACCTACGGTTGAAGACAAGCATTACCATAGTGAATAATAAAATCACAGAGCATGTGTTGAGCTCCAACTTCATCAACACAACAACTTCCATAAGAGGTATCTCCGAGAACATACACTCTCAAATATTCAGTATCATATGCCTTCTTTGAAAATTCAGAATCAATTGATAATTGGGAAAGTAATGATAATGATGAATGATTTGAAAAATCTTCAATATCTCCAATCAATGGTTCTGATTGTTTCTCTGTACTATTTTCTTCCGATGATGAGGAAGCTAATTTATATTTTGAATAATAATACTTTAATTGAAAGGAAACAAGTGATGCATCCGAGAGTAATTCATCAGGAAATTGCAAGGCTACATTCTTGAATCCATTCTTGATGATGATATCAACGGATTCCTTGATTTTATAACAAGCATCAAATTGTTCGACACTGTATTCATCCAAGTGTCTACTCAAGCATCGATAGGTTCCTTGAGAGGAGCTTGAGACTGAAACTTCTTGTTGAATGATGGAACTTCCGTCGTTTGTGATTGCAGACATTTTTTTAGGTTTCGAAAATTTAAATGATTCAACTTGTTGAAAATTAATATTGAATTAATTATATTTAATTAGTGAAATTGTGTTAATGTTTATATTCCGTGTTAGTGTTGAAATAATTATCAAACTATTTCAAATTATTTAAAATTGAGTTTATCAATTTCGGTTATCTGATTTCGTAATATTTACAATTTGGTTAAATGAATTATTAATGATGTCTATGATGATCATCACGATCCAAATCATGTTTTCTTGGTGCCTTAACTGGGCAACCATAAATTGATTTTTCTAGAACTGCCTTTTTAACATAACTTCCAAGAAGGAAAGGAGTTGCAACTACAATTAAAACTGTGATAATGAGAATAATTCCTTCCATTGCTCCCAAATCATTTGCTCCAACATTGACATTTCCACTAAATATACTTGCAATGATAAGTAATACAAAAATAATGAATGAAATCACTGACATTCCATTTACGAAATAATTCCAAAATGGAAAATATTTGAAAATCCAGAAATTTTCCAATTCCAACCAAAGCTCACTCTGTGAATTGTGTGGCATAATATATCCCAAGGAAGAAACCAAAGAATATACAAATAATATACAAGAAATTGATGAAAGAGCTGTTAATATAAATTGAGAAGAAATTGGATATCTAGAAAAGACCTTTGGAATCATTCCAATCTTTTCAGGATTTGAAAACTGATACACATATCCACACTTTGAACATCTCGACACTGATTCATCAGCCAATCTTTCCTTATTCCAACATGGCTTCCTACAAATAAATCCATCACAATAACATGATTTTACAATCTTTCTACTCAAAAAACTCTGAAAACTTGGTGTTGTCTTACTACACATTCTACACGATCGTTGCTCTAAAAACAATTTCAAAAACAAATTCTTGCAATCTTTCAAGGAACCAATCTTTTCCCGCCTCGTAATTGCCACTCTATTAATTAATTCAGTCCAAATATCAATACTATACTCATCGGCATAATCTTCATACAAGTGAGCAATTGAATCAGAGAGGAAGGGAGCAACCAATTCATAACTCGATCTCGATAAGCTTCCGAAATTAATAATTTCATTCGATGGAAGAAAGGAGAGAATATTTGCTTTTAATTCCGATGGTAAGGAAAGGAAGGGAAAAATTGATGGAGAATTATTTGATTCTGATGATTCTGATTCAAAATCTGATGCAGCAAAGTAATTGGAGAAGGGAACTCTGTTGAGCATTTTTTTTTTGATTTTTTTAAATTTAATAATGGCTTGGAATTCTTAAGTATTTAATTATTTAAATTGTTGTAAAGTATTTAAAAAAGGTAGATCCATTACAATGAAAATTTATATTATATATGAAAAAAAAAGAAAGAGATTTTTTGAACAATACTCCAATACAGGTAATTATCATTTCCCTCCTAAATTTTACAACTTTAGTTTTAGAAATGGGAAACTAACGATTTAATCAAGAATAATTTCTAAAAATATAAATTCTGCAAAGTAAAATGTAAATTTGTAATTTTGAAAAAGAATGAAAATTTTGTAAAATGAATTCCATTTTTGGGAGTGATTTCTTTTGAAATGAAAAATAAATTTGTAATGACAAGCTAGTTATGAGCTCATCTCCTGAACTCTATGATTCAAAATATTTAATTAATTTCTCAACTTCGTCAGGAGTCCATCGTTAAGAGATTAGGCTATTCACTTCCAAGAAACTTGACGAAAGTTGTTAGAGATTCGAAACAAATTCATCAATAAGGTTAAATCATTTTCAATATCGCAATACATTCGTTCCCAACAACATTGTGGAGATGGTTTACACAAAATAGAATCATTAGCCTTATTTTTCGTAAATCTCTTGATAACAAGTGACAGCTCAAGACAGCAAGGTACAAGCAGTGATGAGTTTTAGTAGCACAGATGGAGAGGGAGAATACCAATGAGCAATAAGATGTTTTAAATTTACACCCTTCATTCTTCATCTCTCAAATTATTCGAAAAAAGAAACACAATATTGAACTCTACAAAACTATTGGAAACCCCAAAGACTTCGACCTGATAGGAACTACATGTTCAATATTATCTGAAAGTAATATCCACTAATTTCATCCTTGTATCATAATCCTTTCTTTAGAATACATTTTTATTCGAAACATTTCTCTTTTACGAAACAATGAGCTCCCATCCAACACCAACCTCACCACAAAACTCCACCAAGAGAATTAGTTTCATTGACAATGCCCCTTCTACACCAACCAGAAAAGGCTCAAAATCCATCGATTCTCCCCTCAACAATATAGTTGCCTCGAGATCAAGAGCAAAATCTTCACCAATTCCACCTCAAAATCTAACTCCAACGATTAAAACTCCAAGTTCTAATAGAATGACATCTCCAATTTCTAAGGGACCTCTTGATTTTTCATCTGGGTTGACCAGTCCAAGTTCACCTTCTAATGCTAGTGGTGGTGGTCAATCCATTTCAAATACTAGAAGATTATCAATTTCAACAGGGGTGGTCAACTCGCCAAATCAACAAAAGAAAGAGGGACGTAGAGAAAGACTTTCAATGGTTTTCAGACTTTTCGATAAAGATGGCGATGACAAACTAAACCCAGAAGAAATGAACGATTTCCTAACAAGTGTATATAATGGTCCAGAGAGTAAGGAATTTCTCTCACTCATTAAGAATTCTCATAAGGAAGGTGTAACTTTTGATGAATTTGTTAAATTATGTCGAGATGATGCAGCAGCAGCTTCCAACAAGAGAGAATCAAAATCACCTATGAAAGGACGTGGTAGAAGTCAATCAATGGCTATTTCTGCATATAAACATTCACCACTGTCAGAGATTGATGATGACGATGGATTTACAGATGAAGATTTGAGGGCTGTCTTTTCTGAGATTCTTGATGTTAATGAAGATGGTGTTGTTTCAATGAGTGAATTCAAGAAGGTTATTTCAAATTTGGGAATTCAACAAACATTCTCTGATGAAGAATTGAGTATTTTGTTTGAGGGCTCAAAAACTTTGAGTTTCGACCAGTTTAGAAAATTGGTCATGTAAATTATTTCAACAATTCTAATTGTAACTTTAAATAACAACAATAAATTTGAAAATTAATCTAATGTCTATTTTAAATGTTTATTTCTATTGGTAGAAAACCATGTTGTTTGTTGTTATTGGAAAGTAGAAGAAACTATTGTTATTTTTGGTAACAATAGTCGTTAGTAAGTTGTAGAAGGAGAAACATGTTATGTACATTATTCGCGATAAATATGCTCGTTTTGATGCTAAATGGTGTTTTCCACCATATCTAAACTTGAGTTTAGAATAAATTATTCGAACTCTTCTTCTTTGAGAGTTTTGAAATAAACTTGCTGAAAATATTTCGGTTAGTTGTTGATTGACTTCCACAAGAAGAATCCATCATAGAAGCAGAATAACCAATCCTATCCAAAGGATCCATCTTTAACGATTGATGTTTCTTCCAGTTTCTTTCATCATTAGCTTGCAGTGTTTTACTCATTCTCTTGGAATTCTCCCTCTCATTCTCACTATCAGTTCTACAATGTCTAAAATATTGTTTCCTGAGAGTGGAATGAGAACGATTAGTGGCAGTAGTACTAGTTTTAGTAGTGGAATTTGAACGATTGTAGGCATGTTCTAAATGTTGTTGCATGCGATGTTCTTCTTCATCTTGGAGTGCCAATTCTAATTGATGTGCTACTGTTGGTGAGGATTTATATCCCATTGTTTTGCTTTTTTGACGAAATGGTGACGATGTTGTTGGACTTGTATTCATTCTTCTTATAAAATATTAGAAAGGTTTCAATTTGTTTTTTAAGAATTAGTGAGAGAGTAGATGTTGTTCAATGGTGTTCTTGTTTTTTTTAAAGATGAAAATGATGGTAGTTACACAAAAACGTGAAATTAAACTCTTCGTGTGGTGATTGATGATTGTCAGTGCAAAATAATGCGCACAGGATTCAATTAAGCAGTGAAAAGATGAATAACTGCCATCATTGTCGTGGATTCTTTGTCCAATTATTACGCAAAGTGCACTATTGTAACTAATCCTTATTGTAATGATTTACAAAATGGTGAACTGCGATAAATGTAAATCAATAAGACGATTCACCACTATTAATGATGTATTAATACATTTGGAATTAGGAACTCTTATCATGTTCATATATCTAATACATTATTTCGTCAAATTAAAGTACTCAAAAGGTTCATCTAATATTAAGATAAATATTTAAAATTAACAATTTGATATTTGGAAATTTTCTTATTGAACAATCTTTTGAGGTGGATAGAGTTTGAGGAAATTATCTAATGGAAGGAAAAGTGGTGAGAAATTCTTCAAATCATGAATTGAAACCCATTGCCAACCTTCACACTTATTAGGCTCCAACAATTCAGCCTCTTGATTTTCATCCTTCAAATAGGCTCTCATGAAAATTGTATTATAATGTCTCTTCTCAACCTCAAAAACATCATTAGTACAAGTAATAAAGGTTAAATTGCAAACATCCAAGTTGGTTTCTTCCTTGATTTCTCTCTCCGCGCAAACTTCCCATGTTTCTCCATAATCCAAATGACCTCCAGGCAATTGATAAGAACCCTTTCCATGAGAACCCTTTCGCTGACCAATTAAAACATGTTCCGATCCATTAATATTTTTAACAATAAAGCAAGCAACTCCGATTCTTGGTACCGAGAAGAGATCAATAGTGGCGTGAGCTGTGGTGGCTGTGGTGGTAGAGTGTGATTCTTCTTGTTGAGACATTTTTTTTTCTGTTGTTTATTTTTGTAATTAAAGTTCATCCTGATTTTAAGTCAACCTAAAAAAATGTCTAAAGAACAAGAGAAGGAATTTGTTTCAGTTGGTATCTTTGGAGTGGTGTATCCGTATTCAATAGGTAAAAAATTAGCTCATAATTATTCTGATAGAAACTATAGGAGAATATCAATTTATAGGAGTTATCCTTTTCAGTTTGTGGATGTTGGTTATGAGGCTTCGATCAAGAATATGTTCCGAGTGGTTTGTTTGTCTGATTATGCTATTATTTCGTATAGAATTGGTATGGAAAGATGGCAAAAATCGTATAAAGATTTAGTGAGAGTGTTGATTAATTCATCTATTAGAAAGGTGGCCATTCTAGTGGATTATCAGACAGAAAATGTTACCAAGTTTGAATTTGAAAGGGATGTAGAAAAGATAAGAAAGGAATTGGAATGTGAGGATTTGGATAGAGACCTCAATGTTACATTTATTCCAATGAGAGTTTGGAGTTATTTGCAGGGTAATGACTTTCAAGAATTTTCATGGTTTGAAGGAGGAACCATCAATGAGTGGATTGAAGATTTAACACCAAAATCAAGGTTTCAGGCCTTGAGACAGGATCCTCAAACCTCAATGTTGGTTGCTGTTGCAGCACATAGTTTTATATATTGTAAAGTACTGAGTGGAGTATTTGAACTAAATTATGATTGGAAAACTATTTCAGTATTTGAAAGGAGCAGTTATGAAAAAATAATTTTGAATAAGATATGGATTGGGGGAGATCACTATTCGGATAGAAAAATTGGACCTGGTCAATTTTTTTGCCTGGGGAGAGAGGATTTCTCTACATCGGATGGTTTTATTGGTGGTCTTTTTGGAGATTATTTCAATCAAAGAATGATGAGCCTACCTTTAGAAGAAACAAGATGTGCCAAGGTGGAGACTTTCTGGATTGAGCTGGACATTGAAAATAATGAATTGTGGCATGCATTTTGTAAAAATCCAACGATAATTGTGAGGTGTGGCCTGAAGAAAGTTAAATGTCAGATTCTTGATTTTGTTGAGGAAAGCTCCAAGAAGGTAGTGTTAAGATTAAGCCCTCATGAACCAGAACTAATTTCCAAAAACCAAAAGAGAAAGTTTGATTCTTATTCTCAATATTTTTATACAAAACCATTTGAAAAAGAGCCAACCTTAGGGCAGTGTTTGGTTTTGACTTTTAGAAAGCGGTTACTAGTAGGGCTGGGTAAGGTGTTGAAGGTAGTTTACTTTTCAAACAGGACTTTCTTCATTGATAATTGTATGCCATTCTTTGAGAAATCTAACAATATTCCATACACAGACGTTTCAATCTTGAATGTGTAGAATGAAAGAAAATTAATTGACTTCCTCATTCTGTCCCAACACTTTAAGAACATATTGAATAACTCTATCATTACTACTGAGTGTGAGTTCGAGGTGCCCCATATCTTTGAATTTCTTGGCAAAACAAGTATTGGAGTGATACTTTCTCAATTCCTTATAGTGGCGAACGATACATTGTTTTGGAATTACCTTATCATCATCTGCATAAACTATGTAAATTGGAATATTCAACTTGTCATATGCATCAAAAAAGTCATAAGGTTTCTCAGTTCCATAGTATTGCTTATTCATTGTTGGACCATAATTATATGCTAAGAATTTACCACTCTTTTGGAGTTGAATTAAATGTTCAACCACCTTTACAGAAGTTGCATTAAAAGTGTGGTAGAATAGATTGTGAACATATTGGAATGGATTATTCTTTGTTCTTCCACCAAGGATAAGAGATGAAACTACTGCAGAGAGTAAACTTCTAGTAGCCTTATGATTGTTAATATCTTGAAGGAGTTTGGCAACCAGTATTTTAACGGTCTTGGAAGTAAATCCAAAATAATTCCAAAATGGTAGCCTTCTAACGATAGGAATTGCCATAGAAGCATATTCAAAAAGTGTTGGCATCTCTTGGTGATTTCCTGCTGGAGACAATAGAATTGCTTTGTCAATATAATGTTCTTCATTGTGTGCTTTACACCATGACATGTAGGCAAGAATACTACCTGCTCCCATCGAATGGGCAACCACCACTAATTTGAAATCGTTATTTCCAAGCTCCTTTTGTTTGATTTCTCTAATCTTTTTCACGAATGCCTTAACATCATAAAATGCATGTTCATTGATACTGAAATCCCAATATTCTCGTGCACTGATGTTTTCATTCAGGTGTTTACCATGGCAACGAGCAAGACCATATCCTCTGAAATTTCCAAGAAAGACATCATATCCATTGGAGGCGCAAGTAAGTCCTACATTTGGATTACTGCCAATCCATGTAAATCCACTATCTAAAATACCATGTTGGAAATATACTGCTGTTTTGCTTGTAGTATTTGGAATTCTGTTGAGTTGAACTTTGTATCCATCCTCAGTGGAGCATACGTAGGTCTTTGATTTGAAGCCATTGTCAATAATGACCTGACTGATCGATCTGTCATCAATACCCCTTGTGGATAAAAAGTTAGAGAGTTTGAATAATCCAAAGCATTCCTTGATGGTTTTGAAACATTCCCTAAGTTTGAGACGAATGAACAATCTACTTGCCTTGGCAAGTAAATCAATACACTCAAAAACAGCATAGTAAAAATCTTCCAATAGACCAGTAGATTTCTTCTCGTAGAGATGAACCTTATCAGCCTCAATAGGTGTCTTTTTAGATGTAATTGGTGTTTTGAAGAGAGTTGGAAGATAAATTATCAGCATGACAAACCACAAGAAGGTTTCTCCAATGAAATTTAACACTCTGGATGTCCACTTCTTTTCCTCATAAATTAATTTGATATCATCTCTAACATCATCTTCAAAGTCATAATCAAAGTTTGCATCCAAATTTTCATAATCATTCCATTCAGAATCAGCTGTACTGGCAACACTCACATCGTCTGCAATAGGTTCTTTCTGTGCCTCTTCAAATGAAACTGGTTCAATAGTTGAAGTAGTCATAGTTGTTGGAGAATCAACCACCACTTGATTTGTATTATTTGCTTTTTTCATTTTGAGTGTTGATTCCAAAATCTTCTTAAATGAGTTTTTTCCAATCATGGTATGTGAGGAAGTTGATGAAGAAAATAAACTAGTAGTAATTGGTGGAGGAACATCATCTTCCAATTGTTGATTATCCAATTGAATATTATGATCTTCATCAGTAGTGGTAGGTGATAATTCTCTAATGGGAGAAAGTGTTCCAGTAGAGGAAGTTGATGAAATTTTCTTCTCCATTTCTTCCTCACTTGAATTATATTCATAGGTGGATCCACCACTGTTTGATTTGGTTGAATTACTTCTACTTCTTGTTCTTTCCTTTCTAAATTCTTCGGAAAGATGAATAAGTGAGGCAGATGAAGCAGAACGTACTACAAGTCCTTTCTGATGGGCCAACGATGTTTCATCATAACTCCCAGGAATATGAAACACGTACAATACAAGGCTTACTATCAAATCGAGGAAATATCCAAGGAGTAGTATCAATTCTCTAATTAATGTTTTAGTATATTCAGAGACTATATAAATTATACCATCCAATACTCTAACAAGCATCCAACGAGATTTAATTTGTTGTGATGATGTTGAAGGGAATTGAGTGGCCGATAAGAGGAGGGATTGCCTTCGGAGGGCAATCATTGGTGATTGTGGAGAGTATGGTGGGGTTTCTTTATAAACATTGGCAGTTCCAAATCTCACCATTGATGCTGTTGTTGCAGCTGATGATGAAACTGTTGCTGCTGTGGTTGTCGTTAGTGCTGAGGGAATTGGAGATGAAGGAATTAAGAAGCTTGATGATGGCATGATGGTTATTATTATTAGTAATACTATATATTTGCTTTTTATAATGCGATGAGAGAGAATTATTATGCATAATCGGTTGGTTATTAAAGATGACAATTTTATCCAACCAGTGCTCAACAATGCATTCCACTCCGAGTATTGATGTACTTTTTAATTTTTTGACTTTTTAATTTACCATAGTGATGGAGAATAAAACATAACACTAACACGTTTCAAGTTCAACGAAAGACAGATTCTATTATTAATACATTAAATATTTAAGATTTGATGATATAATAATTGGTGTTGAATCATCTTTCGGAATGAACCGATAATAAAAAAATTTAAAAACTTTTAAAAACGGAAAATCAAAAATTTTTAAAAATGTTATCACACCACGATGCTGATGATTTGGTTATGAGTGATGAGGAATTTGATGGAGAAGATTTGGTACTCGAACCAACAATTCAAAACATTCTCGATCAAAAGTCATTGCAATGGATTTTTGTAGGAGGAAAAGGAGGTGTCGGAAAAACAACAATTAGTAGTTCGATTGCTATGCACTTGGCAAAAGTTAGAAAGAATGTCTTGTTGATTAGTACAGATCCTGCTCACAATTTATCTGATGCTTTTGCTCAAAAGTTTAGCAAGGATCCAACACTTGTTAATGGATTTGATAATTTATATTGTGTTGAAATTGATCCAAGTGATTCTAAGAGTGCTCTTTCTGGATTATTTGGTGAGGAAGATGAAAACTCTGAAGAATCTGGTATTTTCAAGAATTTAATGAAGAATGTTTCTAGTAACATGCCAGGTCTTGATGAAGTTGAAAGTTTTGTACACATTTTAAAGCAAGTTAGAAATAGTAACTTTGATGTAGTTGTTTTTGATACTGCTCCAACTGGTCACACTCTCAGATTGCTCTCTTTACCAAATGTTTTGAAGAGTACTCTCGGAAATATTTTAGGATCAAATATTGGTAAAATGATAACTCAATTTGGTTCAGTTTTTGGATCTAGTGGTGCTACTCCTCAAATTGCTGAAGAACAATTACACAAATTCTATGATAGTGTTGATCAAATTACTCAACAATTCCAAGATTCAACCAAGACAACCTTTATCTGTGTTTGCATTCCAGAATTTTTGTCTGTCTATGAAACTGAAAGACTTGTCCAAGAATTGACAAATTCTAATATTGACTCACATAATATTGTTGTCAACCAACTTGTACTCAAGGATACTGTAAAGGAACCATGTGAAATGTGTCAAGCCAGAAAGGCCATTCAATCCAAATATTTGAAGCAAGTTTTCGAACTTTACGAAGATTTCCACATTATTCAAATGCCTCTTCTTGGAAAGGAAGTCAGAGGTGTTGAAGCTCTCAATGATTTTAAGGAAATGCTCCTCAATCCAACACCATTAGCTTATAAACGAGAAGATCTTAAATAAATAGATTATCTATTTAATAGTTTGGACCACAATGGTCTTGCAAGTAGACCACAACAAATTACTAAACCAATAATTGAAGCAATACTAAGGCCAGCAAATGTGTACATTATTCCAAATTTGTAAGGCGTATATTCCTTGGTTGTTGAAAATTCTTTGGTATCATATGGATTGTAATAACAAAGATAGGTTTCATTCTGTTGCCACTTTTCAAAATACTGATCCACACAATCAAAATTTGTTTTACATTCCGTTTTCATTATTGATGAAACATAGCCCCCAACTGTCAAGTAATGCATTGTGACATTGGGAGACCAACATTCACTGCAACTCAAAGTGCATAATTCATCAATGGCTTCTGTACAACACACACAATTACATGAGTAAGAGGTGCACTTCCCATCACTGTCACATGATTCACATGTATCACAACAATTTCCACAACATGAATATCCATCACAACAATCCATTGAAGAATTGATGGAAACATATGATTCCAGACAGCTGGGATTTTTGCCTTTGCATTCCGAGCAGTATGAGCATGTTTTCTGACAACATTTAAAGGAATTGATATTCCTATTAGTGACCGTACAATTAGTTTCAAGAAAAGTCTCCTTTACACGAATTTCACTAATTAAAGATGTCATCAATAATCATCAATGAACAACAACTTACGGATAAGTCTCTCCAAAAAACACTCCAATCCAAATAGAAACATTACGACCAGACAAAAACCACCCAGTGCTGTACAACTAAGCAATGCGATCCTACAAAGTTCACAACGGAAAATGTCAGCAGCCCTCACAATACAAATTAGTAAGGAATTTGTTTATTAAATACAAAAAAAAATAGTCTCATCATCAAACACACTTGTAATCATCATCGCTCGGATGAAAGAATACTAGTTTTGTTATTATGGTTTCCTATTCAGAAATGGGATATCTCTATTCTTGATATTGCCTTGACAAGTTGTTAATTGGCCATAAAATGAAATGAGTCATCTGTCTTCAACACGGTAGAGAGATACAGTTTTATATTGAAAAAAACAGATGAATACATCTTCTTTACCCTGTAATCCTCTATTATTTGAATTAGGGATACCCTTTAGAGGTGTCAATACTCTTCTACTGCTCAATAACTCATTATCGTCGTCGTCAGCAGACAAGATGATGTTAGCATGTCCAGATACCATTATTGTTCCTATATTTTCTTCTATTATGTTGCTTTTCTTTCTTCCAATATTATGCTTTACTTTGATTGTTGTCTTTCTGAAACGAAAGAGTGGACATATTCATTCGAGAGGAATGCTTTGGATTTTGTCGAATATTATGGCTGGGACTGTACATGTTTTAATACCGTGTCTAAGATGGATTATAGGACGCGATATCTTTCCTTGTGGATTATTTTCATTTGTGGCGTTCAATTTGTGTTGGGCTATGCCACTTCCAGCCATGTATGTAGTTTTTCTCGTTCCCTTTTTTAGAAATAATAATTTTAAGGTATGCTTGCTTTTCATTTGTGATACGAGGTCGATTATTTCAATTATTAACTATGAAATCAAGTTTTCCAGAAGCAGTTGGTGATGTTTCTAATAACAGGTCACAAGTTCAGAAAGTTGTGAATGATATCATCTCTCAAGAAAAAGATGACAGTTCTCAATCATTGAAAGTGCAATTTAGTAACTATCAGAAGAAACTCTTGATTATGTACAAGTTTCTTCTAAGTAATAAGTTCTTGTTGATCGTTCAAATTGGTTTATTCTCTCTTCATTCAATTATTTGGTTGGTGCTTGGAATGATTGAGGTTTTGGGTCCAGAGTCTTTTACTCATAATTATCCAAGTTTCGGATGGAAACAATTCGGAACTGGTTGTTTAACCAAACCAAATACAGTTCCTCTGTACATTGCATTCTATTGCCTTTATGGAATTATTACTCTTTGTTGTTTAATATTGGTAATTATTAGGGAAAAGGACACTTGGGGAATCAAATTGGAAGCATCAGTTACGACAACCTTAATGTTAATTTGTGTCATACTCAGTTTTGCACTTCCTCGCATTGACATTTTGAATCAATTGGTGGATTATATTATTCCTATTCCAGTAATTCTTTCCTTTTATGCCATGAGTCAAGTAATAATTTTGACAACTATTCCTGCAATCAGAGCTCTGAACTATGCCAGAA